CTGCCACTTCTGGCTTCTGGTCCTTCCCCGACTCGCGACCTGCAAAACGCACAGCCCAAGCCGCACAGCAAAAGCTGGAGAATCGGTGAATCGAACACCGGTTTCAGACAATCGATCATCTGCTTTGTTGCCAGCGGTTGCGAAGTCCGCGTCTTACCACTAGACGAATTCCCCAGGATCCTGGGTAGTGGGATTGTTTCCTGCCGGCAAGGCCGGCCGGGACGCCTACCTCGGACTCTGGAGCTTTGAGAAGCCGCGAGAGGGGGCTGTGAGGCATGTGAGGGGAGGTGAGGAAGACGAGCAAATAGGGGGAATGAGGGACGTGCGCTAGGCCCAGACTGGGCGAAGACAGGGAGAGCGGGGATGGCTTGAAGCCTGGGGCGAATTTGGGATGGAAGGAATCGAACAGCATGACTGATTATGAGAGAGCTGGGCTGAGCTGGGCTGAGCTGGGCTGGCTTGATGATGACGGCGTGGGACTGGAGGCTCAGTGCTGGGACGAGTCCGTTGCGATTAGGTGCTCGATGTCTTCACGGGCACCCTCACACCCATGTCGTCAGTAGTCGGAGGACATCAACGTCAGTGCTTCGTGCTCATGTCAGACATGGAGACACGACACACGAGACATGATACAAGCCAGCCCGCAACTGCAGACGAGGTCCAATCTTGCAATCCGAATAATCTGCTGTGAGTTTCTTGCGGCGTTCAATCCTGCGCGCCTTGCTCGTTCATCCCTCATTCTTCCTCTTCCGACCAACTCGGGCAGTCGGCCACTACTCGGCCCAATAGATAGCGGCCATCAAACGGGTACGCCATTGGTGCATCACCCGGCCGCGGAATGGGCACTGATGGCGAGGAGCGGGTCGAGCGTGGTTTGGCAGATATCTCAAGGGCATCTCGAAGGGATGGGAGGAGGGGCCGGAGAGGAGGGCGAATTTGTGTGCCAGGTTGGAAATCTCCCCACCATAGCCCGCATAGCCGCCCACCATTGCCTCAGTCAGAGGCTAGTTTCCCACGGTCACATTCATTCTACCCGCCCAAGCCACCCTAGGTGGGCGCACGACCAAGCGAGGCTCAGCCAGCTGCAGCCAGGCCCAGGCCCCGCCTCAGCCGCCCACCCAGCCGCCAAAATTCGCCCACTCCCGCCCAATATTTGACCACCGCCCGGATTCGACCACTCACAGGCTGCCAAAACGCCTCCACCCGAATCCGTCCCCACGAGAATATTTGACCACTTTTCCTCGTCTGCATTGGACCACTTCTGCATTTCCAATATAGCTGCCTTCCGAGCATGGAGCCGTTACGATCCGTGCGTATGGACGCCGCACAGGGGCCATGCACAGGGCCATCCATAGATATGATCAAGAGATAGACAGATATGATAGGCAACTTGGCTTCGGCTGGGCCCTAGATATCGGCAACAGCGAAAGAGGAACTATCACGGCTGATTGAGTGGTCGCCGAGCACGCCATATCGGTCGTGGCTGACGACATGGAGGTGAAGCTGTTGCAAGATGATATCGTATCCATCCACATGACTACTTGAAAATCACTGGAGACTGAGACGAGGGCAGAGAAGACTATAGAGTGTTGCTATTCTACAGATATGGGTTATTGTGAAATGAGAGTAAGGAGGATATGTACAACTACTTCTTGAACCTGAGCTTGTTCTTCCAGCGGCTCTCGTGCGGCATCGCGCCCTCGGCCGTCGCGACCTTGTCGTCGAGGTCATTTCTCCTACCGGACATCAGGTCCATCTCGGACGCGCGCCACCAGTGCGTCTTGGCGATGAGCTTGTAGAGAATCATGATGAGGAAGAAGACGGGGAGCAGGATGTAGGCGTCGACGAAGTCGCCGGCGACGAAGGGCGAGAGCGAGGTCCAACCTTGCACGAGGGCGAGGAAGATGCACGCTCCCAGGCCAAAGTAGGCGTTCCACGGGTACAGCATCGACTTGTACGGCAGCTCGTCGGGGGAGTGGCCCTGCGCCTTCCAGCCGGCGCGGAAGCGGATGTGGATGAACGAGATGCCGCCCCAGACGAGGAACGTCGAGACACCAGACAGGTTGACAATGTACTGGTACGCCTTGCCGGCACCGGTCGAGATGTTCATCATCGAGAGAGCGCCGCACGCATTCGTGAACAGAATCGCGGGGATGGGCACACCACGGCGGTCGGTCCAGCCGAGGATCTTGGGCGCCTTCTTGTTCTGGCCCATGTAGAGGAGCGTGCGCGAGCCAATGTAGATGGAGCTGTTGCACGCCGAGAGACACGTGACGAAGATGAAGGCGTTGACGAGATTCCAGCCGCCGTACCAGCCCGCCTGCTGGATCGCGATCGTCATGGGCGACTGGAGCGCCTTGTTGCCGCTGCCGCCGATGAGACCCTCGGCGTTACTGGGGCAGGTGACGCCATAGAAGAACGCAGAGCCCATGTACACGAAGAGGATGCGCCAGAACGTCTGCCTGATCGCCATGGGCACGGCGCGGCGGGGGTTCTTCGTCTCAGTCGCCGCGACGGCGATGGACTCGACACCCGCGTAGAAGGTTGAACAGAACACGAACACGGTCGCGACACCGCGGAAGCCGTGCACCCACGGTCCCGGGTTGTGCCAGTAGCGGAAGCCGATAGCGTCGGCACCCTTGACGCCGCCGGACATGTAGCTGGATTTTGTCAGCTGATGCACAGAATGGGAGGCTGGAACGGATGCAATGTCGACTTTGTGATGACGGCATTACAACCGACACACTGGGCACCCCACCAGACCCCGGATTTCAACTCACACAATCGAGAAGATGAAGTAGGCAACGAGACCCAGCAGCTTGGCGAGAGCTATACGTCAGCATAATGCTCCCGAATGCAATGTGTCGGCGTGGGTGGGGGGCTTCTCGATTGATTGGGATTGCTGGAATGGCTGGAACGGGCGGTGGACCCCGGCCGGCTCCACCCACCCGCTTACACCACCCAGTCCACCGCTACCTCCACCATCACCGATGTTCTACCGAGGCGCCTCCCACGTCGCCGTTCGTTACTCACCGAGCCAGAACTCTGCCTCTCCAAACGCCTCGACACCGAGCAGCTGGAAAGCGAGGAACGCGAACTGCGTGTGTCAGCATGCATGGTCCAGGCATGGGTGGCGGCGAGTGCCGTTGTAGCTTACCCAGAAGATGAGGAAGTATCCCCAGAGCGGGACCTGCGGTCCCCACTCGACAAAGATGGAGCAGATGACATTGTACTCGTTGGCAAGCACGCAGAACCAGATGATGTAGTAGTTCCAGCCGAGGGCGACGCCGAACGCCTTGTCGACGAACCGGTCCGCGAGACCAGTGAAGGCGCCTCCGGTGGGGTAGAGCGTCGTGAGCTCTCCGAGCGACTGCATGATGCTGAATGCGATGATACCGATGACGCCGAAACCGATGAGGAGCGAGGCTGGGCCACCCTTGGCGAGCGCGCCACCGGCACCGACGAGCAGACCAGGACCAATGATACCGGCTAGCGCCATCATGGACAGATGCCGCGTCTTGAGGCCGCGCTTGACGCCCGAATTCGGGTCAATGTCGGCATAGTCGCTGTCGCCGCAGTCGGTCGAGACGGGCTCCTCGGCGACGAGGCCCTTCTCCTTGTCGGCGAAGCGGCCGTAGCCGCCATCGCCACCGTCGTAGGCAGGGGCGGCGGGCTCCTTGTACGGTCCCTCGTCGCTAGAGTGGGATCCGGCACCGTAGGCTGGTTGTTGATGGGGGTGGCCGTAGGCGGGCTGCTGGGCAAAGTTGTGTTGAGCGGCATAGCCGTCGTTGGGATTACTATTACTATGGTAATTATACCCGTCGTTGAAGCCGGACATGGTGGTGGCGTTCGAGAGTGGGTGGGTGTGTAGGAGGGGAGTGCGATGAGCGCTTGATTTTATTTATCAGCAGGGGATGTGTGTGGATGTGGTTGGATGATGGGAAGAGGGGGAGGGAGATTTTCAATCGGTGCACGAGACTAGGTCAGCTTAGTGTCAGAGTGGGTGTGTGTGTGTGTTGGACTGGGTGGTACGGCTGTACATGGGATGCATGGCGCAGCAGCTGGAGTTGCTGGAGTGCTGGAGTGCAGGTGCAGTCAGGTGAGCTAGGTGAGTGTAGTGCACTGATAGTAGGGGTCAGGGTGGATCGGTGACCACGAGTATAGGCCTGGGGAGCATGGAATGCCGGCCTGTGATTTGATAAGCGGCCTGATATCACCCAACAGCACGTCATGAGGCGCCCACGCCCCTCACCGTCCCCCATCGATAGGCGTACAACCGGTCACCCGCACTCCCACCGTCCCACCTCCCCCGGCCACCACGCTCTCCCGCCGGCCCGCCTATCGCCTTCGCCCCTTTCATCTGTCCAGTTAATTGGCCGCTGCACTGTCAACCGTTGAAAAACTGCATCGCCCCGTCGTCAGGTCATTACCCTCCTTAACCTCGATGCTAAGACCTGAAGCGAGCATAGGGCAAAAGGGTTCACCCTCGCTTGGCGCGTGCGTGTTGTTGCCTTGTTGCAATTTCATCCAATCCATCAGAACAGGCGTCAGAGCTGAAGGACCAGCACCCAGGAGCCAGGGTAAAGGGTCAGGCGGGCGCACTTTACCCCGGCATTACACAACATTCAAACCCATTTATTTACACATGCAACCGGCTCCTTTACAGATTCCGCAGCAGTTGATCGTCAATAAAAGCAGCAACTTGGCGTCGTGTGATGCATCTCTTTGCCCGACCGACGACGATCGATGATGAGAGAGCGCGTGAGCAGTGATGATGATGCACGGTGGCGTCTGGGCTTGCTGGGCGTTGAGGCTCGTGCGACTGTCTGTGGTGGCGAGTGCAGCAGTAGAGTGGGGTGAGCGGCTCGAGCGGACTGAGCGGCGACCGGTGACGGTGCAGTTCAGAGCTTCGGAGAGCGACACACCAAACACCAGGCACACTCGGCGGGATAAGCTTCGTGACAAATCACTCTTGTCTTGTGCCTTCTACGGCTGTGTCTCGCTCTTGTCTCGCCGTGTCTCGCCTCAAGTCGAGCAAGGAACCGGCGATATAGCCCCATGCATGCGTGGTTTACATGTTCTCGCTTCTATCTTGCGCGCGTCTGAACTTTACTCAGACTCTCGGTGCTGAAATCGCACGGCACTGGTCTTAATCCAATAGTCGCGGCCCCTTCTGGCCACTCTGCATCCGTGGTTTGTGTTACGTTACACCCCTCCCAGAGTAGGGCACACGACACGACCGCCGACTGGTTCTTGGCCCAGTCATGAACGTGCCTCGACCAGCAACTGGGAAGTTTAAGTGGTGCATTCGACCGAACGTGCAGATCTCAACCGTGATCGGGTTCCCGCGATCCCACCTGGCTACCTCCCTCTTCCCTCTGACTCGCCACTGACTCTCCGACGATGCACCGAAGTGCCTAGCCTAGGTTCCTTGCATCCTTTCGTTCCTGCTGTTTCGCGGTAGACCAGCAGCCAAGCGGGAGAGGAAGTGACCAATCCTTCCTCCCATCACTACTGCTTTTTTTCCAACCTTGTCCCCGCTTGCATGTTATGTAGCGATAAGGACCCGGCCAACCAGCTGATAGTTCCTCGAGGGCTATTGACACATTTGCGGACTAACTATGCGCTATCTGGCGGACTAACTTGGTCTAACGTTCAGGAGCAACCGGGACGAAGGACCGTGAGACGCGTGAGACGCCCGAAAAAGTCCAAGACGGTTGGAAGGATGCCACACGCCACCGATCTGGGCGATCAGCCGCGGAGCTTCTCTACATTCACTGCCCATCGTCTGCCCATCTGCATTGCTCCTGCTCATCCTGGTGCCCATTGAGGATAGCATCGGTTCGGTGCTTGCGCAGTCCCTAGGTTGTGGCCATAAGAGTCCATTCGGTGCACGGCTGTCGGCTCTCGTATCAGTATCTACCGATCACACGGAAACAGTGACGCAGAAGTGTAGGAGACGTGTGCATGCCTGGGCGATCACCCCACTCCCATTTTCCATTCCTCGAACGCGCTCGAACACCCACAGCCCCCCCGTTTTGCCGACGATCTCTCGCATACGGCTGCAGTACTGATCAGCACTGGCTCAGTCTTCTCTCACGACATCAAACGTCTCTTCTCCATCTGGCATGCACCACTGTCCTTTGCCCGACGCCAGGCCCGAGCTAGTCTTCGAGAGAGATCTCAGTCTCAATTGGCAAGATTGTATGGCGCTAGGACGAACAGTGCAGTAGTCATCGTTAGCTCGTTAGTGCGCCGGATTGGCAGATACTCAGAAGAGAAGGGATGGCGTGCCCTCTCGTCACCACCTTCTAGGCATGCTAGGCGCCGAGGAATGTGCCCAAGACTTTTCCTCGAGGCCTCGTCGGTCCGGACCGTGATCTGTGCCCGCAGTCGTTCCAACGTGCCGCAAGCCGCAAGGCTGCAAAGTTGCGGTACAGTCATATCGGAGACTGTCCTTGCCCGACATCGTCTGCAGCTCTGCAGCGCTGTAGCAGGAGTGCGGGCATCGACGGAACGCAAGGAGACGTGCGATCAGGAGTATCACGCGACCACGACACATGCTTCGCACTTGGGCAGATCCATTCCTCCGACTGCGGCTCGTGTTCGTAACGATGCCCGATCGCCAGTCACGCCGGACACGATTCCAGCATTCCAGCCTGCCTCGACCGCACCTGGTCGTTCTGCTTTGAGCAGAAGAGCGGCATTTCGCACACTACTGGGGGCGGGCTCTTAACCCTGTCGACCTGTTGGCGTTCGAAAGCGAACCTGTGCAGCTGTCACCACTCCAGTTCCAGCACCTGACCATATACTGACGCTCCTCGCTCATCTCATTCTGTCCGTCCCACCAGACGAACGTGGGCTTCCTACGCGCGCTGGTCTCTCGGTCGCAGCCAGACTTGCCCGCACTTAGACACGCCCCTCTCCTTCTCGCTTTCCGTTCAACTGACAGATACGACTGAGATTGACGCTCTTCGCCCGTCGTGCTGGACGGCCGAACGCTGCTCGCTTCCCAGAGTCGGCGCACTCCACAACACGTTCGCTCGGCACAATCGCGCTTCGGCAGCACCGATTGTCGCACACCAGCTCATCCACGCCTTCCCCATGCCGCGGCTTGCTCTCTCCGCTGACGGCTGACCTTGACCCTCGACCAGTCCCCGTGTCCTTTGGCAGCGATGCATTCCCTCATCATGCTAGTTATGCTCATTGTTTGTTCTGTCGTCAGCTCGTACTCGATTCCATCAGCTTTTTCGACCTACTTTGTCACCTCCAACTTCACCAAGCGACTTTTGCGGCCCCTAGCGGGACCTCAGGAGTTTCACAGCTCAGTTGTTGTTGACCTTGTACTCGGAGTACTTCCACGCGAAGAAGGGGAGGCCCCAGCCGACCGTCGAGAAGATGAGCATCTTGACGGCCATGCCGGTCTTGCCCTTGGTGCCGCCGGGGATGCAGCTGATGTTAGCGCCGAGGCCGAAGGCTAAGGTGGGGCAGCGAGTGATACTGTTCCTGCCTAACCTGGCCGCACCTCCCCCTTCCGTGTCTGCTGTAACGGGCGGCTTGGCCAGCTGTTCATTACGACTTCCGTAGCTGCATCCCGCCATGAGAGGGGGGCAGGTTCAAGGAAGGGTTAATCGAAGGGAGCAGGAAGTACGGAAGCGAGATAGGAGCGTCTCCACGCTCGCTTCGCTCGCTGGAGGCGCAAGGACTCACTTCTGGGCCGAGTTCTCAAAGTGGGCGGCGCGGACCTGGGTCGCCTGGCGGGCGGCGACGCGGGCGCGGGGGACAGCACGGAGGATCATGGACATGGCTGGGGTTAGCGAGACTGAGCGCCTGAGCGGAGCGAAGGCGAGTGGTGAGCAGGGAGAGAGAGACGGCACTGCGCTAGTAGACGAGGTGTCTAGGCCGATGCGGATGCGAGCTCTATGGCTGCAGGCAGAGTCCGTCCTTGTCCCATCTCCGAAGGGGGATGCTGCGGCGTTGAAGCAGAGACTTACCGAGAGAACGGGTCGTTAAACTGATGCGGAGACGACAGTGAGGCGGTGAGCGGGTGAGCGTTGTTGCAGTGCAGTGTGTGTGAAAACTGGTCAGCGGTGGGCAGCCGTGTGCATGGGCGCACGGTGCGCTCGCGCTGGAGTGTGTTGCACTCGGAACACTGAGGACGAGGCGGCGAGGCACTGGGCGTCGCTCGTCGCTGCGCCGCTGCGGTTCCTCCCGACATTGTCCAAAGCCACACGGATCGTGGCTATCGTGGCGTCGTGTTCCTTGCTTCGTCACGAGTTGACGATCCTGTGTCCGCGAGTCATGATACGAGAGATAGATTCACATGTAAGGAGAAGGTTTACGATGCATAGTTGTTTGCGTGCATGAATGTGAGGATGGAAAGAGAACACAAAACCACCGTGTCGATCACGTCGTGACGATCATCAGAGTGGAGGTATGGAGAAACCCGGGGCGGGGCCGGCGGGTAGATGCGGGGGTTCGTATGGTGGAAAGGGGCCGGAATCGAGCGTCGATCCTATCGGCCAACCAGCATTCGGGCGAATCACACGACGTCACACTCGACGTCTTCAGCAGCTGAGCAGACGCACGGCGGCTTTCTTGTAACGGCGAAGGAGACGTCAACGAGCAGCAGCGGGCAGCACAGCACTCCGGATGAGGCGAGCCACCGGCGCCGCAAAACGATGACGACCAACGCTGTCGCTCAGCACTCCTCTGGTCAACTTGGAAAGACGCCCGCTCCACTTCACAGAACACCCCGCTTCGCAGCCCAGGCGTGGACCCTGCGTCCGATAACCAGCAACGCCAAGTATTAGAGGAAGGCTGAGACAAGGGCCATCATCCTCAGCGACGCGGATGATTTCTCTTCGCCCGCAAAAAAGATTGTTATAGTGTTGCCGGCGCCGCAGCCGCCACGATCAACTCCACTACCCGAAAATCCGGGGAATTCGTCTAGTGGTAAGACGCGGACTTCGCAACTTTGACTTGCTGATTGTCTGAAACCGGTGTTCGATTCACCGATTCTCCAAATTTTTGGTTTTCCTCCGTTCCCGTGCCGCCTGCTTTTCTGGACAACTTTGCGAGCGCTCGCCCAATGCAGAGCATAGCGCAGTAGACTAGAAGGCATTTTGCATCATGGGAGGGGCGGCGACATCATATACATGTCGAGAACAACGTAACGCAGCAAAGTGGTGGACGTCTTGAGGATGGTGCCTGTCGTCGGTTGCCGAACAGTGTCTAGCTCTTCGACAGCACTGCATGAACTTGATGCCTCTATGCTCACAACTGGAGACACCGTGAGAGACATTGAAACTAGCGAAGGCTTCCTCCAACCTCGAGGCCGATTGCGGTCTCGACGTTACCGCAGCTGTGTGGACACACATCGATTCGCACTCCCGTTGGGCAGCGTGTCGCGCCACGTCGTCGTCAGCCAAGGTGCTGAGCGATCGTAGGAGACGTCTGGTCTAGCGAAGGCTGCCTCTGGCCGCGAGGCCGGCTGGAGTTCTGGCCAGAGAGTGTTGTGTGGACGGACTGGCTTCGCACTCTCGTCGCACTCACAGATCAGGTCGTGTGAGTGGACAAGGGGGGTGATGGCAGTGGTGCAGGCCGACCGCACAGCTTGATTACTGCAGAACCTCGGCAGCGGTGCGCATTCGTACCAACGTCGTCATTATGCATACAACTGTGCCGTCTAGTCTAAGCTGCAGTCTATGGGTGGAGGGAAAGGGTATAGGTCACAGTCCGGGGACGTCTACGGCGCCATGGTTGCGCACTTCAGCGCATTCCTGGACGCGATGTACTCGTCCCTCTCCTTCTTGTACTCGGGGCAGACCTGCGTCAACGGCCTCAGCTCCCCATCAACGAGCACGTCGGGGTCGATCGTGCGGACCTTGGTCTGCGGGGGAATCTTGCCGGGACACTCTAACGTCGCCTCAGCCTCGATCTCGTCCATTACCCTCTGCTCCTCCTCGTTTGCGGCGCCACGGAGCGCGACCCAGAACTCCTTGTCGGACATGCTCCACAGGACGTCGTCTGGCAGACGCCCGCTCGACACTACCGAGCCGATCAGCGCTCCCGCCCGAGACGCCATGCGCACGTGGGCCGGGTTCGACCAGATGTCCCTGTCGCTTGCGAGGTAGGCGCGCGCGAGGATCGCGGCGGCGTTCGGGTCGTCGAGAACGAGGGCACGTTCCGGAGAGGCCACGTCGGGCCAAGCGCGCAGAGAGGCAACAATAGTCTGCGCATCGGAGCGAGAGAGCTTGCCAAACGCGACACTGTCGCGGAGGCCGTAGTCGAGCCTGTCGGCGCATAAGCGCGGCGCATCGCGCTCGACGAGCGGGAACTCCTCCTCGTGCAGCACGCTGGGGCCGTCCGGTCGCGAGTCGCCCAGCGCATGTCGGTCGAGAAGGGCGGGAAGTTCTGTCGTGTCCACAAAGCGCTGCTTGTGAACCTCGTGGTATGACTCTCCGGGGCCACACAGCGCCCAGTCCATGACGTGTGAGAGGACGGTGTGCGAGACGTCGTGCAGGAGCGCGCTTGCCTGCTCTGGCACACTGCCGCCGACCCTTCGGACAAGCAGCATCGCACCGATGCTGTGCTCCAGCCGCGTGACTAAGGGCGTCAGCTCGAAGAGACCCGTGATCCCGTGCTGGCCGACGGAGAAGAGGCGGAGCAGCACTGAGGACCGCAGGAGATCGATGAGTGGAGGCTCCGTAATCGTGTACGAGGTGCCGTGCAGCTCGTCGTGGATTGTGATCGAATCGGATCCATAGGTGATCGTCTGCAGGTGGCCCGTCGCCTGCGGAGTCGGGATGGACGGGTCAAGTGTCTCGGGCAGCTTGGGCGAGAGGGCCATCGTGCTGCGGTGTCGGGTGTTTGGGAGGTGCAGGGTAGTCACGCGCTGGCGCGCGTTTTGAGAGGGGTGGATAGATAAGAGTAAACGTCGTTCTCGAACCAGCGAATCCGGTATTATCGGAGCAACAGATATCGATGTCGGGGTAAGAGAAAGTTTTGAGAGAGAAGGAGCGAAGTTGAGGTTCGAGTTATGTATCAACAACCGTTGGGGCGATATTTAGCGTCGTGTATTGCGGCTCGTCGTGCCTGATCTCGCCTCACCGTAGCCGGTCATTCACCCGGGTAAACCTCGGAGAGCTTTGTTTGTTTCATGTTGGTTCAGAGCGCCTTCGAGGCAGCCGATGCTTCGAAGGTCGACTACCTCTCGCAATGCACGCGCATAAGAAGGCTTGCCAAGTGATAAACACGCCGGTGAGGTTCCATATGCATGGTGGAGAAGTGACTGACCCCGTTAAGCTTTACGGTCGATGACTGCCTTCTGACCGGCGACCTCGTGACCCAGGTACGCCGACTGAATCGGATGCATCCTACTACTTCTCCCGCCTATACACGCTCAAACCACACCTCCGCGTCGTCCGGGTTCTCGCTCGGCTCAGGCAGCTTCACATTCCCAGGCGTGCTGAAGCGGCCATACATGCCAATGCCCTTGTCAGTGACGACAGCGACGCCAGACTCCATCATGGGCGGATCGTACTTGGCGCCGGTCCAGTTGTAGAAGCTTCCCTCGAAGGGCGTGAAGATGAGGTGGTCGATGAAAGCGCCATGCATGGGCGTGATAGAAGCCTTCTCCCTCGCGACGCCTTCAGGGAGATAGCTCATCACCTCCTCGTCCTCGAGGCGGGTCAAGTTCAGCGTCCCGTACGCCGGATGCTTGAACAGGCCCTCGACCCGCTTGCTCTTCTCTGGCTTGGGCGACGGGGGCGGTGAGTACGACCTCTTGACAGTGTCCCAAGCGCGCCCGCGCCAGTCGATCCGCGGCAAGTCTAGAATCTCGTCGACGATCGTCATCGTCGCGGCGCGCATGAAGAGGTGCCCGTAGTTGCCGTCGTTCGTGAAAACGGCAACCGACAGGCCGCGGTCAGGCATGTGCCAGATCTGGCTGATCTGACCGGGCAGGCCGCCCGTGTGCATTACGACGCGCTCGCCGCGGTACTGCAGCGTCATCTGGGCAAGACCGTAGGACATCCCCGAGAGCTCGCGCTCATGGTCCCTTCCCATGGGCATGACGGCGTCGCCGAGCTTGGCGATCATGGCAGGGGTGAGTTCAGTCTGGGAGGGGCGGAGGTACTCCCCCTGCCAGGCCGAGATGTCCCAGAGACTCGTCATGATGCCTCCGGGCCCCGCATTGTTCAGGCTGTCGCCCTCGATCCACCAGCCCAGATTCTGGCGCTTGCCCACGCACGACTTGCTCCCTACTCCTCGCTTGAGACACTTGGCGTACTCGACGTCGGTGTGGAAGTAGCCGTCGCTCCGCTTGCCTGTCAATCCGGCCGCGGTCGAGTTGTACGTCGTGCTCCGCATGTCGAGGGGCGCGAAGAAGTTCTCCTGCACAAAGTCGACGAATGGCCGTCCCGAGAGCACAGTCACAATGTGCGAGAGCGTGATGTAATGCAGGTTGTTGTACTGGAAAGCGTATCGCGGCTCGGCAGAGAAGGGGAGGTCGCGCATGCCCCTGATAGACTCAATGGGAGGTACGTCCTTGTACCATAGGTCGTGGGAAGGAAGCCCGGAGCGCATGCTCAGCAAGTCTGTCAGGTCCAGGTGCGCCGTCGCATACTCGTCCTCGAGCTTCCAGTCGTCACCAAGGATGTCGACGATCTTCGTGTCCCAGTCCAGCTTCTGACCGGAAGGGAGCTTCGTTCCGCGCTCGATCAGGAGGCTTAGACTGAGAGCGACGAATACCTTGCTGTTTGACGCAATCGCGAAGAGGGTCTGTCGTCAGCTCGGCAGAGCCACTGCAGCTTACATCCTCAGTAACAGGATCCTTGTCGTTCGCACGCCCGAAGAGAATGATCTGCGTGCGGTGCTCCTCCTCCGTGGACTTAACGACCGAGATGCCGCAGCCTTGGATGTCCCACTCGCGCCGAATCTTGTCGAGATAGTGCATCGTCGGCTTGGAGACCATCCGGTGCCCCGTCGAGCGCGGGGCGATGTCGGCGTTGCCATCGCTGTCGATCCAGCTCTGTACCGCGCTGAAGAGCGCCGTCAGCAGGGAGAGCTTCATGGTGAGCGAGCGGACGTGTGAGTGAGTGGGAGGTGGGTGGATGGGAGACAAATAGACGCGTGAGTGTTGCTATTTCAGGGGAGGGGCGCCGGCTAAGACGCCGATGTCTCTCGTGGACCGGGCGTGACACATGATCAGCTTGCTACTTTGTTCGGAATTCTGGAGCAGAGACGGCAAGTCGGTAGAGGGGTTGGTGCTAGGCTTCTACAGGTACTCTTCTGTCCGACATATGCTGGTGAGCTGTCGTTGGTTGAGCGATGCTCACAGCATCGACAGCCCAACCTTGTCCGAGTGACGTCGATATGGCCTCCACTTCTGGTGGTCGGTCAAATCCGAAAGCGAGGTAGTGGAGAGATATAGTTCTCTCGGACTGTTGACGAATGCTTGCACAAGTCGATATCATGCATGGTGTCTATGCTACAGCTTGGCATATAGTCTGATGTAAGGCTCGCGCTCTACGCCTTCAAGCTGAAGATCTCATCAAACAGCCCCATCCAGCCGCGGAACACGCCAACATCGCCCTGGATCTTGGCCGGCGCAGCAGGCTGGCAGTGTTGACGAGTGTGATTCTTCTCGAGCTTCTCCACAAGCTCCAGCAGAGCCGTCTCCCTTCCAACTCTTTTCACATACCCTTCCTTGGTGACCATATCGACCATGTGCAGAATGCTCTCGACTTTCGCGTCATGCGCAGCCTTGGCCTGTCCAGTGGCAGGAACGAAGACAGGCCCGCCCTCGCCGTGAATGACAGCGGGACCGGATGCACCGTAGTCGACGTCCTCGAAACGGTTGGCAGAAAGGTGCTCACGGAGCACAGCACGGAAGTGCTCGGCATAGTTCGGCACCGAAACAGCTTCCAGCCCGACAATGGTGAACTTGGCAGTGGGGGCGGTGGGCGCGGTCGCGGCCGAGCCGACGAACCCGTGAGGCGCACCGACGATAAGGTCCGCAACGTCCATACCGACGATGGGCTCGTTGAACGTCCCGAGGGCACCGGGGTCATCGAGGCTGCTGTAGCGGGGAATGACGATGACGACCTCCTTGACGTGGGGCGCGGGGCGATGGATTGCGCGCCACATGTCCGCGACAGGAATGTCGTCGCCGTTCATGTTGACTACGACCTTGGACACGGTGTCGGGGAGAACGTCCTCAAGCCCCGCGGGGAGATGGGCTGAGCGGTCGTGGCCGCCCCAGCCTGCGCGTGGAGTGGGGTTGCACTCGAAGCCGTTCGGGTTCGTGAAGAGCACGACAGTGCGGGAGGGCACAGGCACGTAGGGTGTGTAGCTCTTGAGACGACCGCGGCTGTTCGTCATCCGCAGCACTTGGAGCGAGGGAAAGCTCTCTTTCAACTTGAAGAGGTCGACAGAGGGCGGGAAGTAGCCGCGCACGTCGAGGACGTGAGCCTCAGGGATCTCGCCAGGATTGGAGAGATCGAGGGACTTGAGGCCAGGGATGCGGTGCGCGACGCCTTGGACGGAGATCTTGGCGCCGTTCGGGAACAGGATCAGGTGGTGCTTCAGAATGTTGTCGACGGCACGGAGGAAGGCTTTGCAGACAAGACGGAGACGGACTTGGTCGTCGCACGACAGGTGCGCGACGACGGAGTCGAGGGCTTGTGGGTAGTCGTTGTACGCTAACGAAAGGGGCATGACAAGAAGCTGGTGAATGTTGAGATGTCGTATCCTCTGGAGATAGTCACTACGAATGTTAAAGGACGCAAAGTGGGCACCTCGGACAAGTGAGGGGCGTAAAGCGTTTGCCAAGTGAAAGACTCTGTACGCAAACATGCTCATCTGCCGAGCAAGGGGCACATGCACGATGGGCTGTGTGTGTTGCAGCTTTTCGGCATCTGCATCAGCGCAGTGGAAGAAGAGGGCGAGGCGGAAAGCGGCGTTCGCAGAGTCAAACAACTCAGTGTACTCCCGCAAGTCGATCTGCTAGGGCGCATTATGCGCGCCTAAACATGCTCGGCTCGGTACTGCATATGTTCAGACGCCTTTGGCCTCTGGTAACGCGCTTAGCAGACTGCTGAGGAAACTCGCAAACGGAGGGGCAGCCTTGATCTATCTGGGGTAGACGCCTGCCAACCTCTGAGATAACTCGAGGTGGCGTCGGTTCTCGGACAATTTCGGTGAATATTTACTAAGAGACAGCAAAAGGGCGACTACAGGGCACCTTCGTGCAGCAATTCATCTATGCGTACTACCTGATGAGCATTGCCACATGGCGAAGGGAGCTCGTCAACCTGTGACCGTGATAACAGAGGATAAGAGGCCGAGCGGCTACGAGAGATTACGCCATGGCCATCGTGATGGCGACGGTCGACGGTTGCTAGGCACTCGCTGTCGCACGCCGGGGACCCCGCCGACGATCGTTATCAGGTTGACGCCCTCGCATACGACAGCATCGAGCTCCTCCACTTGTACAGTTCTGGATCCTGGCTCTTCGTGAGGATGACGGGCCACCGACGGCCAGGACGGGGAACGCTCACTTCAACCGTGACCGAACATCTCTCGCTAGTTCGCTAGGACCTGCATTGCACAGGAGCATCAAATACGTGCTCGCCTGAGGAGGGGGTAACACGTATATCGTTGCCATGCAGCAAGCCGCTTGCTAGGTGAGTGTAATCATGATCTGACCTTGACGTGCGGTAGAGAGATTAGTGTCGCCAGATGCGCTAACATCGCGAACACCGGCTAGTTCACGCCGAACGCATCGTGATCGATCAGCTGTCCAGCTGGAGAGCAGCCGTTTCACTAGCGTCCACACTACTTGCCGAGCTGCCGACATCACCAGTTGCTGGAACGAAGCTAAGTTGGCTTAGCGACCGGAGTCCAAAATAGTGCGGCAAACACAGACTAAGCGGCGAGCTAACCCCTACTAACGTCTAGGTCCATTCCAGCGTTTCAGCAATCCGCAGTAGCGTGCACTGACGACCGCTAATGCGCCGAGAACGAACTAGAAGCTGATAAGAAGTGAACTAGGTGCGATCAGGTGGCCACGGTGATCATTGCGCAGACACGCGATCGAGGACTGATAACCCGATAACCCTTAGCACGACACTGATTGCTGATATCACGCAAGTGGCTTATCGCTCGGGTTATATCTTCCGCCGGACTCGTCGAAAGTCACCTCCCTCTGCATTGCTTCTGATCAATGAAGGATCAGCATAATCAGTCTAGCACAAGACAGTTAGCATGTGAGTCAGAAAGGACATTGACGCTTTCAATAGCTGCGAGTGCTCGAAGTTAAATCCGTTTCCAGCCTGTGGGCGGCCGCCACAATTCGGGGATGATGACTAGAGGGCGCGTGTGAGCCCATTCAGTCCGTTTTGCAGGTGACAGTGAGTTACTTCAGCCGACGAGCATCATGACGATCGAGCAGCAAGATTCACGATCGAACGGCTCCACTCTACACGGCCACCCCACCACCGTATTAACGCAGAGTGTAAAGGCAGACGGAAATCGAAGGCCGCTGCAGTCTCTCTACTGCGCCCACTCCTCCGGCTGATCCAGGCCGACGTCTTCGACGCAGGCGGGCGGAAGATCGCCGTGTGGTACGACACGGTCCCCGGATCTGACTTAGAACCCTAGTAGGCTTACTCGGGGTGGAGCAGGCTGAGCATAAACATCGGGTTTCCGTGCAAAGTGGTGGGAACCCGGCGCGCTTGTAGACAAGCAGACAGGTCCGCCTGTGCGGGTCGTTGGAGCGCAGCCTACCTGCCGAAGGTGCTGATAAGGTTAGCGCACATTAACGGGTTCCAGTCACCGGCGGGATGCTGTAATCCTGCGCTATGCGTTGGCGCTAGAGTGCCGAGTGTCTGGACATAAACAGCGGCAAGACGCACTAGCTCGCGCTAGCACGGTAGTGCGCAGCAGGTCGGCCGACTCGTACCAAGGCTCAGAATGCTCTAAATGTGGACATGCTGGACATCTGGTTCGCTTGACATGGTGCGAAGGGCAGACGTACTCGCTGCGGCAATGCGGACCGGGGACCGGCTGAGGATCCGGTAACCGGGGTGGGTTCGTGCTCCCAGCTTCCAGCTTAGCCCCGCCTAGCCCACCCCGCGCCGGCCTACCCTGCGTCCTGCTTCCCGGTTCAAGGACAGGACATGCCGCATGCGCGCGCTTCCTAGCTTGGCCCCGTTCTGTCTAGCGCTGCACATGGGGCCTCCAAGCTCGAGGCTAGCATGGAATGACGAAAGTAGATCTCCCGCCCACGATAGTCGAATCTACGTCAAAAGCAAGTCATGAATCAAGAGCGCGGTCGAGCAGTGGATCGATGTGTGGATTGAGTTGTGGATCGATGTGTGGATTGAGTTGTGGATGAGGTATGGGTGTGGATATCCACGAACCGCCGCCACCGGACTGGCACGGACTGGCGACGCCTGGAGATTGTCTGGCGCATTCCTATTCATCTTTCGGACATGACAGACAAGCTTCGAGGGTGCCTGTCAGAATGTGGTGGGCGAACTCAACCCGAGGCGTCGAACAGCCTCCACCTCTCTGCGCGTGGGCTCGCTTTGATCGTGGGCTTTGAACAATCAGATCAAAGATAGACTCGCGGCCGCTAACCGGAGCATGGAAAGCCTGAGGGAGCACCGGAGGCGGTGTGGGTCGCCGCAGATGCTCACATGAAGCTCAGAGGCGCATTTCGGTTAGAATCGCGATCTTCATCAACGCAGGTGGAGTCCGCGTGATCTGCGACAGTGCAAGTCAATTGTATCTTGGCTGATCCAGACCAAGCCAAGGGGTAAATGGGTTCGGCGCTAAATCATGGGCTGCAGAGGATGATATCAGCACTGAGACGCTTAGATGCACCAGCGACACGGTCCGTGGCTCTGGATACCTCTGAATTCGGACGGCCGCGCTCGCTAGCGCCTGCGCCCTTCCCTCGGGCCCGCCCTAGTGCACTAGTCTCTCTGCAAGACACCGCCTGCAACGCTACATCGCCCAAGCCATCGACTGCGGAGCGACGCTGATGAGCTTGTGGAAGGGCGGTGGGCCCGCCCTGCTTGAATAGGAATAGCGTCCTGACTAGCGCCAAACTAAGTCACCTGCCGCTCACGGCGTTCTCGGCACCAAGGAAAGGGTGCTGAGATGAGGGTGTTCGTCGTGAGGGATTGAGTGGAGGAGGTGGAGAACCCACAAAGACCCCGGACGAGAGGACGAAGACAGGGTGCGGGGGAGTGAAAGAAGCCTGTGGACGGCGCATGGGTGAATTGATCGCCGTCAGAGCGACATGACGAGGTTTACGAGAGGGAGACGCGAGAGACGCGTCTGACGATGCCAGAAACTGAAACCAGGCCCTGCATCTGCTCTCAGACAAGCGCTGACGTCGAGTCTCATGTCACAGACCCTTTGCAGCCATTCTTAGCCATCATTGTCATGCTCTCTCCACCTGCAGCGGGCATCTCAGCCATGGCTAATTCGCCAGGCGATGCGGTCAACTGTCCACGGACCACGAGCAACGCCTCCGTACCTCACTGTACCTCGTCTTCCTGCCTCAGGCCTTGGCTATACAAGAGAGTGCCCGTGCTCGCTGAGACTTGCCGGGCGTGATGCGCCAGGCGCGACAGGCGTCGACGCCCCGACGCCTCCGAGGTGCGGGGAGAACACGAGAACAACAAGAATAGCGCCAGAGGACATTGCGGTTTCGGGTGCCAGGCACCGGCAACTCACCCTTCATATCCGTTCATCACTTTGCTCTCATTCCGTCCTGAACCTTGTTGCGCTCCTCCTGCCTGCCTCTCAGCTAGGCCTCCTGAGCACCTGGCGTACGACACCACCGGCCACGTTTCCGACACCGCACCCTGCACGGTCTTGCTCCGCGTGCCCTTTGGGCGGCTCTGCTCTCCGTTGAAGTCGCTGCAGCCTTCGAGGTCTCCAGACGTCCAAAAGCCCTGGCACTGGGTTCTTGATACAACGCTAGTGCAGTCTCAGATCGGATGCGCTTGGAGGGCCCTGACTCCCTTCGTACTAGTGACCTCACGAACTCATGAAGCGAGGTATCTCGAAGATCAAGCTCAGCAGGCAGCGCTGACTGACAGGGAATTGCCCGAAGACGACACGGCCTAGTGCGCGGCTGGGACCACAAGGGACGCAGGATCGAGGGTTATCGGTCGAGGGCCCCACGTACTCCAGTCCAAGCTCTGACCGCACGCCGCCTTCGCTGTCAAGCATGACCTGAACAAGACGTCGAATGATCCTGAGGACGTGAGCAGGCACAGCGCGCCGGGCGACAGCCGGTCGTGGGTCGCGTATGGAATCGCATGGGACCCCGTGGGTGAGGTCTTCCCGTGGCTTGAGCCCGGACAATGTCATGTCGCGCCGACCAATCATCGTCGCATCCTCCTGCTTTTCTCAGCGTCACAATTCGGCCAAGCGCTGGGCGGAGTCTGCACGTGAGCTGTGTTCAGGTCCCTTCAGGATCACGATCCAGGTGGGACAGGACACAGGACAGGACGCGGCGCGCACACACTCCACCCCGCACCAGAACCGCATGCGGAAGTCGACTCGGCAACATCATCCTCACCCCCGGCCTCCTCTCCGCATCTTCATCACAGCCCATGTCCATCTTGGTCTCGCCCTCCTGGCATCGCCCGACGCGGCCAGTCGGGCTTCGAGGGCACATCGGGCAGGCATGCCTGTCTCACGCCTCCTCAGGAGGACAGACAGCCTTGCGCCGTCTGCAGCGGCCCCGCACCCCTCCAGAGCCCATGGCTGCAGGAGAACCCATCCGTGCTGACTTCGGGGCACTCACTACTGATCTCTCGCGGCTCCTACCTTCGCTGCCCATGCTTCCTCTGTCTGAACCCCTTTGCAGTGCGCAGCTCTTCTCTTCCTGATCATACCGTGGTTGTACCGGGTCTCGGGAACACTGACTGTTGACTGCACTGACGGCGGACCGGGTGCCCGCATATAATAGCTCTGCCGCTCACCCTCTCCTAGCTTCTTCCCAAGCTCGACGCACCCCACTCCCCACACTCCTTCACCATGAAGTTCTGGACTGTTGCCATCACGGCAGCGGTCGCCGCGTCTTCGGTACGCGCGGGTCGCCTCGACGGCCTCAATGAATGTCTCACCGAATGCCTGACGGAGGCCTCGAACAAGTCGAACTGCGCTGGCGAGGACGACCTTGCCTGCATCTGCAGCGACGCCTACCGTAACAACGCTGCTGGCTGCCTCACCTCCAACTCCAAGTGTGGCTCCAAGGACCTTATGGACGCTCTCGCGCTGTCGAGCAAGACATGCTCCGGCGACGCCACCAAGGCCCCCGAGCCGACCTCCGATGCCCCTCAACCCACTTCTTCCGCTGAGCCCGAACCGACCTCGTCCGCTGAGCCCGAGCCCACGTCCGCTGAGCCTGAGCCTACTTCCGCTGAGCCTGAGCCTACCTCTTCCGAACCCGCCCCTACTTCCGCTGCCGAGCCCGAGCCTACCCAGATTGAGGGCGTTTCGCCTTGCGCTTCCAAGTGCCTCGTCGAGGCCGCCGCTAAGCAGGGATGCAAGGGCCAGGACGACCTCGCCTGTGTTTGCACCAACGAGTACACCTCTGCTGCTACTCCCTGTGTGCTCCAGTGCGGTGCCGCTGATGTTCCCGCCGTCCTCGCCATGAAGGAGAAGAAGTGCTCTGGTGCAGCTTCGTCCTCGGCCGGCCCGGAGCCGACCTCGGCCGAGCCGACCACTGAGCCGTCGACTTCTTGCGAGCCCGAGCCTACCTCGTCCGCCGACAACTCTACGCCCACCGCCATCGAGGGTGTCCCCGAGTGCGCCTCCAAGTGCCTCATCGACGCCGCCGCCAAGCAGGGATGCAAGGGCCAGGACGATATCGCCTGCGTCTGCACTGACGCCTACACCAACGCTGCCACCCCCTGTGTCGCCGCCTGCGGTGCCGACAGCATCACCGCCGTTCTTGCTATGAAGGCGAAGAAGTGCTCGGGTGGCTCCCAGCCAACTGGCTCCTCCTCCGGCTCTCCTCAGCCGACCACCTCTGGTGGTTCGACCGTCATCGAGGGTGTTCCCGAGTGCGCTTCGAAGTGCCTCGTCGATGCCGCTGCTAAGCAGGGATGCAAGGGCCAGGATGACATTGCGTGCGTTTGCACCGATGCCTACACCAACGCCGCTACTCCTTGCGTCGCCGCCTGTGGCGCCGACAGCATCACTGCCGTCCTCGCCATGAAGGCCAAGAAGTGCTCCGGTGGCTCTCAGCCCACCGGCTCCGGCTCTACCTCCAGCGGCGGTTCGCAGCCTACCGGTGGCAACACTGGCGGCAACGGCCCGGTCACTGTCACTGTCACCGACCACGTCACCGACACTGTCACCAAGACCCAGACCCAGACCACCACTCAGACTGTCGAGGGCGAGTGCGAGGCGACCGGCCACCCGACCGGCGGCCCCACCGAGCCGACTTCCCCCACCTCTTCTGGCGGCTCCACCCAGCCCACCGGTGGAACCCAGATCGAGGGTGTCTCCGAGTGCGCTTCCAAGTGCCTTGTCGCTGCCGCTGAGAAGCAGGGCTGCAAGGGACAGGACGACATTGCCTGCGTGTGCACTTCGGAGTACACTGCTGCTGCCACCCCCTGCGTTCTCGCTTGTGGCGGTGCTGACGTTTCTGCGGTCCTTGCCATGAAGGAGAAGAAGTGCTCTGGTGGCTCCCAGCCTACCGGCTCCGCCTCCTCCGGTGGCCAGCAGCCCACTGGCGGCAACACTGGCTCTTCGACTTCGTCCGGCGGTTCCACCACCCCCACCGGCGGCTCTGAGGTTATCGAGGGCGTTTCGCCCTGCGCGTCCAAGTGCCTGGTTGAGGCCGCTGCTAAGCAGGGCTGCAAGGGCCAGGACGACATCGCGTGCGTGTGCACTGCCGAATACACCAACGCCGCTACTCCTTGTGTCCTCGCCTGTGGTGCTGCCGACGTTGGACCGGTCCTTGCTATGAAGGAGAAGAAGTGCAACGGTGCTCAGCCCTCCGCCTCGGCTTCTGCCTCTGCCTCTGGGGGCACTACCGGTCCGTCCGCTTCCGCCTCGACTTCTGGTGGCCAGACCGAGCCTACTGGTGGCTCCGAGGTCATTGAGGGTGTCTCGCCTTGTGCCTCGAAGTGCCTTGTTGAGGCTGCTGCCAAGCAGGGATGCAAGGGCCAGGACGACATTGCTTGTGTCTGTACCTCTGAGTACACCAACGCTGCCACGCCCTGCGTCCTCGCTTGCGGTATGTCCGACGTTACTGCCGTTCTTGCCATGAAGGAGAAGAAGTGCAACGGCGCTCAGCCCTCGGCTTCGGCTTCGGCCTCGGCCTCGGCCACCTCCTCTGGCGGCCAGACTGAGCCTACCGGCGGAACCCAGATCATCGAGGGTCTCACCGAGTGTGGTTCCAAGTGCCTGATTGACGCCGCTGCCCAGCAGGGATGCACTGGCCAGGATGACCTCGCCTGTGTCTGCACTGCCGAGTACAAGAACGCCGTCACCCCGTGCATGCTTAATTGCCCCGCCGACATTGCGGCCGCCCTCGCCCTCTCCGACAAGAAGTGCTCTGGTGCTGCCTCCTCGTCCGCCGGCCCCGAGCCCACTTCGTCGACTGAGCCCGAGCCTACCTCCTCCGCCCCCCAGCCTACTGGATCCGGCACCGTCATCGAGGGCGTTTCGGAGTGTGCCTCGAAGTGTCTCGTTGCCGCCGCTGAGAAGCAGGGCTGCAAGGGACAGGATGACATTGCTTGTGTCTGCACCACAGAGTACACCTCGGCTGCCACTCCCTGCGTTCTTGGCTGCGGCATGGCCGACGTCACGGCTGTCCTCGCCATGAAGGAGAAGAAGTGCAACGGCGCTGCCACCTCGTCTGCCGGTCCCGAGCCCACTTCCCAGGAGCCCCAGCCCACTTCTTCGGAGCCCGCCCCCACCTCTGACGCTCCCCAGCCCACTGGCTCCGGAACTGTGATTGAGGGCGTTTCGGAGTGCGCGTCCAAGTGCCTCGTCGCTGCTGCTGAGAAGCAGGGCTGCAAGGGACAGGATGATATCGCTTGTGTCTGCACCACCGAGTACACTTCGGCTGCCACTCCGTGCGTTCTTGGCTGCGGCATGGCCGATGTCACCGCCGTCCTCGCCATGAAGGAGAAGAAGTGCAACGGCGCCGCCTCGTCCTCTGCTGGCCCCGAGCCGACCACCTCTCAGCCTGAGCCCACTTCCGACGCCCCCCAGCCTACCAACAGCGGCACCGTTACCCCGATCGAGGGTGTTTCTGAGTGTGCTTCTAAGTGCCTCGTCGCCGCCGCCGAGAAGCAGGGCTGCAAGGGCCAGGATGACATCGCCTGTGTTTGCACTAGCGAGTACACCTCTGCCGCTACCCCCTGTGTCCTCGCCTGTGGCATGGCGGATGTTACCGCTGTCCTCGCTATGAAGGAGAAGAAGTGCAACGGTGCGCCCCCCGCCTCCTCCTCCGGCCCCACCCCTACCTCTGAGCCTTCGGCGTCCACCTCGGCCGAGCCCACTGGCAACCCCGAAATCATCGAAGGCCTGAGCCCCTGCGGCTCCAAGTGCCTCATCGACGCTGCCGCCCAGCTTGGCTGCAAGGGTCAGGACGACATTGCCTGTGTTTGCAAGCCCGAGTACCAGTCGGCTGTTACTCCTTGCATGCTCAAGTGCCCGTCTGACATCACTGCCGCTCTCGCTCTCCAGAGCAAGAAGTGCTCTGGCTCGTCTTCGTCTGCTGGTCCCACCGCCGGCCCGACCGGCTCCGCCTCTGCCTCGTCCGAGGGTCCTCAGCCTACCAGCCCTGTCATTGAGGGTCTGACTGAGTGCGGCTCCAAGTGTCTCGTCGACGCCGCCGCCACCCACGGCTGCAAGAGCCAGGACGACACCGCCTGCGTCTGCACTGACGCTTACCGCGGCACCGTCACCCCTTGCATCATCAAGTGCCCCGCCTCTGACCTGACCGCTGCCCTCGCTCTCTCTGAGAAGAAGTGCAAGGCTGAGCCGTCCGCCACCTCGCCCGGTGTCCCCGAGCCTACCTCGACCGGCGGCACCGGCGGTCTCCCTGACATCTCCAAGCTCTCCCCCTGCGCCCTGAGCTGCGTCCTTGACACTCTCGGCAAGGCCGGCTGCTCTGGACCCACCGACACTGGCTGCCTCTGCACTGAGAAGTTTACCAACATGGCCTCCGACTGCCTCCAGGCCAAGTGCCAGGCCGCTGACATTGTCTCGTCGCTCAACCTCCAGCGCGAGATGTGCCCCGACCTCGGTCTCCCTGACCTTGGTGCTCTCCCCTCGTGCCCTCTTGGATGTGTCCTCGAGACGCTCAAGAAGAAGGAGTGCTCCGGCCCGCTTGACAAGAACTGCATCTGCAAGCTCAACTTCAGCACGAGCACCATGGGCTGTCTCATGAAGAAGTGCAAGTTCAAGGGTCTCAAGGAGTCTCTCGAGCTCCAGATCGACCAGTGCCGCGGCTCGTCTGACGTCTGCGAGGCCACTGGCATCTGGCGCGTGACCAACATCCGCTGCTGGTTCCAGAAGCGCGGATACTACGAGGAGCAGATCCTCGCGCGCCGCGGTACTCCCGCCGCGCACATGCTCCGCACGGTCGCATAAGCGCCCGTGTTCACCCCTGGGAGTCTCCACCACTAGCTCTCTAAGTCTCGAATAGTTTCCTCGAGACGGAGGCTCCCTCCCAAACAACATGATGAAGATAGCAAGCTGTGTGCAGCCGAGTCGAATACCACCCCCCGTTCTTAAGTTGATTAATCAGAGTGACTGCTCGCTCCAGCCACTCGCCCTGTGTTATATTCACCCACCAAGCGTAGCGTGCAAACCAACACCAAGCGCGACCGCCAACCCCCCGCCCGCGTGAAGCACGCCAAGTTCCCCCTCCCCGCCCTGGTCAATATAACACAACACAGTCCTTTGATATATAGTTTAAGCAAGCCCACCCGTGAATGGCAACCCATACCGTGTCAACAGCAAGTAAAGACAAGACTACCGAAGCAAGATGGCAACAAGTTTTAGCAGACAGACTCTATTATGGCAGCGTCGGCCTGGCCTCGATGGTCGAGTGCTGGCGCTTTGAATATTAAGCGAGAATAACTAGAACTGGTGTTGCGGGAGCAGATGCACAGAAGCTTCGATTGAACTTACTGCGAGCGAGATGACCTCAGCGTCAGCCAGTGACAAGGATGCGCTGACGATCATGCTGACATCAGAAGGATCAACGTCAGCATTCATCGATCGATCACCGTCGATGCTCCGGACGCGGATGTGCAGATGTTCCAGAATGCCAGGGTCGGGTTCGCTTATCTGACGCCCGTAAACGCGGAAAAGTGGAGGTGCGGAGTCATGTGCTTCTCGGCTCCGTGTTCTCCGTAAGTCCGCCAGGATCCAGTCCCCATCGAATAACTCTGTTCTCACTGGTCGATGGAGCGAACTGATAAAGTTACCCGATCTTACCCCGGTGCAATACACGCTGCCCAGGCTCACGGCAGGCTCGGCACCAAGTTCCTGCGAGAATGTCACCTGAGCACCTGCGCGCGCGCGTGCGTAATAAAGACCAGACTCTGACCGAGGTGTTGCCCTCGAGACTCTCACACTCACCACATCACACACTCTCTATCATCTATTACTCGAACACTTACACTCCTTACACCGACGAACGAGAGCCACCATGTCCAAGCCCCTGAAGCCAATGACCCGCGACGAGGTTGCGCAGCACAACAAGGCCGGCGACCTGTGGATCATCATCGACTCGATCGTCTACGACCTCTCAAAGTTCGGCAAGCTGCACCCTGGCGGCATCGGTGTTCTGCTTGACAAGGATGTGGCCGGCAAGGACTCGACGACAGTCTTCTACGGCCTGCACAGGCAGGAGGTGCTCCAGAAGCCGCAGTACCAGCGCCTCCGCATCGGACAGATCGAGGGAGAGGAGCCTAAGATCCGTCTCAAGGGCCCCAGCGACCTCAGCAAGGTGCCATACGCCGAGCCCGCCTGGCTCACGCCCGACTTTGTCAGCCCGTACTTCAACGACTCGCACCGCACGCTCCAGAAGAGTGAGTAAGAGAACAAAGACAGCGCACTGGCTCCATGCCGGTGGAGCCGGCCCCGAGGGCGTTGTCGTTAGCGAGCTCGGTGTCTCTCAGGCGTTGGCTGAGCTCAGCCGCCCTGTGTGCGCAGGCGGGGCGCTCCATCTGCATACAGGACGAGCTGTCCTGTGACCTCACAGCCTGCTCCCTTCTCTGCTGCATCACGCTGACATCAGACATGCGCAAGTTCATCACTGAGGTGGTTGCCCCCGATGCGCAGGCGTGTGAGGAGAACGGCAAACGACCTTCCAAATCTGTCCTCGACCAGATGGCGGCGAACGGCATGAACCGCATGCGCATGGGACCGGGCAAGCACCTGCACGGACGAGACCTGATGGGCGTCCCGGGCGAGAAGTTCGACTACTTCCACGAGCTGATCGTGAATCAGGAATTCGCCCTCTGCGGTGGACGCGGATACGTCGACGGATGCCAGGGCCACATGGTCATTGGGCTTCCGCCGATCATGAACTACTGCGAGGAGCCGATGAAGACGCAGGTCATGGACGAGGTGCTCGACGGACACAAGCTGATTGTGCTCGCTATCACGGAGGCGTTTGCGGGTAGCGATGTCCAGGGCCTTAGGTGCACGGCGACGAAGAAGGAGGACGGATCCGGATGGATCATCAACGGCACAAAGAAGTGGATCACGGGCGGCACAAATGCGGACTACTTTACCGTCGGTGCCAGGACGGGCAAGCACCTGTCTGTGTTCCTCGTGCCCCGTTCCGAGGGCGTCAACACGAAGCAGATCAAGACGTCATATGGCACGACGGCCGGAACCTCGTACGTCACCTTCGACGATGTCGAGGTGCCCAACTCGGCGCTGATCGGAAAGGAGAACGACGGCCTGCACGTCATCCTCGCCAACTTCAACCACGAGCGGTGGATGATTGCGTGCCAGACGATCGCCTACTGCAGGAAGGCGGTCGAGGAGTGTCTCCTGTGGGGATCTCAGCGTTTCGTGTCGGGCAAGCCCCTGCTCGCTCAGCCCGTCATTCGTGCCAAGCTCGCCAACATGATTGCGCGCACCGAGGCGGCCCAGGCCCTGCTCGAGGCGATCACGTACCAAATGTGCAACATGGACTACAAGAAGCAGAGCGCTGCCCTCGCCGGTCCCATTGGCTTCCTCAAGATGAACGCGAGCAAGACTCTCGCCGAGGTCTCGGACGAGGCTGTCGCCATCTTCGGCGGTCGCGGCCTCACCAAGACGGGAATGGGCCGCTTCGTCGAGCAGATTCACAGGACGCGCAAGTTTGACGCTATCCTGGGTGGAACGGAGGAGGTCCTCGGTGACCTTGGAGTGCGCCAGGCGTGAGTACCCCAGAGATGTATGAAGAACAAAGCTAACGAGCAGGATGCGCAAGATGCCCGCCGACCAGAGGCTGTAAACGGTGGGCTCACAGTCTAGAGTGGGACTTCCCAGAGGCGAAAAAGTAAAATCATATCGTAGGCACATTGTGCAAGTTGCTAATGCAGTCATATCTCGTTGTACTTGCGCAATGGGTCACAGGAGAGAGCGGAATGTGTAATGGAGGTGGGGCCGAGGTTGAGCGGAATCTCGCTCATGGAGAGTCATATGCCTGAAGCGAAGAGACCGTGACCCATCGGCGCCGACTCCGCCGATGACCCGTGCGGTGTGTCTAGAGAGAATTCACGGCTTACAAGCCTTGTCGTGTTCATGAAGAAGCCGGTGCAGGAGTGTCAGGAAACAAAGTGTCCGCTAGGCTGCCTCGGGGTGCTTCACGATGGATCAACATGAGAGCGATGAATGTTCGCCGTGTGTTCCGTCATGCTAAGCTCTACAGACACAAAGGAGCTCAGGCACGCATGCCTTCCTCGATGCACACGGGAGCGACTCGGGTCCGACAGGCTATAGCTTTGTTTAGGGAGGGAGGGGCAGCAGCATGTCTCTGATCCCCCAGACCGAACGCGACCCAGCTTCTAGAGCACAGCCGTGCCGGTGCTGCATGTACCCCGCAAGAGCTTTGATGTCTCGGAGTCACGCTGGAAAAGGACGATGCGAGCTTAGCTTTGTGGTGTGCGAAAGCGAGTGATAGAGCACCAGTGCTTACGGCGTCGAAGACAGATTTCCATCCTGCAACTGCTGATCGACGATCATGGGTATGTGGCACCGCATGGCTCTACCCCCTTTCACAATGACGATGGCGTGAGTTAGTGCATCTAGTCCGCTAATCAAGGTTCTTCCTGGACTGAAGAGGATACATACGGTGCTCGCGGGTTCCACCGCCTCGCACCAATCCCAGGACGCTGCTACTGTATGTGTCTCATCGCTAGCTGTGCTCGCCGTCTGTGCGGCTGATCTCTGGCAGCACATTGTACACGTTGCTTGCAGATCTCACGGCGCACCTTGATGTCCAGCCCGGGTCCGACGCCGTTGCCAGGGACACCGTTGAGGCGGTGACGGATCCATGACCGCGTGTGAGTGTGGATTGCTCTCATGGCGATGTCGCCGCTGTGCACCATGGCAAGAGTATTCAGCGGGGTCGGCGTGCCCGGTGCCAGCAGTACGGATTCAGTTCCGAACCTAGACACCGCTCATAATCTCCCATGGTATTCACGGGGTGCATGTCACAGTCGCAATGTGCATGGGAGTATGTATTGGTACAAAAGGCCAAGCTTTATGCGTTGGGTTGCGAGAAATGGAAAGATGAGGTACGCAGAAACTTTGAAGATGGATGGCCGGACCGATGCTCCGGATCTAGATAATGCCGCAGGGGGATGCGACCTTTTGATATCCGATCTGATCACACAAGCCAATCAGCATGCGGCACCGGCACCCCCCCTCCTTCTCGTCGTCGGTCACTCACGATGGCGCTACGGCTTAGGCTCGGGTTAGCCTCACACCGCAGCGTCGTGCGAGGCATGCTTCACTGGCGTATCGCGGGCTGTATCGCACTTCGCACCCGGCCCAACACAGGCGGCTTGAGGGCTGGAATCTCGGAAGACGCGGCGTACATCCTTTTCCCCGCTGCGGGCGTGCCTCTGCACCTGGGCAAGCTGGAAGTGCTGACGAGATCCCCCGTTTCTGACAAGGCTGACAGGACTGAGTACCGGAAGCCGGCACCTCTACTCGCCGTCTGCTTGCTGTTTAGCTGTTCGATTGTCTCATCTCCAATCTCGACACTACGCAAGCCCAGGCGCCGCCGCGTTATTGCCCGCCTCACTTGGCTGCTCACACGCCTCATCTTTCCGCCGCGTATTTATAGGTCTCGCTTTGGCCGAGACCCTCTTAGCGCGCACTCAACCCCCATTGTTGTAGATCACCCCCATTCAATAGAAATTTCACTTGGTTTGGCGGTGTCTCTTTCTACCTTTTCTGTCATGACGAGCTCGCGGTCGACAAAAGAACCAACCCGGTCCTCTTGCGATGAGTGCCGCAAACGCAAGCTTCGCTGCACTCCCCAACCTGGGGGTTGTGCACGCTGCATTACTCGCGGACTGAGCTGCACTTTCAGTGAGTTGTCTCCCTTCAACCTTCTCGTAACCAGCCACCACATTGAGGATTGACACTTAGGCGCTCGGAAACGTATGGGCCGACCACGCACTGTGAACCGCGATCGCTGTCTACCTCCAACACCACCACGAGACCACGACTATTCTCCCCCCTTAGACCTGGGCGAGCTCGAGTGGCTCATGTCCCCAACTACTTCTACCTCAGCCTCGACCGCTGAGTCGCCCCTCCTCATGCCTTTGCCAACATTTGACCAGCCATTGTGGGACGCGCTAGGCTTTCCATTGACCCCGCTCTCGTCTACGCTGGCTTCTACTCTTCCTTCACCTGGCTTTCCCTTTGAGAGCACCTTCCCCGATTTGCACGCCATGCCACATAGCTCTGACCTCATCGGCGTCGACGCAGAATCGAACTGCCTCAATTGTAGCTCTCCGGAGATCACCCAGCCAAAAGAGGATGAAGAGGCGAGATGCTTCTGCAACTCGACCACGCTCATCGACTCCCTACGCTCGACGCTCCGTTCAAGTGTCGGCGTCGAGGAAGGTCTTCGCTCAGCCTCACGCGCCAGCGCAACATGTTCCCGCTCCCGATCCTGCGACGTGTGCGCCAAAGATCCCTCCACCCCGATAGCGGCATTCACGGTGCTGTCGCTTGTATCCCAGATCCTGGCCGCGGCGGTGGACGGTGTGCTAAGTGCTGTCGGCGGTGCTGAACTGTTGGGGGAGCATCCGGACTCATCGCAGCCTGAGTGTGGGAAGGCGACTGGCACCGGAAAGTCTGAGACGCCTCGTGACGACGCCATGTGCACACCCATTCCAGCAGAGCCACTCGGCACCCCCTCGCCCGCGTTAGAAAGGTTTAGCCTCAACGTAGTCACAGTCAAGATAGGCAACTTCACCCTCTCCTACCGCAATTCACGCCGCGTGCTCCTCGTAGCTCTCCAGGATTCGCTCCGCGGTCTCCGTGACGCCGGTTCGGAATTCCGGATGGGGGACATGACCTGCGGACTCGAAAAGCAGATGGCTGAAACTGAGACAAAGATCTCCGCCAGTCTTAACGAGCGGTAGTCCCTTGATCTCTTGATCAAGACAAGGAAACCGAGGATCAGAAGTCACCACTCAACTGTACATCATAGCATTGCGGTACACAAAGAACATTCACGGGCATGTAAAGCATGGAACACTTCTCCTAACTCTGTCTTTTGGCTCGTAGCCAGTGCGGTGCACGTCTCGGTGAGGGAGGTGCGTGTATATCCTGCAACTCCGGGTTCGCTGGGGAGACTTCGCCCGAAACATGATGAGGCAGGTCACGACGCCAGGGCCTCAAGCGCAACCGGCGAGCGTACATTTGCAGTGTATCAGCCAATGGAGTCTCTCGCCGCTTGGCATGCACACACCGACGTTAGCAGTGAACACACATCCCTATAGCTGTCTTCTCGGCATCGCCAGCTCCCTCACCGGCATCACCCCGAACACCACCATCACCTCAATCTTATCCGCAACACGCTCCAGCTGCGGAACACCAACTTAACTTTCCCTCGGCCCAGTCCTCTCCACCTCCACCACGATGACCAGCAGCCTCCACCACATCTGCCAACTCTCGTTCTCATACCTCCAACACGCGGTGGCGTCCGGACCACCCCGCTCCGCGCCCGCAGCGGCCCGTCCCCTCCCCAATCGCTGCAGGGCACAAGGCGAGATGGCCGAGTGGTTTTAAGGCGATCGCTTGCTATCAGCAAGATAAGAGCGGTTGGGTTCTCCCGCGTGAGTTCGAATCTCACTCTCGTCGGTGGATCCTGGATCTCAGGATCTGGGATCTCTTTTGCTTCCTCCGCAGGGTTTGGAAGAGGCCAAGGAGGCTCAAGGCTCTCTTGAGAGCCATTTGGTTGGACGAGATTGAAGGGTTGGGAGAGGTGTGGGGTGGCTGGCTTGTGAGGGTACGTCAGGGTGTCAGCGCCTTGAGGGCGGTCAGTGAAAAGTGCAATCGTAATAGTACATGCTCCGTCTACAAGTCCAGTCGTCGTGAGCTGCGCTCGATGTTTTCTAGGCGAGCATGGCTAGTGCCGCGGTGGCGATGATGACGCCAATGCTTGCACTGTTGGCGTAACCAGCCCCAGTCCCCGTGACCTTGTTCAGCTGGACAGGGTATCCGCCTCCATTCTCAATACACGGTTTCCAGAAGATGTCGTAGATGTTCTTCTTCTCCGCCTCGTCCTTGTGGAACACGCACGCCTGTCCATTGGCCGGATCACTCGTGTCGGCGTGACGCCACCAGAAACTCGTGTTTTGGGCCATCTCGCAGCACTCGCTGATTAGCGTCAAATCCTCCTGAATGCTGGAGTAGACGACGCGATTGTCCTCTGAGATCGGGGCGCTGGAGCCCATTCCGCTCACGGTGTAGATCGGGAAGGGGCGGTTTGGTACGTCGCGCTGTAGTTCCGCCACGCGCTCATCGTAGCCCTTGCACTCTGTCTGATTTGTGCCTGATCGCGCGACGCACTCCGTGAACCCAGTGACGTTCCGATCACCGAGGAGGCAGAGACCTTGGTAGCCCGTCGCTGCGTTGTAGTATCCTTTGTAGAGGGCTGTGTTGGACATGCTGTTGCAGCAGGACTCGGTCGTCTTGTTTGAGAGCGTGGCGCACATGGGCGTATCACCTGGCGGAGGGTGAGACGAGTTGAACACGTCATGAAGCTGGACCGAGGCCGCGTTGGCCATTGCCGAGGAGGACGCGGAGGGAGCTGCCACTGATGAAGAGGCGGACATGGACATGGTGCTGGGCTCGGCAGTGATCACAGTAGGGAGTATCGAATGATCGCCGAGAGGTTGCGAGAAGTCGTAAAAGAGTAACGGCTTTCGGCCCCGCTCGACATCTTATACAACGCCAGTCCCCCCCCACGTCAAAACGTTCCTGGTCGGGCATGCGAGCGAATGAGCTGGCCGCAGCGTCAGACGAGCAGCACAGCAGCTCCAGCCTCACTCCGACGGAGCAGGGTCCAGGAACAGCAGCAAATACCCGGGTACACGAAACGAACAACACCACAGGGTCCGATAGCCAGTTCCGCCGGAAACGTGCCCACGCGGTGTTGAGGCTCAGGGTGTCGCAACCGCCGAGCAGGTAATTCGTAGAATGCCGAATCCCGGCATCTTTGGTCACGTCGCGCGTCGCAGTGTCAGCAGGATCCATTCCGAGCGAGGTGGTTGCTGTGCAGCTGTGCAGTCCGTTCACCCTGTCAATCGAGCAAAAGATCGGACAGATCAGTACTCAGAGTCACCCGCTCGTCTAAGGGTCGGGATGTTTTACTGGCCTGTGTATCAGAAATTACGGTGCGGTTCTGGGGTGCTCGCGCAGGCTCACTCGCAAGACAGTGAGAACGAGTCTATGCGACAGCTCGGCATATCAGAATGGGCCCTTTGGTACGGAAGAGAGAACCATGAGCCTCGCGCAGGGCAAAGCGAAGGTAATGAGCGAAAACTGTGGTGAGCTGGGATTCGCCTGGCTGCGACGGAATTGACCGAGATTCGGCGAGTGGGTCCATTATCTCAGGCATCAGTGGTGACTGTCCCTGTCGGCTCAGCTGCACAGGTTCCATGAAGTGGTTACACAAGTTGGAGGGTTGTACAGTCCTCCTGGCCTAACTGCTGACGAAGTCCTGTCACCAGAATGGGCAAGGGACATGCCTCATGATCGTGGCACGAGCCCGCTTTTGGCGAGTCTGGTCCTCTCGCGCCTCAAATCATTCGGCAGCCCTTGGGGCCGCCTCGTCTCGCGCCTCGTTCCATCCTCATATTCGACAGTCTCGATCCTCGCCCTCTCCGCACCAACACTCTCTACGTACTCTTCCCAAGTCATCATCTCGACCTGGCTCATGAGCTGCCGGACCATCCTTTCGTGTGCTGCGGCATTCTTGGCGATGGGGCGAACCTTGCGGCCACCATCCTCGTCAAAGTCGATCGTGAACCCGATCTTCTCGTACTCTACACCTTGCAGCTGGCTGTAGAAGAGCTGGTCACGTAACAGCTTCTCGAAATCGAGACCTTGAATCCTCCAGAGCTCGAACCCCACCAGCGTCACGCGGAGGCGCGGGTCAGAGCCGTCCAGCGTCTCGGCAATGTCCTCGGCCACAATGTCGGGGTAGAAGAATGTCCTGCCGAACGAGAAGGGGGGCACCATTGCAATATTCGACCTCAGAACACGGGGGAAGATGATGACCATCTCTGTGATGTGAGGCGGAGGGATGGCGATGAAGGGCCACAGATCGGCAGCCGGCTGGTCGTCCCCGCCCATGTTGATGACGACACGCTTGACGGTTCCCGGGACGGTCCTCCAGTCCACGTCCTGGGGCACAGGGCGTGGGCTGCTATCGGTCAAACCTGCAGAGCGGAGATTGTCGAAAGCCCGGGGGTTCGCTTCGCAGTCTGGGCCGTGTGGGGACGTGAAGAGCACGAGCGTCTCGGCGCCGAAAGGGACGTAGGGGCTGTAGGTCCCGCTGATCGTCGTGAGCCGGAGGACGGAGATGTTGCTGAAGACACTCCTGAGCGCGGGCAGATAGCACTGCTGAGGAAAAAGACCACGCACATCGAGGATGCGGGTGTGCTTGAACAGACGGGCTGGGGGATGCTTGAGAAGGGATGAAAGCAACTCGAAGCTAAAGTCACGGAGGGCGGGCATGCGATGTGTGGAGCCATGGATAGTGACCCCGTGGAAACCGTCGGGGGTTAGGAAGACGTGGTGGACATGTCGGCGGTCGACAGCGCCCCGCAAAGAGTAACACACGAAGCGTAGCGTGAGCTGGGTCGCAAAGTCGGAGTATGCGACGATGGCGTCGAAGATGTTTCGGGTATGCCTCGTACGTGAGGAAGACGGGCATGACTGCTATCTCGCTGTGAGGTGAGAGACAGAGCGTTGACGATGTTCTGAGCAGGACGGGTCAGTCGTAGGATTCGAGAAGCATAGAAAGGGGCGCAGTGTCTGCGGGATCGCCTTCCTTTACACAATCACTGCATCACACATCAGCCTCCGCGTCTTCCGACCCGTACGACTACGATATCTACAACGCTGCTTAGCTTGGATTGGGTGACTCCTCGCAGATGTCATCGACAGGTCCGCCGTTCATTCCTCGTAGGCCGCAGGGCCCATCCTCCTGACGTCGTTCATCATGATACCACGGGGACGGGTGTCGCGATCGGTGCCATCGAGGTACTCAACGGTCTCGTGCCTGGCCTGCTCCTCGCCAACGAGGTCTTCATAGTCGTAGAAGTCGAGAAGCTGCAGGCGGGCCATGATCTCGTCGATCTTCGCCTCGTGCTGGGCGGGGTCCTTGGCATCCATGCGGAGATCAAGTCCACCATCGGGCTTGTGAATGAAAGTAGGCTCCTTATTGTACTCAACGCCGTGGAACTGGTAGCTGGCGAACTGCTTGCGGAGGATGGTGAGGAATTCTTCGTCTGTGCGGAGTGCCTCCTCGACCCCGACGAGGGTGTACTTGACGTGGGGGATACCGATCATGAGCTCCGCCAGGTCCATAGCGATAATCTTGATTGCGAAAGTGTCCTCCTCGACGATGTCGGGCTCGAGGAAGCCAATGTCCTCGACGCGGGGAAGGATGATGACGATCTCCTCAATGTGCTCGGGAGGATCAAGCACAAAGTGGTACATCTCTGCGACGGCGTAGTCCTCGCCGCTCATGTTGACAACGATGCGGCGGACGCTTTTGGGCAGCTTGCGGGGATTGATCCCCTTGGGGAGGATAGGCGAGCGAGGCGCCCCGCCGCCCATCATGGCCTCGAAGCCCTGCATGAGCTGCATGATGTCGCCGTCTTTGCCTGCGTTGGCGTAGGGCTTAGGGTTGCAGTCGCTACCGTGGGGAGAGGTAAACACGACCAGAGTGCGCGCGCCAACGGGGACGTACGGAGTGTACGCTCCTTTGCGTGTGCAGAGGCGCACAATCTCGAGGTTGGGAAGCGCATTCTTCAGCTTGGTCAGGTTGCAGGTGGCGGGGAAGAAGCCACGAATATCGAGCACGCGAACATGCTGCAGAAGCTCGAGGAGGGCAGCCGGCAGATGCGATGCAGACTTGGGACTGAGACGGCGCAGAGCAGCAGTGCGGTAAATGGGACCGCGGACAGAAGTGCTGTCCTTGCCACTCGGAGTCAGAACGAGGTGGTGGACTTGGTGACGGTCGACGGCATCACGGAGGCTCTTGCAAACGAGGCGGAGAGTGAGCTCAGTCGCGAAGTTGACCTCGGCAATGATGCTGTCGAAGAGGGCGGGGTATGCTTCGTAGCTCAGAGTGGGCATGATGAGTGAGCTGGAGAGTGGTAAGAAAGAGGCCAGATGCTGGACGCTGAACTGGGATGAGGTGTGTGAGAAGAGGGCGCAGGATGATCGTCGCGAACGTTCTGCCCCCGCTGCGCTGCGACTCTAGAAGAATAAACACGAGGTGCATGTCTATGAACAGGCTTAACATGAGCTTCCTGGGCTTCGTACTCTTGTTGCTCAGGCTAGATCTCCTTCTGCATCGTCAGCTCGAACCATCTGGTCTGTGAAACTCACCGGCGGGTTCTTGCCAGCGGGACCCATCCTCCTGAGGTCTCCAGGCACTATGCCCCTCCTGGGTTCCCTCTCCAGCTCTCCACTGTACTCGAGTGTCTCCTGCATGGTCCTCTCCAGACCGTGAATACCGATATACTCATCGAGGTTGAGGAGCGTCAGCTTGCTCAGCTCCTCGTCGACCTTGGCCAGGTGCTTGGTGCGAGTTTTGGGATTCTTGGGGAGAACAATCTTGCGCCCCGTCTCGATCGAACACTCGGTAGTCGGGCTGTCGTCGCCATACTCGACCTCGCCGTACCCGAACCCGGAGAGGTGGGTGCGGACAAGGCGGCGGAAGCGCTCCTTGGGCCAGGGAATGTCCTCAGCCCCGATGAGCGTGTAGCGCACGTGAGGGACGCCGATCATGAGCTCGGCGAGGTCCATGGCGATGATGTTCTCGACGCAAGTTGTGTGCCCCATCAGGCCGGCGCGGTGTCCCTTACTTCCGTCAGGGAAGACAAAGGTGTCCGTGATGTAGCGCGGGATGAAGATGATGATGTCCTTGATGTGGGGAGGCGGGTCGAGCACGCAGCGAAACATGTCCGCGACGGGATAGTCGTCGCCGCTCATGTTGACAATGATCTTGGTGATGCGTTCAGACATGCGGGGCACGTTGGCCGGGATGACGGGCTCCTCATCGTAGTCGTCATAGTCGTCATCCAAACCGGGCACGTATGGCTTGGGGTTGGGCACACCACCATCGGGCGAGGTGAACACAACCATCGTCTCGGCCTCAAAGGGGACATAGGGGGTGTACGACCCGTCCATTGTGGTGAGGCGGAACATGGTCAAGTTGGGGAAAGCGTCGCGAAGGAGGGCCAGGTTGGTAGTGGCAGGGAAGAAGCCGCGAACATCGATGATGCGGACGTGCTGTCCCAGAGCGCGGAGGGGATGCTCAGGCAGCTGCGACCAGCTGCCGGGGCCGAGCTTGTTCAGTGCAGCAATGGCACGGGTGGGACCGCGGACGCGCGCGCCGTCACCGTAAGGCGTCAAGACGATGTGACGCAAGTGCTCGCGATCGATGGCATTGCGGTAAGACTTGCTGACGAGGCGAAGCCGAAGCTGTGTGTCATGCGAGGAGAGTCGGATCAGAGTGTCGACGAGGTCAGGACAGACCTCGAATGTGAGCGCCCGCATCGTGGGCAAGGAGGGTGGCGAATGTTGTGGATGGCAAGTGGAGGATCGAGGGAGAAGAATGTCGTGCTGTTCAGTCCGCACTCTGCGCCCTCGTGGATCCCGATGATCATGAGATGTTCCCGTTCTCCGCGTTCGACATCCCTCTTCCGGCCTCCCTGCACCACCTGGAAGCTAGCCTCTTTCAAGCTCCATCGATAGACCTGTGTGCTTGCGTTGCACTTGGTGAGGAGATGGGTGTCGGCGCTTGGTGTTTGCTCGGATTGGACTGGGTGACGATCGCTGCTCACCGCAGCCACCCGTAAGATGCTGCATCACCCACCCCTTGCCAAACTACAACCGAACAGCGGCGGGAGACAGCTCTTCAGTACTTGTGCCTCCAGTGTTTACCCCTTCTGTAGTTGTAGTCTCTCCGGTCAAGGTACTCGAGAAGGTCGAGCTTGGCCGTCTCCTCCCCTACTCTGTCGATGTACGTTTGCTTCGTGACAAACTCGTAGCTCGCCAGGAGTTGGTCGATCTTCTGTTGATAGCTGAGCAGGGGAGATCCCGCCTCGGCCGCGCCATCCTCCTTTCCACCGCTCTGGACCGCGCTACCTTCTTCCTCAGGCTCCGGTTCGTCCTCAACGTCCTTTCCGCCCACAGCGCCGTCTCTCCCCTCACTGTCGGTCTCGTCGCGCTCGCCCTCATCGTAACCTTCATCATCGTTTCCGTCAGCATTTGGGCCGTTACGCTGCTCACGGCTCTTCTTCGATCGCCTGATAAACAGCTCCCTTTCCTCCGAGGACAAAGCAAGCGTGGCTGCGTCATCGATCGCGTAGTCGACGTCTTCGTAGATCGCCTCCTGGATGGCTCGGCGAAGCATGGCTTCGAACGCGTTCCGGAACGCGGGTTCCAAGTATTCGAACCCGACGAAAGTGACCCTCTCTACCCTCGGATTGAACGCCACCTGGACGAGATCGTGGACGAGTCCAAGCGTCAAATCGCCAACGAGCCCCGGGCCGTCGAGCGACTGGTACCGAGGTCCCACGACAACAATCTCCCTGACATGGGCGGGGAGGATCTCTGTCATGAAAGGCCACATCTCCTCGACTTGGATGTCCTCACCGCACATGTTGATGACGAGCTTGGTGACGGTGGGAGGGAGATACATGGGTCCCATGAAGAATCTCTCGGGGAACATGCGTTTGGACGGCGCACCCCAATCCTCGTCCTCATCCTCGTCCTCGTCGTCTTCGGCCCCTTCGAACCGCCAGTGTTCCATCAGGCCGTCCATTCCTGCTTCATTTGAGAACAGTACGAGCGTCTGGGCAGGATAGAACTCGCCTGGCGGGATCCAGGGGTGGAAGTGCTTGACCGGTGTGTGGTCGTCGATCGAGTTCGTCATGCGGAGCACTTCAAGAGCTGGGAAGCGCATGAACAAGAGCAGGTCCGGATCGTAGACAGGCGGACTGTAGCCTTGGATGTCGAGCACACGCGTGCGCGCCGTCAGGTCCCGCGTCATGTCGTTGGCCCAGAAACGCTGCTCATCGAATATGTGAGCCTCCTCGCGGAAATGCGGGAGGTGGTGATGCGGGCTCGTCGCGACAGTGTGCTCATGGCCTTCGGTCGAGACTATGAGGTGTTCCGCCTGCAGCCGGTCAATCACAAGCCGATGCGCCTTGCTCAGCGCCCGGATGGCGAGCTGCGTGTTGTGATCCGCGGACTCGATAATCGTGTCCCAGAGGTTTGGAAAGTTCTCGTACGAGAACGAGACGGGCATGGTGAAGAGGATGCGGTGGATGCGCGTAAACTTGCACTTGGTAAGAGATGGAGCGATGGAGAACAGAATGCGCTAAGCAAACGCGGGATAGATGCCAACGCGATGGGGCACGGGAGTATTTCTCCCACCTCCCGCGACCCTGGATTTACTTGGATTTACTCGGTCATGGTAAATCCAAGTAAATCGAGTAAATCAGGCGTGAGGACGGACTCGAGTGGAGCAGATCCGAAGATAAGACGAGAAAGAAACCGACGTGCCATTTTGGTCACCGAAATCCGCATGCAGCTCCTGGATACACCTGGATGTTCGCTCAGCGGTTTGCGCCAAACACCTTGCACTTGAGATCCACATTATGCATGCCTATGGGTACAACTATTCGTACTCATCCTCGCGGAAGAACTCGAGCGTCTCTAGGCTTGCCACCTCCGAGTCTACACACTTCCTGTACTGAGCTTGCGTAATAAACTCCATGTTCGCCATGAGCTGGTCGACCTTGGTAGTGAGGTCAACCAATTGCGCTGGTACCTCGACAGGTTTCCCCTCCAGTACGCCGTTCGCGCGCGCTTGCTCACTTGCTGCTACGTATCGCTCGCGCTTCCTCAAGTCTGCAGTGTCCGCGCAAGAGATTCCGTAGTCGACGTCGATGAAGAGCTCAGTTTTCTTCCATTGCCGCAGCTTGTCGCGCAACTCGTCGTTATATCCCGGCTTGGCGAGATCGAAGCCAACGAATGTGTACTTTGCGTGCTGGGCCCTGGTGAGAGCGTGGAAGCTCATCTCGAGACCGGCGTAGAAGCTAAACAAGGTGCCGCTATCGTCGAGCGACTTGTTCCGGGGCAGCACGAGCAGGACCTCCTTAACGGTCCTTGGGAGGTTCCGGAACAAGGGGCGGATCTCCTCCAATGATGAAAGGTCGCCATTGAAGTTGAGCACGATACGCTCGAACGTATCGAAGAGCGCATATTGGTCCACGCCCGGTGGAACCATTGGCCGTCGGCCATGGGGCACCGTGAGGTTCTTGGCCTCCCAGTTGGGATCGAGCTTTGTCTCCTTGTCCCACCACCAGTGCCTATCATTGACCCAGAAGCCCGCGAAACTGGCGAAGAGCACGAGTGTCCGAGCCGGCCACGGAACATACGGCGTGCTGGCACCGGTGGCATCAGGACTCATGCGAACAACCTCGAGGTTCCGAAACCCTGTCGCGAGGTGGGGAAGGTCGATAGTGGGCGGGCAGAAACCACGCACGTCGACGACTCGGGTGTAGGGGAGGAGATCCAGGAGCCGCTGGTCTTTCCAGAATTGGGGTCTTTCCATGAACGCCGCAATCTTGCCCTCTGGCCCCGTCACTTTGAGTGAATAGATTCCCTCGGGGATGAGGACGAGGTGTCGGGCTTGGTGTTGGTCGACGGCCGCGCGCAGCTGAGCGTCGACTCTGCGCAGGGTGTGCTGCGTCTTTCGGTCGGCATTTGCGATGATGTGATCCCAGAGATGCGGATATGTCGTTGGCGAGAACGAATGAGCCATGGTCAAGCTCGCCGTCGCCCGTCGAGTTAGTGATGGAGGAGAAAGAAAGATATATCTAGTTGGTCATGTTGGACGTGTCTGACGCGACGCCTCGGATCCAGCGATAACGGGGAGACAGGGAGCGGATACAATTCAATCGGCTTTCAACACCACCTCCACTTTGTCAACTGAGCAATGCCCCCTTCTGCATGTGCCGGGCGGCGGTTTCCAAACGGAGAGCGCGGTGCATTGCATCTCCGCTGCGAGTACTAGTAGAAGCTTACATTGTCATAGTCGTCCGGGTCGAAGAACTCTAGCGTCTCGAGCTTCATTGCATCTACTCCCCTCCGCTTCCTGTACTCGGGGACAGTCTCGACGGCGAATTCGGTCTCGAGTGCGTCCAGCTTCTTACATGCTGTCCCAGAGGTGGGCAAAGGTGGTTGGCGAGAGCGCGAGCATGTCAACGATGGAGAAATGGAAAGAAGGCGCGCGTCCTTCAAACACTGCTCATGAATGACGCGTGAGACATGCCGCGGCGTAACCGGGTTTCACCTAGCACCCTGAACCTTCGTCCGGGCCCCCACCTCCACCCCTCGCCCTGACACTCGACCCAACCACCTCGCAACACGTCCACCCCATGCTCCCACATGCTCCCAGCGGCCTCCAACGCAAGCAGGCGAAGCAGTACAGCAGCAAAAGAGAAGCGTCGACAAGAGTGAGATTCGAACTCACGCGGGAGAACCCAACCGCTCTCTAACACGTAGCAAGCGATCGCCTTAAAACCACTCGGCCATCTTGCCTCCGGCAAAGCGGTTCATCGGGCGACTACGAGGCGGCTGGCGCGATCGTACGCGCTGAAAGCAGTCAGACTGGGCATGGTTCGGACTGAGAAATGGTCAGCGCTATGTCGGGGGCCTGGTTGGCTGAGAGAGCACGGCACGAGGGCACTGTGAGCCTCCCTCATACGGCTGAAGGGGTATAGGGAAGGAAACGACATTAACATTGCATTCTGCACTGAGCCGCACGACGCGGCTTGGAAGCGTTCGGTCGCCCGGGAGAAGCTATCGCGAAACTTCAGCCGTTCGCTACAGACACGATCGTAATTGATCTCTAACCGTTGACTAGTCCAGCGGTCAACTAATAGGAGGGGTAAGGCTCCTAAGTCGCTGGAGAAGGGTGTGCCTTCTCCGCTCAATGTCGCTATCCTCGTAACTGACAGTCGCATGCAAAGCCGCGTCCTCATCGCCGACACGGGCTCTGTACTCTTGCAAGGTGAGGAACTCGAGGCGATCCATCCGGCCCTTCAACTTGTCCGCCAAGCTGACGCACGGCAGCGTGAGGTCCAAGTCCGGGTAACGTGAACGTAATAGCCAGCACTCCTTGGCGCGTAACTCTTCTGCGCGCCTTTGGTGCTCGGCGCGCACTGATTTCTTCAACTTGGGACCTCTGCGCGTGTTGAGCGAGTAGTCGACGTCACCGAAGACGGTCTCCAGCGTCGACTGCCGCACGGCGGCACGGATTGCGCTTGCGCACCCTGCCCCGACGGTGTCGGCACCCACGATTGTATATCGGGCCCACGGAGAGCACAGAACTCGCACTAGGTCCCAGGGATCGAAGGCGTCCGGTGGATCATAGTATGACCCCTCGCTGTCGTCTATGCTCGCGTAGTGAGGGAGAATGATCACGACATCGCGGACGGCGGGCTTGAGCGTGTAAAGGACGTGAAACGAATCTCCAGGATTGGCGGACCTGCCGTAGAGGTTGATCACAATTCGCGAAACACGTTCTGGAACGTCTGAGTGCGGAAAGGGGTACAAGGTCGGCATCAGCGAATCCAGCAGGGAGGGGTATGGTGGCGGCGTCGGAGTCGGCCAGGGGATGAAGTCTTTACGGTCCTCGCCCGTTATTGCCCTGCCTTCAACGTAGCTGGGGTGCGACTTGTTCACAGCTAATCCCAACACGCTGGGAAAGAGTACAACCGTGTCCGCCGGGAAGGCGATGTACGGAGTGAACATCCCGTTTCGAAGAATAAGTCGCACCGTCTTGAGACGCTGGAAATAGTACAGCGGTTCCACTAACAAGCGCGGGTCGAGATAATCCGGGCGGAGGTACCCCACGATGTCGATGGTCTTAGTCATTTGAGACAACTTGAACCGACGTGAAAATGGAAACTTCTCCCCGTCCTTTTTCACCTTGTCCTCTTCGTTACACGCCAGGTGGTACTCCTCGTTGGATCCGGGGCCACAGTGCTCCAAGACTTGCAGGGAGTCAAATGTGTGTCTTAGCCCATGGCTGTATCTTCCGTCCACCGCCCAGCCTTCAACCCACCCGGCGAGGGCGTCCACGCGGTACATTAGCCGAGCGTTGTTAGACTCGCCAAGCCAGGGGTCAGCCGCGTCCATGACGGACGGCGGTTCAAGTAGCATTAGATGTCCGACCCGGCCGTCGACAGCGTGGCAAAGCGCGCGGCTCACCTGCCGCACTTTCCGGATGACATCGGAGTGGACGTGTTCGAGAATCTCCTCCCATATGTGCGGAAAGTTCTCATAAGATAACGAGACGCGTTCTGACATGCCGGAATAAGGTAGTGGCGTTAGGGGCGGTAGTGGTAGTGTAAGTGGCAGGGGACGGTAGTGCTGGTGGTGATGATAGTGATGGAAGATGTGGTAGTTGAGGTGTTGACGAGGATCGTTGAAAGTCGGCGAGCGAAGGGGGAAGGATGAAGAAGAACAAGATCAGGCGCGTTTTAGAACCTCTCAACGCGGCTACGACAGGGGACCGTGCGGCGGAGCCGTGCGAGATGCAGCGCCGTGTTTGGATGTTATGAGCCCATCAGCAGATGGTCGGTCTAAGGCTGCAACGATGTTGCGTGCATGCAACGGCGTGTTGAGGCTGAGGCTGATTGCGGAAGCAAGCTTCTGGCGCACAAGCCGTCACTACAAGCCCGGATACTGGATGAGGTGCAGAGTGGCTGCCTCCTCGCCGACACGCCTCCGATACTCCTCCACCGTGACAAATTCGAGTCGAGAAAGTCGGTCGTCCACCTTCTGCTTCAGGCTCAAGGTCTTTTCCTGGGGAACCGGCACGGTCAGATGATCGGCCCAGAACACGATGTCGTGGCTTAAGGCGTGAGCCCGAGAGGCTACGGACTTGCGTTGCCATCGGCTCATGCCACAAGTCAGTTCGTCATCGATGGAGTAGTCGACATCGAGGTGGGGTTCATGAACGGTTAGGGCCGTGAGCGCCTCCCGGACCTCGTCTGCAAAGTTGGCATCACCGACGCACTCGCAGCCGACCACTGTGTGTTTTGCAGTCGACGAGCGCATAACTTCGACGAGGTCCACAGCGCTTGCCCCCTTCACTGATCCTGTGCCGGACAGCGACGTAAGATGGGGCAGGACGAAGACGATTTCCGCAACGTGCTCTGGGATGTCGTACAGGAAGTGGAAGGACGTTGCGGGATTGCCGATGTGCCCGTCGAGGTTCACAACCAGTCGGTGTACGCCAAACGGGATTCCCCTTGGTACATCGAGGGAAGGATCCATCTCTGGCTCGGCTTCGGGGAGCATTGAAACCAAGAGCTCTGAAGGCTGTGGAGGTTCGGGCCAGAAAGCGTCAAGGATGCTCGGCTCCTCAGCTCGGTTTCTTCCGCCACTGAGCCCCTTGCAGATTGGATTGGCCATGTTAGCCTCTAAACCCTCCGGACTGGGGAAGAGGACAACGGTATCGGCTCCAAAGGGCAGGTAGAAGAGGAAAGTCCCGTCCGCATCCTTCGTGAGTCGCAGCACCTCGAGATGAGTAAACAGATGTGAGATTCTGCCGAGGTGAAGCCACTGGTGGATGTAACCAAAGAAGTCGACTATCCGGGTCAATCGCGTCAGGGCTCTCTGTTCCCTCCAAGGCGGCACCACAATGTCGAAGTTCGAACCCCAACAGTTGAAGGTGTCGTCCTCGCTGCCCCACGCTCCGATGCGTTGCAGGACCGGAAAGGTCGGCATCGTTAGGCCGGTCCGCCAGTCGTACACAGCTGCCTCCGCCCCATCAGCCACATCCAGATCCTCCTCTGATTGTGGAGGGGGGGGCGGCCGTTAAGATGAGGTGACGCACACGACGATCGATGGCCGAGCGGAGCGCACGGCTCACGGTCCGCACATCCCGCTTTGCTTCGGTCGAGGCGTGTGAGAGGATCTCATCCCACAAGTTCGGGAAGTTGTCGTACGAGAACGAGGTCTGTGTTGTCATGGTGATTGAGAGAGAAGCGCTGAATGCACGAACGCAAATCGGATGAGTGAAGGAAGGCACGCGCGATGGGAACTCGGTTGACGATGGGAGACTCAGTTTCGGCTCGCCGGTCCCTTCACGTGAGCGAACAGCCTCTGCTCCTCTCTGAGGGCATTGGCGCGCGCAGAGTAGGGCTCGCGGTTCCAGGAGCTCATGTCGCGCGTGATCTCGTCGTCGATGTTGTAGTCGACGTCGGGGTGGGCGATCGCGTATGTTAGGCACTTCAGCGCATGGCGCACGCCACCCGCGAAACCCTCTCCCACGCACTCGGCCCCAACCACTGTGTGCCGGGCAGTCGATGATCGCATAACCTCCACGAGCTCGTGCGGATCCGCTGCGCTGACCGTCCCTTTTCCGTCGAGGGCGGTGACATGAGGAAGCACAAAGACGATCTCCTCCATGTCCTCCCCCGGACTGTACAGGCAGTGAAACGAGGCGGCGGGGTTGGCGACGTGCCCGCCAAAGTTCACGACGACCCGCCTCGTTCCCGGGCGTATCTCTCCCGTTTCAGACGCAGGAAGCAGGTCGTGCAGCACTGAGGGCCAGGGAGGAGGGGCGGGCCAGGCAGCGGGCTCGGACACCCTAGGATTCTCGAGCTCGTCGCTGTCTTCGTCGTCCGGCCACCGCGGATCGACAAGGTCCTTGCAAGCCTTGTGGTCCCGACAGACTTGTGACCCAGCCGGACTCGGAAACAGTACGAGCGTTTGCGCATCCATGGGTTGAAAGGCGAAGTGTCTTCCCTCGGCGTCGTGCGTGAGGCGCACTGTCTCGTCTAAACTCAGTGCGCACTGGCATACTGAATCAAATGCAACATCGCTGTCTCGTCACCTATGCGCTTCCTGTACTCCTCAACAGTGATGAACTCGAGACGGCTAAGCCGGTCGTCAAGCTTCTGCTTCAAACTCATTGAAGCGGGCTTGGGTTCTGGCGAATCCTGCAGACCATGCATGTGCAAGTCTTCGGCCCACCTACGTTCCTCGCGGAGGGTTTCGGAACGCAATCGATAAGATTTGCGCTGCCATGAGCTCATGGTGCGCGTGTACTCGTCGTTAATGTCGTAATCCACATCGAGATGGACTTCCGCCAAGGTCAGGCTCTTGAGCGCGCTGCGGATGCCGTCCTCGAAATCAATGCCGATGCACTCGGCCCCGACAATCGTGTGTTTTGCAGTCGAGGAGCGCATAACCTCAACCACGTCATTGGCATTAGCATCCTCCACAACCCCTTTGGCATGAAGAGACGCAAGGTGGGGAAGGATGAACACGAGGCTCGTCACGTGCGGCGGCGGGTCGTAAAGGAAGTGGAACGACTGCCCGGCATCTCCCACATGACCGTCCAGATTTACGACAACTCGGGAGGTATGTTGAGGGATCCTGCGAAGCTCGCGAGAGGGAAGTAGATCCTCCAACAGCCCCGGCGGGTGTGGGGGCGCCGGCCAAACCGGCCGCTCAGTGCTCCACGGGCTGTCGAATTCCTCTAAGCTAGAGTCCGACTCGTACTCGTCCAGACACGCTTGGCATACCGGATGCACTCGGACTACCTGATACCCGGCAGTGTTCGGGAACAGTACGTACGTGGAGGCGTCGAAGGGCATGAACGGCAGGTACGTACCGCTGGCATCCTGTGTGAGGCGCACTGTCTCCAGTCGAGGGAAGAGATGACCTATTACGCCAGGATCGAAGTGGGGGTGGAAGTAGCCTCGGACGTCCAAAACACGGGTAAGGCGAGTGAGAAATCTCTGTTCGCTCCAGGAGGGCTCCAGTGGACCTTTATCACCTCTGGCAAACACTCTCCTGCCTTCATCACTCCAAGGAGTGACGAATCGCACATCAGGGAAGGTTGCCGTTGAAACACCTGAAACAGGGTCATATCCAACGAGCAGAGCTCCTTCAGGCCCTTCGCACAAGTCCAACATTTCTTCGCCGCTTTCAAGGAAACACGGGGTCATTATGAGGTGCCGGATGCGCCGGTCGACGGCCGAGCGCAGCGCGCTGTTGACGAGTCGCACGTTTCGCAGACTTTCGGGGGAGGTGCTGTTCAAGATCTCATCCCACAGGTTCGGATAGTTTTGATACGAGAATGAGGGCCGCATCGTAGTTAAACAGAGTCCGGGGGCACTGTCATTGACAGATGAATCGTTAGGATGGCGAAACGCAAGTTGATGTGAGATTGTCGGAATGAGGTGGATGGAAAGATCTCAGATCGGAACGTTCAAATGTAAGGAAGGCCCCTGCGTTGGCAGATCGGCGATGTATGCGGACATCACCAATCTCCGCTGATAACGACACAATCGCGGTCTCGACCGTTGAATCAGTTCTGACAGGGAAATGCTAGAAGATGAAGATGCATGAGGAGGTTTGCTGACTAGTTTGAGAGACTGTGTTGCGGACTCGTCATCTCACTTGGTGGTTCGGGCCCCGCTTCCGGTGCACCACCACTCTGATTCCAGAAGTCGACGAGATGGTCCATTTCCCTCTCTACGGCCCTTAGATCCTCCCGGGTTCCTTTGTCTATCCACTCTTCCTCAATCCCAAGTCGTCTACGCTCGAGTGTCCGATAGTCTTCCGATCTTCCATACTCCTCGACTTCGAGCGCGGCCGTCTCCAACCCCACGCGCTTGATGTACTGCGGCATAGTGATGAGTTCGACGCGGCGCATGATTCCATCGACCTTCTTCTTCAGGGACATGAGAGGCGGTTCTTCCTTCGGCGTTGGGTCATGAACAAGACGAATCCGCTTGACTCGCGGTCTTGGGCTGCCGGGGTCGCTCTCGGCATCGTCCTCCTCGCTCTCCTCGCTATCCATGACGACACGCACGTGCCTCGCCTGCTGGACATCCCGAAGTGCGAACTCGCGTGCCTGACTGGGCATCGAGAGCGTGATCTCGTCATCGATGGCATAGTCTACGTCGAAGTAGAGTGTCGTCGTGACTTGCGAGTACAGAGTTTCGCGGAACTGGCGCACGCACCTCTCGCCGGCCCGCTCGAAGCCGACGATGGTGACTCGGAGGTCGTTCTTCCCTAGCGTCCCTAGTAGATCGAGGATGTTCATCGGGAATGCGATCTCGGGAGAGCCCAGTGAAGAGCGGTTCCGCGGGATCGTTCCCTCGTCCGTCACACGCTTGAACTGGGGCACAACGATGACCAGCTCTTCGACATGTGGTGGAAGGTCGAGCAGGTACGGGTACATCGGGGCGATAGGTTGCACGAGCCCGTTCATGTTCAACACAATCTTGCGGTATGTCTCGGGCAGGGCATGAAGAATTGCCTTGGGAGGAACAAGCGGGCGACCTTTCGGTGGCTCATCCCAGTCGGAATCCCAGTCTTCATCCTCGCCCCAGTCGTCGCCTTCTTCCTCGATGTGTTCCCCGTTCTGATGGTGGTCGTGGTGGTCGTGATACTCGTAATCTTCATCAACATGCTCGCCAGCATCATGGTCATCAGCTTCATCTTGATTGTCCTCAGGTATCGGCCAAGGATGACCTTCGTCCTCGTCTTGGAACCACCAGTGTTCAAATACTCCCTCCAAGCCCGTCTCGTTCATGAAGAGCACGAGCTTCTCAGCCGCGAAAGGGAGATATGGCGTGTACGTGTCGTGGTGGTACTTGATGCCGGTCGTTATCCGTAGAACATCGAGATTTGGGAACAGGGGAGCGAGCTGCGTCATATCGACACAGGGAATGATGAACCCTCGGATGTCGATGACACGGACGTGCTTCATGAGATCTGGCGAGGGCGTCCGTGGCCATTGCTGCTCCTCCCAGGACTTCGGGCACAGCTCAAAGCAGCCTGGTATGCGGTGTTTGGGAGCAATTACGTCGACGGCTTCGAGTCCACCATGGTCGAGGACGATGTGCTTGACAAGTTGTCGGTCGATGACATCGCGGAGCGTCTTTGATACACGGCGGAGGGTGAGTTTTGCCTCCCAAGTGGTCTCGGCGAGAATGTCGTCCCACACGTTAGGGAAGTTGTCGTAGGTAAAAGAGGTAGCCATCGTCGTATGGTAGCATCCGGGGGATTTTGAAGCTTTCGAGTGGGCGGGTTGAGGTGAGATGAGCAATGTCGAGAAACGCGAACACGACGCACCCCATCACCTTCCTGTGGTCGCGGACAGCCTCTGATCTCCGCTCTTGGATGTCCAACTGAGCTGAGGTGATCAGAACAGGCGACTGACGCAAAGACATGCCCAGTGATACATGCACAGAATGAGTGAGTGCATATACAAGAATAGAGACGACATCTACTTGGCTAGAGCTCGTGCTAGTCGCAGGATCCGAAGACCAGAAGCTATTGCTCGGCTAATTGATACGACTTCGGAGATGGCCGGACACTTTCAGAAGAGTCCACCAGGCGTCTCGGCGAGATACTCGAACAGATCGAGCGCCGGACGTTCCATCGTCGGTTCGTACACTTCGTGACGGGGGAACCCAGATCCATACAACCTCTCCTCTCGCTCCTTAATCACCTTTGGATCGTTCAGGTCGCGCACACACTCCAGGCGCTCCCTCTCAACGCCGACCGAGTCGCGGTACTGCTCCGATGTCTTGAAGCGGAACCATGGCCGAGTCAGGAAAAGCGCCGCCATGTCGACTGCCTCCTGCGGGAAGATGACCATGCCGTCGTAAACTCCGTTCAGGATGCTGATCGCAGCGCGGGTCACGGTCGGGTGGTCAGTTGCGTAGCCCGCCAGAGAGCCGGAAGAGATCTGCCGCAGTCCCCAGAGGCCGACGACCATGAGCTCGAGGTCCGGGATGATACGCAGCATGATCGACAAGTTGCCAAAGAGAGCGGATGACGTTCCCACCTGTCGGTACCCGGCAAGTCTCCTCAGGGAGAGGTCCTCTGCAACGACAACCAGATCTGTGGTCGGCGGAAGATAGGCGAGGAACGGGTACGCCTCCAACAAGTGGATGTTCGTGCCCTCAGCGTGCACGACAACTTTCGTGGTCTTCAGCGGGGGGTAGAAGGACATGTCGCACGGTACTTGCTCTCCAAGAGGATGGTCGAGGAGGTACTCGAACCCTTGCTCATGCTCGGGAATCCAGACCACAACCGTCGATGCACCGAAGGGCACAAAGGGAAGGTACAGCCCGTCGACGGGGATGATGCGGAGGATCTCGACACTCATGAAGGCGTTCCGGAGAAAGGTCGGGTGGCAACCGTGAGGGAAACCGCCCTTGAAGGTGACACATCGAGTGTAGCGGAAGAGGTTGTGCTGCACCAGTTTCCGGGGTGCGAGCTTCCAGGCCGATGGGTTGAGACGGCGCATTCGAAGTGGTAGCGGGAAACGACCGTCAACCTTGACATCGCACTCGTGACCTCGAAGGGGCATTGCGGTTAGAACGAGATGGTGGAAGAGGAGGTTGTTGATCTTGCGACAGAGGGCACGGTTGATTCGGCGGAGTTGGAGCTGCGCCTTGATCCCGCAATACTGGAGCACGCCCTCGATGATGCTGTCATGCCTTAGGAGGGCGAGCATGGTGGTATGGCAATGTTGAAAGGCGTGGAGGACAGCATAGAGTGTGGGTGTTGAGGGTTGTCGACTTTGTGGAAGGTGACGTGGGGATCATGTTTGGTCGTTGCGCCCCGCTCGCCGTGAACCAGATTCGTCGACAATCCACCTCGCAAGGGATGTGACAACGTGACAAGGCGGTGTCGCCCATGTCGCAGACACGTTCTAACGAGATCCATTCTCACATGCATTCACACAGCCTACGATTTCCTCAACCGCCGCCCACTCACAGCCTTCATATACGAGAGAACCCCGGTGATGCACTCTCTACCATCTTCCCCTCTCTCTCCAGTCAATCTAATGCTTACTTTCATCATCGACAAAGACAACAACCCCCGTTGGATACTGCTCTTCCTCACTCAAGTATTGGCTGAAGACTGGAGGACGATTCTTGGCATGCGCGCGGTGTGCAAAGACTGGTACTCCTTCATCAGCCCACTTGCGTACGGACATCTGCTCATTTCTCCCGACGACGTTGATGAAACTGCCGTCATTGTCAAGCCCCTCACCATGGCCTTACCACCGGCATTGCGGCGCATCAAGCCGGATCAGTGGGTAAGCCAGCACCTCGGCTACAAGTTCACGGCTTTTACTTACGCCCTCTCAATCGTCGGCTTCATCCCTCCGACTTGCAGTCTTCCACTACTTCGGGAGGCATTCCCGAATCTGGAGCTGCTCCGCATGATGCCCGACATCCCCGGCTTCACATATCTTCCGTACGTGCCGTTCAACTCGTGGACCCTTGCCCTCTTCCCAAGCCGCAGCCGTGGCAGCAACACTACCAACACCATTGACGCCTCCAGTCGTCGCGTTGTCGTTCAACAGCCAACCTTCCGGCCGGGGCATTATGATATTGCGCATCGTTGGACGGCTAGAAGGGATAGGTTGTTGCCAGCCAACTTTCGTCGCTCGTTAGCTTCGAATATCGAACGGATTGTCGTTCACTCCTGGAACCTCAACTGCCTTCCCGACTTGGAAGACATGTACAATCTTCCTAAATCGCTGTTCAAGCACTTGAGGGAAATTGTCTTCGCGGTGCCAATGTACCACAAATCAGGACTCACAATTCTACCCTTTGTTCATGCATGGAGCTTGGAGAGGGCGGTGGGCAACCTGGCGCGAGTGCTCACTCTACCACAAGTCCAATTCACCATCGTCGGGCTGGAGGACATCAAGGTCGAGTCGTGCGAGGACCAGTTCCGCGAGGCCCTCTTCAAGGCCCTGTGGACGCGGGATCAAGCGGGTCAACACCGGCCGAAGCAGTCTTTCGATGACATTGCGCACCGCTATGCCAAGGTTTCTGAGGTAATGAGCCGGGTGAGAACTGTAACTTTGGAGGAATACATTGGTGAAACAGAGCGTTGGTTTATCGCCGTGAGTGAGCTCGAAGGCATGCTACCCCTCGAGATCGATTACACCGACGAGGGTGGCTTCGCAAAGGATGTGCTCTGGGACGTGCGCAAGGAGTACCCTCATCACACTGAATTCCCCGAAACCGGCTGCTCCGCGGACAGGCTCTTTGAGTATATTGCTGAGAATGGCCTTTTGTGACCCTGTATGAGTACAGTATCTGCATTGCTGTCACCATCATATGATAGCCCGAAGATCCTAGTGTAAGGTCGGAACTCCGAAGCCCTGACAAAATACCGAACACATCGGGTTCAACTGCATGAAATCCTAATCGCAACTCTTATCTCGGCGCATTTGTCCACTTTTGATACGCTCCCTCTTGTGTTGTCGGGTTCCGCTGACGACGCCCAAGCTCAGTTCGCAAGGATCTGCGTCTCCTGAGATATCGTCAGCGATCGGCCTCTCGTACTCCCTCGCGGCCATCGGTGCCCGCCAAATGTCCGTCAGAGCATCAGACAGGTTTCGCGGATGACGTTCTCCGAAACTCACGCCGTGATAACTCCTGAGCTCAGGGTAGTAGAAAGCAGCATCGAGGTCTGGGCTGATGTGCCCATTACCCAGCCAGGCCATCGTGTGGTCGAAGCCCTCGGCGCGAGAGAAGTCGAAATCCTCCCATCGCGGCTTGCGTAAGGCGACAAAGGCATGCTGAGATGAGCCGGGCCAGAGCGTCCTGATCTTCGCGGCACCCGTTTGGCCGTTCTTGTACCATGATTTGCCTGCTGTTAGCTCATCGTGCCAGCACAGGGGCGAGGTCCCATTCAAAGGCCAAACTCGGCTCGTCCTGAATGCACTTTGGCGAGGGATCGACATGCGAGCGAGTCAGACGAGCGAGTTAGACTTTCAGATGGGTCATGTGGCGATGCGACTCACAGTTCGTTGTGAAGACGGTGCGCGCAAAATAGTCGTCCGTGTACTTCATGAAGGACTTGACCGGCTCGTCCTTGACGGTGATCGACTTGTATCCCTCCGTCTGGCACTTGGAGATCGCCTGCAGAGCGTACTTCGCCATCGCCTCCGAGAGCACGATGAGGTTACCTGATCCGACGCCAGCCTGGGCGCCAAGAATCTGGAAGCTGCGTTCATCAGCCATGTACCTCATTCTCATTGACACTCACAAGTTGGGCATCTTGGGCACCATGACGGACAGGTACGTCTGCACCTCCTCACCCCACGTATCCTGGAGGTTGACGCCGCCAGCGCCGTAGATCGGGAAGCCCGGGACGAGGCTGACGTCGAATCCTGTCGCGCACACGATCACGTCAAAGTCGTAGTCCTTGCCGCCCGCGCGCAGTCCGGTCGGGGTGAAGCACTCGATCTCGTCATTGACAAACGAGACGTCGTCACTGACCAGTGCCTCGAGGTATCCCGGTCCCGGCGTCAGGCGCTTGCACCCGACGGGGAAGTCGGGGATGAGGGTGGCCGCAATCTCGGGCTTGCTGGCCAGCATGGCCTGCATGCGGGCGAAGAGCGCCTCGCGCGCCCCCTTCTGCAGAGGGCTGTCGCGGTGCGTAATCTCATGCACGGAGCCACGGTCGCGCTCGATGAATGAGCGGAAGGATTCATAGAACTCCGGGTCGCGGAACTTCTCCTTCTCCTCGGGCGTGAAGGTATCTGCCGTTAGTATTCGCAGCTTCGCAGCCAACGTGGCCGATAAGAGACTCACGATTCATGCTGCCTTCCGTCTTAGAGCCGATCTCCTTGAGCGCCGCATCGGCAAACACGCCCGCGAGCCACGTCTTCGTGCGTCCAAAGTTGGTGATCTTGGCGCCTCGCTCACGCATACTCGGGACGATCTGGATGGCACTGCTGCCCACGCCGATGACGGCGACGCTCTTGCCTGAGTAATCCATGCCGGCCGCCTCTTCAGCGGCGATGTTCCAGGTGCCAGAGTGCCGGATGATGCCCTTGTACTCCTCCCTTCCAGGGATGGCAGGCCACTGCGGGCGTGACAGGCCACCAGGGGCGTACGCGATAAACTCAGCCTCGTCCGTGAACTCATGTCCCGACTCGAGATCGCGAATGCGCGCGAGCCATGCGCCCTTCTCCTCTTGCCAGCGCAACTCGATTACCTCGTGCCGCAGCTTGATCACGGGGCGGACGTCGTACTCATCAGCGACCTTGTCGAGGTAGTCCTTGATCTCGGCGCCGGGGGCGTAGAAGCGAGACCACTGCGTGTTCTCGCAAAAGGTGAACTGGTATGTGTGGGCGGGAATATCGCATGCGACGCCGGGGTAGCGGTTCGCGTGCCAGACTCCGCCAAGCTGGTCCGCCTTCTCGTAGATCTGGATTGTGGAGTTGGGGAGCTTGGACGCGACCTGGATTGCGAAGCCAATGCCGCTGAAGCCGGCGCCAACGCCGAGGATGCGCACCGGCCGCGCATCTCCGATAGGTCGCTCGACGAGAGGCGGCGCCCAGCTGTAGTCTGGGGTTCTGTGTGTTAGGGCCCCGTTGGTCAAGGTCATGATTGGCAAGTGGGGTTACAGGGAGCGAAGATAGACAGCTAAATAGCACTTCGGCTCGCAGAAAGGTATGCGGGAAACTCACTCCTGACTTGTGTTGGTGCTGAGGGTAATGGTCATGTTGTCAGCACGCTATGTAGAGTACCAAAGCCGCGGCTGATGGGGCAGTTATATTGTCTCAGCTCTGGCCGTGCTGGGCTGGCATGTCACCACGTCGTTGACATAAGGGCGGGGGTGACCCCGCCGCCGTTCCGTCTCTTGGCTGTGCACTGCTGAGCGTTGCAAAGTGAGTCACAGAACAGGCCATCTCAGACCGCTGGCTGTCGGGTGCCAGATTTCCGTGGGCAGCTGACCTTGAGAGAAGCAAGGCGGTAACGTCTCCGGTATGTCTCGCCTGCAGAATCCGGAGCAAAGTGGAGATGAAGGGTGAGAGGGTGGGCCTCCGGCGCCACAGTAGACGCCTCAGTCAGCCCAGGGCTCTCTGAGGTTGGGAGTACAGGGGATCCGCCGGAAGCGACGCAGAGGAGGATGGGGGTACCTGGGAGGATTCAGGGCGGCCTCACGGGGCCCGCGCCCGTCGGCCCACAGGCAGAGACGACAGGCGGAGACGGTGCCGCCAAGTGGTTGCCGATTTTTTCGTTGGTGGCCGATTGCCCACCGATGCACCAAGATCTGCTGAGTCAGAATCGATTGCTCATCTTCCCCGCTCACCCCAACGAGCAACAGATCAACACGCTGAGCATACCACCGCCTCGCCGATGAGTGAATTCAGGTCCGCGTCAGGCATGCTCAACGAGCCCGTGACTGGGGAACCAAGGCCAATGCATGTTAACGACACATCTCGTTGTCTGATTGAGGCTGGGGTCCACCCCCGAGAGTTCAGATGGCCGCTAGCTAGTCCCAGAGTTATCTTCGGCTAGGTAAATCAGGCATTGCCTATCAGTCCGCGTTGTCAGCTTGAATGATGTGAGTTGGCGGGTGGAAAAAGCTTGACACGGGCTTCAGATAGAAAGCCGAGGGCCGACGGGTCAGTTGCCGCCGTTCACGTCCGGACTGTTCTGTCGTGAGTGGATCTACGCAGCCATCAACGACATCAGTATCGGTGATCAGTGACTTAGGCCAAGAGGGAGACAGCTCATTCGACCGTGGGAGGTCGTTCGGAAACGCCGATGTCGGCAACTTCGGGGACGTCTCCGCCTGTTTCGAATCTGATGATGGATGGACTGCAGCGGACTGTTGTCCGCGAGGGAGGCTGACTCATGCACAGAACCCGACGGAGCTCGGCGAATTAGGGTGGGTGGATTGTTCATACTTTGAGGAACGGTATATACAGCGGGCTCTCATCTTGAGGAGAAAGTCGGTCGGGACGGGTTTCCACTGAAGGCTTGACGCTTGGTTGACTGGTTGTCAGTTACAGTACCTTCCTCGTCTTCCCTCTCGACGTACAGTGCGTGTTTCAGACTACGGCTCAGGTGTCCTTGCTGGCTTCAAGTTCAAGCTGAGCCTGCTGCACCACTTCATCGATGCACAAGAGGCCTTCCATGTGCATGGACTTGGGCTTGTAGTTGATGTAGTCTTGGCGGCGGAGCCCGAAAGCGATGGCAGCTGCCTCTCCGACCAAGACAACAAAGCTGCGCAGGCGCATGTCGTCGGTCACTTCACCGGCCTCGTTGTCATAGATGCAGCAGTTCAGAGAGATATCCTGGAGAGCTCCGAGCCAGTGAATGTTCCAAAAGAAGAAGAGTTGCCTCTCGCTACGTTTGCACAGGTCGCGGATGAGGTTCTGGAAGGCTTGGCCGAAGAGGCGATCGAGAGTCTTCAGGGCGTCGTTACGAATAGAGCGGTCGGCGTGAAGGAAAGCAGCGCGGGCGCTGGCGGCTCCGGGGATGGGAGACCAGGCGGCGTCGATGCACGCCCAGAACTCGGGGACGGTCATACCGTCTGTATCGGACATGATGATGAGAATGGGTGGTGGTGAGACGAGTGAGGGTGATTGAGAGTTCCGAAAAACGACAACAAGGTGGTGATGACTATACCACGGTGTGCCGCAGTCAGCTGTGGCGAATCTGCTGCGCTCAGTGCTTGCGCCCCCAGCCGTTGTTCCGCTGCGCTCGCATGCTCTCTGCGCGCGCGGGCGATCGGTGCTGGGCTCGAGGCGAAGTTACGATGACTATTGGGGGAGAGCGTTGTTGAGAGGTACCTCGCACGCCATGACCTACCAAGAGCCAGGTGGCCCGTTGATGGCTCATTCCCTCGACCCCCCTCGGAGGGCTGCCAGCATGAACGGAGTCATGCGGATGATCGGATAAAAACAGCGCTTCAGTACGTCGATGCCGCCGTAGCGTTTGAGACAGTCGTCGGCGGACACAGGAACGGACTCCAGTGCGCTTTCGATCGTTTCCCAATAGAGCGCGCGGATCCCATAGGTCACTGTAGCGTCGGACAAGTTTGGCAAAGAATGAGTGAGTGAGCGACGATGCTGGATGCGAGTGAAGAGCCTCGACTGGTGGATGGCATGCTATTCCGGCAATCCCTTGTCGATCGTTGGGCGCACGGTCCCGTGAACGCCCTGTCATCGTTTCACTATTGCGATTCTCTTGAAGCAATAGCCTCTTTCCTCCCAACGAACGACAACTCCTTCTCTCCTGCCGTTCCCGGTTGCATTCCTGCCTCCTGACATCTCCAGTATCTCTCCCTTGGTAGGCGCCGCACACCGCTTAATAACCGGCGCGGCGGGAATCTCACCACAGAGTAGACGCTCGATCACATCGCGGGAGACGAACCCCGGACCTCCGAGAGCCTCGCGGTCGTACAGGTCGGTAGCGAAGAAGAGACCGGCATCGCCAGTCAACACGCCGAACAGAGTGAAGCGCTGCGGAAATCGCTCATCTCGATCAAGCACTCGGCGAAGTGCTCTGTCGTACTGCGCAATCCGTTCTTCAACATGCTCACTCTGAGAAGAGCCCTCCTGTTGCACGCAAAGGCGGCCGTGAACATCAAGAGAAATGCGTAGCTTGACTCCTTGGAGCTTCTCCTCCACGACCAAGGCCCCTCGCGGATCCGCTCTGAGCGAAGGGTCCGAGTCAATGTGCTTGAGGTCGAGCTGGGACATCGGTGGGAAGTCGATGGCGGGAACCGGAGCGAGTCGTTCCAAAGCTTCTCGCGTAGTTGCGAACGAGGCTATGCGGAGTACGCCGGAAAACTCGTCCAGTGTCGGCGGCTCCACCTCGCTCTCCGCCTCCTGCTGCCCGTCCAGTTCACGCACAAACCGAGTTCGTGAATCATCAATCCTCTCCTCGACCCTCTGTTGACACAGCTCCTCCTCGTAGTCAAACCACACCGCGACTGCTTTGTTACACACAACAAGCCAGGGAGCCCTTTCAGCCACTGTGAGGTTGCAGCGGTCGAGCACCACGAAGTTCGCGAGTCCGTTGCCTGCGTAGCTGGAGAACTCCCTAATCCGACTTGAGCGGGACTCGCCATGGTCCTCGCCGACGATCATGACGCTGCCAGGGCAACGTTTGGCCAGTGCCTTCGCAAACCAAGACTTGCCAGCCCCATGCCTCCCGATGAGCACCAGTACGCGGGGTGAGGTGTCACCGGTGGCTTCGAGCTGTGTGGTCGGTTCTGGCAGGCGGTGGAGAGACCAGCAGTGTGCGATCCACTCGGCCATGAAGCGTTCTTGTTTCTCGCTCAGCACTGAGTGCGGCCTGGCTTCGCGCAAGAGCCTCAATGCTACCAGGGCGTCCAGTTTCGGTGTCTCCTCTGCCTGACCATCTTCGCCGAACATCGCCACCAGGCATGCTAGGACAGTCCCGGCTCGCCCATCGTTGGTATCGGCGCCGTGAACGAGCCATGTCCCGCCCTTGTTCACATTAGCGAAGATTGCGTCCATCTCCGACAGTGTTGGTACCTGCCGATGAGGAATGGGTACATGAACATTTTCGATGTATGCGGTTTCGGAACCGGAGTTGTCGAACCATTCTGCTGGCAACCACGACTCCGCCGTCAGCGTCAGGACGTGCGTTGCTCCCAGCGCCTCGAGCGCGTGGACGTCGACAATGCTCTGGGGCGCGGAGCTGGTGCAAACGCGGGGGTAGAGGAAGCTGAAGCCATCGGGCAGTGTATGGTCTTGGAACAACGGTCGAGTGTCGGGGTCCGCCGGGTGCGGCCAGAACCCCGTGCCCAAAACTGGCCACGGATACGACAAGTGCGGGAGCAGGGCAGCGGAGTGGGTGGCGAGATCCTTGCCCAGCGTCGGGCCGTAGGAGGTCTCAGTGTTTCGGCGTCGAAGCTCCTTGACTATCCTCAGTCGCAAGTCTGGATTGAGCGCCGCGGCCCTAGCCAGCGCCATGCACGCAAGTTTTGGGGAGCTCACAGCAGCGAGACGCACGTATCCCTTGAAGTTGGCGGGATAATCAATCACCATTCGCTCAGCGATTGAGGTGTGCCAGCTCGGAGCGGCCAGAAAGACATGGTCGAGTCCATCGAGTCCCAACTCTGCGATTTCATCAATGTCGAGGGGCAGCTGGGAGATTCCCTTCGGAATGTCGTGAGCATCGGCAGCGCTCAGGGTGACGTGGAACTCCTTCTCTTCCAGACCCAGGCTCGTTCGCGCAGCATTGCCATGCACCCACACGACGACAGCGAAGGTCACCTGCCCCCGAGTTACAGTATTGAGCACGTAGATGTGTTCCAAGGATGGAGTCGGGGCAGGATGCGTCTTCGCCTCGGCTGGCGTGAGGAGGGTGATGTGCAGCGGGTGCGGGGGACTAGAGCCGGGGAAAGCCGCGTCCAGAGCAGGACCCAGGACAGCCGAACCACCCCGATACGGTGCAAGTCGGAGTCCCGCGGGGTCCAGATGCACTGGACGCATGCCTGTTGTAAGTGCAGCGGTGGAGGATGGAGCAAAGTCAGACGCGCGAGTGGAGGTCGGGATGCTTGAAAAGCTTGACTTGGCGCTGAGTCGGCTCCGAGATGCCGAGTCGGCTGAGTGAACGTTAGTCGCCGATCAGTCGATTCTCGCTTCAGTCGCCTCGAGCTACCAGCAATTATAAGGGAAGGTTCAACGAATTCAAGCATTTAGAGAACTCGGAGAACTGCCAGGAAAGGGACTGCGTAGTCTATCTCTATGCAGAGAGCATTCGCCGGACAGCAGATCTCGATAAGACAGTGCGGTGTACGCCACCTCCACCTTCATCCGTCGCCATACACCCGGGCTTCTCGGCGATGCCGCGGCCTCCGCCCTCAGCGCCTCCATATCGATGAGCAGCGACGCTTGCATAAGACCTTCGGCCTTACTAACTCAACATGCGTCGCTCAGCATCATCGCGCGGAGATGGGGCCGCAGTGCTGCTCCGCAGGTGGGTCCGCTCGCCTCCTCTGCAGAGGTGATCAAGACGTCATGAGGAATGCGTGCCTGCATCGCCTTCTTATCAGCATGGCATCGTCACGGCCACATCCGTCTTGCTGAGCAAGACAAGTTCGACGAACTATCTATAGCTCTTGCTGACAACCTGCACCGACAATGTTGTACGCGCTTCCCGTTCCCGGTGAAGCTCATAAGATGGGCACCCGCCCCTACCGTCACCCGGTCTCATCGCACAATAGCTGATCTGACAACATGTCCATCACCACCTCCGCTCCTATAGCCCTTTCCTCCAAGGCGAGCTCGGACCTTCAGCAACTCCTCGATCAAACCACCAAGGGCGACTACCCTGGTGTGGTCATCGGCCTCATCAACACTGCCGGCGACGAGCTCTTCCTCGGCAGCAGCGAAGGCACAACCGTCGATTCGATCTTCTGGATCGCATCGTGCACCAAGCTCATCGCCTCCATCGCTGCCCTCCAACTCGCGGAGGCAGGCAAGTTGACTCTCGATGGCAGTCTCGCCGATATTGCCCCCGAGCTGAGTCATCGACCCAAGTACGTCAACTCGGACCCTAACGACCTTACCACCGAGCCTGCCAAGTGAGTTTCCCGTCATCGTTCATCACAACTAACGCCAGGCGGGACATCACGCTGAGGCACCTCTTGACGCACACCTCGGGACTGCGTTATGCCGTCTTTGACCCCAAGACGGCCCACTGGCTGGAGACGGCCCACCCGGGCGGCTCTCAGTTCGCACCGCTCGACATGCCCCTCTCCTCTGAGCCAGGCGAGGCATGGGCGTACGGCATGAGCATGGAGTGGGCTGGCCATATCATAGAGCGTGTGTCAGGAATGTTGCTGGGTGCCTACGTCGAAGACCACATCCTGGCCCCGCTCGGTATCAAGGACGCCACATTCCAGATCGAAACAAGGGACGACCTGAAAGCCCGTTTGGCTGGTCTGCATGCGCATACTGGCGAGGGCTTCACTGAGATTCCGTACCCCGAGCCTCTCATGCGGCCCCAGTACGAGTCAGGCGGTGGAGGCATGTTCGCATCCCCGAGGGCCTATCTTGCAGTCCTGTCTGCCGTGCTGAACGGAGGTGTGTCCCCTACCACCGGGGCCCGGATCCTGAAGGCGTCTACGGTCGATGAGATGTTCATCCCCCAGACCCTCAACGTTCCTGACCAAGGCGCGCTCGGTAGCGGGATCTTACCCACTGCCATGCCCGCCTTCAGCCGTCCTATACCTCTCGGATCTGGGAAGGCTTGGACGCTCTCCCACCTGACCAACCTGGAGGAGGAGAAGGGCAAGTCAGCAGGTTCGGCCGAATGGTACGGCCTCGCCAACTGTTACTGGACCATCGACAGACAGAAGGGCGTGGCGGCCATTGCATTCAGCAACGCGCTGCCGTTTGGACGTGAGTTATAAGCGAAGCCAAAGCTGACGGGCAGTGCCTGAGTTTTTTGAGTTGAAGGATAGGTTGCAGGAGATCATTTTCGCACCCGGAGCCTTGTTCGTGAAGGATGCGCAGAGCTCATAGACCTTCGTGTTCCAACGCTCCTCATGTCCCCTATGCATACAAGATCGTCTTCTGCTCCCTTCCATACTGGAGGTGTAACTTGTACTTCCTGTCTACTGCGTCAGATACGAGTTGTAGTGACCACGCAGTGACTCGGTCTCTTCACATCTTATCATCGGGACCTCGGCAGTTAAACACCTCAACGCCCGTTTTACTCCGTTTAACTCTCCGTTTTACTAAAGTAAAACGACGGTTAAACAAGGCACGCATGTCGAAATGCATCCGCAAGTCCGCATCCTGTCGTGCTGGCGAGCTTTCGACCAGTCCAGAAGAAGTGTATCTCCTTTCTTGTGCATCCACCTCACGTCAGCCACTGCATCCGGCCCAACTTGCGCATCCACCGTCCACAAGCTCAAGATGGCCGTTGCGTTCTCTTGTGAACACTTCCCAGACCTCTGGGACATGGTCATCGCGCACACGGACCATGGGACCCAGCTGGCCCTTCGGCTAGTCTGCAAGTCCCTCCGCTTCAAGATCGACTGCTTCCAGTCACGATACCTGGTAATCTCTGAAGGTGGAGACTCGGCACAACTGATCGTGACGGGTCCAAGCCGACACATTCCGTATTTCGACGAGCAAGCCCACATCCACAACGAGCCTGGCTTCTGGCTGAACCGGCCCACTGTCGCCCGAGTCGCTCACACCCGCGTACTCGACATCCAAGGGTACTGTCCTCCGTCCAACGACCCCGACTTGTTCACATTCATGCACTTCCCCGCCCTAGAGGTACTACGTATGACACCCAGCGTGGCTGACTACGACTGCGACCACTTCACGCCATATGTCCCAGAGCACTTTCATGCCAGGACACTAGTACTCTTCTCCAACCCCATGGGATGCCGGGCGATGGACAAGCATTGGTGGTTCTTCATGGATGACTCGGACGACGAAGACAGCCAGGCTCTCGTTCCCTACGACGTGGACCGGTCCCGCCTCCCCCGCTCAGTCACGAAGCTTGTGCTCAACATGCGTGGCCTACCCACCGCGTTTCCCGACATGTATCCTTTCGTGTCCAGGATCCCTAGCCATGTCCGGGAGGTGGTGGCTAACGCCCCCTACTATCAGAGTCTGGATGATCGTGGCAGCGTTCATTTCGAGGTATCGGCACACATCGAGCAGATCCACCTCCTCGCCGTGGTGTTTCGTACCATGTCAACGCGGTTCACCTGCGTCGGCTTTGACCGCCTCGCGTCCGACTTTGCCGACAAGTTTATGAGAGAGCTTGAATCCCGATACCGCCACATCTTCTTCAACACTGTCGACTATACCATCGAAGACGAATTGACACTCAAGCTTCCGGATGAGACGCGCGCAGAGTACATAGAGTGCAGCACGTCGGGTGTCCGCCGGGGCAAGCAGCTGCCCCGCAACCCAGACCGGCCGCTGATCAGTCTGAAGGAGCAAGTCGACCAACTCGTTTCACGTGTCGAGTTCATAACGAAGGTCGAGTATGTCGAGCGCGTTGGGAGGGAAACGGCTGAGCTAGATCTGTTAGAGCACCCTGATCCGGATGATCGGGCCTGCGTTGGGAGAAAGTATAACTGGAGGCGTAGAGAGGATTACGGAGACACAGGCATGGCGGACTACTGGCACCAGATGCGGGCTTCATCAGAGTAACATGAGCTCGGGCCACTGCTAGGTATGCGTGGAGGCTTTCTGTCTTTGGCTATCTGGAGGGGGAGAGGGACGGCCGCGCTCGAGGCTTCAATCAAGTCCCGACCGGCGGGACCTCGACTTCGAACGGCTCAAGTCTCGAACGTCGCCGGCATCATGATCGCCAAGCCATGGTATAACAGCATCATGCAACCCTTCGGCCCTGTATCCACAGGCTGATGCATGACACATCGGGGGCCATGCAGGCGAGCAGTAGAAGAAGGACGAGAAGGCTTTTCGGTCAATTTCAGATGGTGGTCGGTGATCTGCCGTTATCTCGCGCGCTTCATCTCGGGGGTCGGTTTACATTCGTTTTACATTTCCTTAAAACGCTTAAAACGTTAAACCGCGGAGATCACAATGCTTCCGTTCTCAGTACGAAGTGCCGAAACTCCTTCCTTTCCGTCGCTTATCCTTCCACATCCGTCCGTCAGCTTTCCCTCATCCACCGACTCTTCCGCGACGCCATCCACCCCTGCTCGAAGACGCGATGACAGTGACCTTCTCTTACGCCAACTTCCCGAACCTGTGGGACATGATCCTGGCAGCTGCAGAACATGAGACGCAACTCGCTCTCCGCCTCGTCTGCAAGTCGTTGCGCTTCAAAGTCGACTGTCTCCAAGCTCGTCACCTCGTCATCTCCAGCGAGGGCGCGAAGCAACTTCTGATCACCGGTCCCAACCACCACATCGCCCACTTCCGCGACATCTACCACCTTGACAAGGAACCCAGATTCTGGTCTTTTCACGCTACCCGCGCCCGAACTAGGCATACACGCATCCTCGACATACAGGGTTATTGTCCCCCTGGCAACGACCCCGACCTGTTCACATACATGCAGTTTCCTCATCTCAACGTACTCCGCATGACGCCCAGCGTGGACGACGATCCGGACAACTTCACACCCTACATCCCGGGTCATTTCGAGGCCCAAACGCTTGTGCTGTTCTCGAACTCTGAGGGTTGTGCGGCCATGGATGACCACTGGTGGTTCGACCTCTACGCCCCCTCGGATGACGATGAGGAGCTACCTCTCGTGCCTCCCGTCAACCGTTCGCGCATACCCCAGTCTGTGACCAAAATGGTCCTGAACCTCCGCGGGCAGAATATGGAGCTCCATGACATGTATCCTTTCGTGACAAGACTGCCGGCTCACGTCAAAGACGTTGTGATCAGTGCTCCCGCCTATCGCAGTCTTTTGAACACGGCCGGAGTGAGGAACGAGGTGTCGCCCCATCTCACCAAACTGCGTCTCGTTGATGTCGTCCTCCTCCCTATCAAAACCAAGTTCACCCTTGTCGATTTCAACTGGCTCGGTCCCTCTTTCGAGAAAGAGTTCCTGGACGAGCTGCGCTACCGGTATCGCAGCTTCTTCTTCAAAGACGTCGACTACACTGTTGACGACGACATGACGAGGGTGATGCAGCGGAAGACACGTGACGAGTGTATCAAGCGGAGCACGACCGTTGAGGTCACGCGCAAGCCTTTGATCAGCCTGCAGGAGCAGATTGACAAGCTCCTGTCGCGGATCGAGTTCTTGTCCAAGGAGGCATACATTGAGCGCGTTGGCGCCGAGACAGCAGCCCTTGATTTGCTGGAGCACCTGGACTTAGAGAACTCAGACTGCGTTGAAGGAGAGTACGACTGGAGGAGCAAGAGAGCGTGCTACGGTACGCAGAGCCAGCCGGACTATTGGCGCCAGATGAGGACCCCGCCAGCGTAGCAATGCCAGCTGTCCTGGATACCATGTATAGTTGTACCTACCGCATCTTTCCTCCCATCGCACCATGCATGCAACGTTGCTGCCCGAAAGACTGCCTACCTCCGTAGCTGACGGCGGACATCGCCGATCTCCGTGCCGATCGATGACGCAAAGTGCAAACAAATCCAGCCGAGATCTCACAATCTCCCCATCGCTTGCCCTCCCTCAATGTCATCGATGCCGTGAGAGCGATGCCGGTACGCTTCACGTACGCCAACTTTCCGTCGCTATGGGACGACATCATCGCCTCCTCTGGTCACGAGGGGCAGCTCGTGATACGTTCGATCGACCGGAGCTTGCGGTCTGTCATCGACGCCCGGCAGGTTCGGCACCTGATTCTGAGCCCCGACCAGGGCAACGTCGTGACCGTCCGCGGACCACATAACGGTGTTGCTGCACTGCGGCGTCTGAATCCCGACTCCATCACAGAGGCGCAGCGCGCACTTTGTGCGAACACGGGTGTCATCGACGTCCGCGGCTTCTTCCATCCGACTTTCGACTTGCGACCGCTCGCACCGTTGTTCCCGAGCCTGAAAGTTCTGCGCATGATCTCCGACGCCGAGCAGCAGATCACGCCCTACGTCCCCTTGCCCTCCGAGACGCTTGTCCTTTTCACGAACCCCTCGGGGCTTGGTGGCGTCTACGAGCACTGGTACTTCCGGCATCCCTCCGAATCGCCCGCTACCTCCGAACCCGGCTCGGACGTGGAGAACGACTACCAGTACGAAGTCCACGGTCGGCGACTAGCGCCGCGCGGTGTTTCGCGACACAAGCTACCCACCCAGGTCAAGCGGATAGTCGTGAACATGTGCGGCGACCACGCTCCGCCGACGACGATGTGGCCTATCGTCGAGAATCCGCCCTCTCACGTGAAGGACGTCGTCATTGTGGTTCCCCGATATCGGATCCTGGAGGGAGAAGGGGAGATGGATGCCGGCTGCGTTGAAAGCGTCCTCGCGATCGGCATACTCGAGATGCTCCGCGCCCCTCATCCGAATTTCACCTTGGTCGGCGTCGACGAGGTCAGCGAGGAATACGAAGATCGTCTGAGGGAACTCCTGAGGACCGACGCGGCGCAGGTCGTGCATGCTGATGTCGACTATAGCGTTGACGATCCGCTCACTAGCGAGATGCCGGTACAGATTCGACGGTTTGCGCAGGAAGCGAGCGAGCAGATGAGGGTGGCGAGGGAGGAGAACCCAGAAGAAGAGCTCGAGACGCGCCCCACAGAAGAAGACGATGAGGAGGCGGCGGAGGCTGGGAACGTTGACACCGCAACTACAGCTGCTGAGGAGGCTGCTGCAGTCGGTGCGGCTGTGACTCAACCAGCTGAGGAAGGTGAACCAGAACAGCAGTCTGCCGGGAAAGACGTCAAGGCTGGTGAGAACGGCACTGGCGGCGACGTCGCCGCGACTGGTCCAATCGCCCGATACGGTGAGGTTGAAGTTGAAGGAACTGGACAGCCTGAAGATGTTGAGGTCGGAGCGAACGTCAATAGAGCAGGACGTGGGAGTGCTCCGTCGACGCCGGAGGGGCCAGTCGTTCCCCCGAGTACCAGCAAACAGCCTCTGATGAGCTTGCAGCAGAAGGTTGATAACCTGTTCGCTCGCATCGAGTTCTTACCGAAGGAGCAGTTCATCGAACGAGTCGGAGAGGAGACGGCAGCGCTCGAACTGCTTGAATATCTCGATCCGAGCGAGTACGACAATGGCGGATCGACCTGAGTGCTGATCACGACGTGGTAAAGTGGAGGGTCGAAGAATGATGGCGCACACAAGTTGTTTGTGTCGTCGACTCAACCGTCCTTTCAGTCTCGTCTTCTCTTTTCTCACCATCAACAAGTCGACCTCGATATCGACTCCAAGCATGCCCCTCTCCTTCACATACAGCAATTACCCCCACATCTTCGACGCCTTCGTGGCCGACACCAGCTTCGAGACGCAGCTCGCGCTCCGTCTCAGCTGCAAGTCTTTCCAGCAAGCCGTTGACCGCCTGCACGTGCACCACCTTGTTCTTACGCCCCATGGCTCGAACTCGATCGACATCAAGGGTGCGTACCGCCGCATCCCCGCTCTGCGCCGCATCAAGCCCGCTGCCTGGCGCAAGGAGCCCAAGCTCGAGCTCACGTCGCATACCCGCGTCGTCGACATCAGGGGCTTCTTCCCTGCGACTTGCAACTTGACGCTGCTCAAGGGCGCCTTCCCCAATCTTGACACACTGCGCATGTGCACCAGCAAGTCTGAGCCTAAGTCGTATACGCCCTACGTCCCCCTCGCCGCCAAGACCCTCGTCCTTTTCACCAGCCCCGACGGCGGTGACTGCAACCCCGCTGGGTACGATGAGTGGGACTCCGAGGAAGAGGACGAGCCCGAGTTTGTTCCCAAAGGCGTGAGCAGCAAGCTTCCGGACAAGTATACCAAGATTGTCGTGAACATGAATGGCATGGACATCCCTATTGCGGACATGTTCCGCTGCGCCCTCGATCCGCCCGAGCACGTCACAGAGGTCGACATCATCATCCCCGTCTACAGCTCGCCCTCGGCTCGCGGCAGGATTGAGATCTTCTCCGAACACATCCTCGGCATGGATACGGCGGAGCTGATCGGCTCGCCTCACGTCAAGTATACCCTCGTGGGCCTGGATGTCGTCAAGCCATCGACATACAGGGTTATTGTCCCCCTGGCAACGACCCCGACCTGTTCACATACATGCAGTTTCCTCATCTCAACGTACTCCGCATGACGCCCAGCGTGGACGACGATCCGGACAACTTCACACCCTACATCCCGGGTCATTTCGAGGCCCAAACGCTTGTGCTGTTCTCGAACTCTGAGGGTTGTGCGGCCATGGATGACCACTGGTGGTTCGACCTCTACGCCCCCTCGGATGACGATGAGGAAGACAAGTTCGACGAACTATCTATAGCTTATGGCCGGCATGCACGGGGCGCTCGGGGGTGGAGCGTTCCCTGGCGCTCTGGCAGGCGCGGCCCTTGGCGCGGGGCTGCAGTCTGAGACGGATGAGGATGATGATGAGGATGATGAGGATGAGAAGGATGAGGTGGGCGATAACGATGAGGAGGTTGAGGGGGATGATGATGAAGCTGAAGGCAACGATGACTTCGACGACGACGACGACGAGGATGGGTCCAAGAACGAGGGTAACAAGGGCAGTCTCTCACGCGGATCTACGAAGTGTGGACCGGTCGAAGAGAATAAGACCACGGCCGCATCCAAGCCTGAGAGCTCGACGGTTAGCAAAGCGGAGGGTGGCCAGGAGCCCCAGAAGTCTTAAGGTGGCCAAGCCGGAGAACCCCGCCACCTCGACCTGAGCCTTGAGCCTGATCAATCATCACTGTACCATAGGCGTTGTATTATGCAGCTGTGCACTAGTACTCTGAGATGGTTGGATATTCTCGTTCAAGAAACTCTCTGCTCTTCACTTCTTCCTTCATCGCCTTCAAATTCAGTGTGGTACTGTTGTGCCGGATCGAAGCAGATCTGAAACCGGCGAAGCACATTTCGCAACCTCCCCTGCGTCGTTCACCTTCCGTCTCGTGTGACTAAGTCGTACCGGACCCGCAGATCGCGGTTCCAGGCCATCGAATGCAGCACGCCATTGAGCAAGAGCACATGCATGCGGTGCTCAAGAGCGTGTCCAGGAGGAACGCTGTCAAGAGCGTGCCTACTGGGCGTCGCACGCTCGTGCCTCAATCATTCCCACCTCATTGAGTGCTGAACTTTGAGCGACCAAGCAATCAGTATCACCAACAAGCTCAACGGAAGCGCTGAACACCCGATGGCACACATCTCAACATCCCCCAAACTCTTAGCGTCTCTACTTCCTCTCCAGCCGACAGCAAAGACGATGCCAGCCCCCGGCCCGTACAATTCGAAGAACCTCCCACCCATCCCGCAAACGAACCCGCCCTACGGCGGGAACGACCACGCCCCGACCTACTTCTGGAACAGCTCCCTCCCCTCCTCCGACGTCGTCTGCAGTGTAGACTACAAGAACGTGACCGACTCGTGCTGTCCCTTCTCCTTCGGCATCAGGGACGACTACACAACCGGCTGCCGGATGCACAACGACACGCAGTTCACGCAGTGGTTCGAGAAGTGCACGCATCAGATCTGGGGTGAAGTTACGGGCAGACCGCAGGATGCCGAGCCAAACTGTGTCTCGTGGGATGAGAAGATGCAGTTCACACGCGATCGCGAGATGGAGAGCGCGAGTGCCCCGAAGTCAGGCAAGGGAGAGCTAGAGTGTACGACGTTGGGTTCGGACCCAGGCATCAATTTCACGCAGCAATGTTGTGGACAAGTCGGAGGGCAACTCGCCAACGGAAAGGACGATAGAGGGAACGAGCTGTGTACCGTCAAGAACGAGATGGAGGGGAAGTGGAACGAGTGTATGAGCGCTTTGCACACGTATCCGCTTTGTCACGGAGAGGACGGGGGCGGCGGGATGAGTGGGAGTGGTGGGGAGGGCAGTGGTGCCGGCCCGATCGGGGCTGCAGGGAGTCTCGTCTTCGTTGCCGCTGCCCTTGCCGTCCTTGTGTAACTCCAGGCTCACTGCGCGACGATTCTCTGCTTGTGTTGTACGATGCATTTCGCCCCCATACGACTTTGCTCCTAAGCAAGCCACAGCCGCGGCTCGTGCAGATCTACCGCCGTTATCTTAATGAGATAAGCCACAGAACTGACCGAAATCCGACAGCAATCACTCCCTGGTCCCCGTGCTCAGCTCATTCCACGGTGCATGACACACCTCTTCGCTTCCCTTCGAGCAAGTCTAAGCCAAGAACCGGCTTCGCTGCCTGATCTTCCTTTCCATGGGCGTGCATGCTGTCAGCGTGATAAGTCAGGTCTCGTAACGAGGCTGGTGAATTGGGTGGGGCTCCGCCTGCTACTCTGCTACTCACTCCTCGCGTTTCCAGCGACAACACGGCAGTCTCGGATTCGGGTCCGGGTGGGGTGTGCCTGCAAACAACAAGTTGCGGGTAGAAATCGTGACCCGCCGCTGTGGTCCGCAGTCCATGGCCAGCGGGGCCGGCGCTCTCAGCCCTTAAAGAGTAGCGCCCCCAACACGATGTTTCCTGGCTTCGCTTTGACAATCGCCATCCGCCCCGCTACCACCGCTCGCCATGTCCAACTCGGCCGCCGCGCAACTAAACGCCTCGGCGAACCCTCGTATCGGCCGTGTCCCCGCCGAGCCGCTGCTCGACCCAAAAGTGTTCCCGAACACGTCGGACGTGTACTTCTGGAACTCGTCACTGCCGCAACAGGGCAATATGGTGTGCTATTCCGGCTCGACGACGCGGCACGCACTCACCAGTGCTTGCTGCCCGCCCGAGCTGGGCATCTACACGCCGACTCCACCATCTGCGTGCCGGCTGCGAAACACGGACGCAGTCGCCAACTACTTTGCAAACTGCACGCGGGAGCTGGCGCCGGAATACATCACCCACTGGACTGAGAAGGATTGGAAGTATACGAGCGCCCCAAGACGCCCGAGGAGGTGCTGGAGAAGTACCCGCTCAAGCCGACGTGCGACACATTCTCGAGCTACCTCGCCCACGAGCAGGATGAGAAGACGAGCAGCCTCGAGCTTTCCCTCTCGTCAGATGAGGACGCCGATATAAGGGGCAGCATGGTCTGCAGCGGAGTCGCATCCTCGGGGCTCCTCAACTACACGGGCCAATGCTGCGACGAGTCGGGAGGGATCGTGAAATGGGCCGAGAAGAGAATCAACGCCTCCTCCACCATCTCCGCCCAATGCTACTATCCGAAGAATGGCAGCGGATCGCGGGCCGCAGTCGAGAACTTCAAGACGTGCATGGAACAGAGACAGACATGGCCCGTATGCGCCAATGCGAGCAAAGTCGTCAACGCCAAGCCGGATAGCTGGGCCAGTTTCGATTCGCCTCACGTTGGAGCCACGTTACTCTTCATCGTTGCCGCTCTCGCTACGGTTCTGTAAAGCGACTCTGCTGAGGCTCCCGGCGCTATTTGCCGATACAGGCAACACATGCTCGGTGGGCAGCCCGCCTGCACATTGCAACGTTCACCAGTTGTTCTCACCACATCGCACTGCAGATGCGGAGCAGCGACGCCTTATGCGCTGCCCTCGCCGAACTCGCTCTCCCAGCCTTCCAACAGGAGGAGCACATGGTCCAATTCGGCATTTCGTAACAGCACCGCCCCGCTGGGCGAGCGGACTCCGCGTGACAATGCGGCCTGACGTCGGGGTCCTTCGTGCCTGGACTTAGAGCGAAGCCGGACTGGCGGCTTTCGTAACGATGGTGGCTGAGCCTAATCGGTGACGTACATGTCCCCGATAGCAAGCATGAGCCGCATGGATTGTCTGCTTGAAAGCTTCATAAGGTGGTGGTGCGTTCTCAAGGCTGACCTCTCTGCATGCACCTCTCTCTCTTTCTGGTAGCAACATCGACCCGATCCTACCTCACCATGTCCAGCTCACTTTCCTCCTTTGCGATGGGGCCGAGCGACGTCGCGCAGGATCCGAACATCCTCCCAGTGCCTCACAATGCCTCCGACCCCATCGCGAGTCGGAGCGACGAGTACTTCTGGAACAAGGACTTGCCGATGGACTCCATCGTATGCCGGGCTGGCCGGGCGAACACTGGCGCAACTGAGACGCGTGCGTGCTGTCCGAAAGACATGGGAATCTATACAACCTCCATCGGATGCCGAATGAGCAACAGCACCGAGAACACGGCGTTCTTCCACAACTGCACCATGCAAGTGGCGATCGAAGGAAACCCCGGGGACAACAACATCGCTGAATGGCTCAACGTCACCTGCGTTCCGTTCGAGACGTATCTGAACGTGACCCGGCAGCAGCGGTACGACTGGCTAGCGGACAAGGGTTTGGACGAGCTACGAGTCGACAAGGGCGTCGACTCTGTGCCCGTATGCGCCTCGGTCGGCAATCCGCAAAAGTTCAACTACACCGGCCAGTGCTGCGCCAAGCTCGGCGGCGACGAGAGCGTGGTCGAGGGCGGAGTGATAGAGAGCGACATGGAGGCAAGCTCCGCCATGAACTGCTACCCGCGCACCAACGATCCCGAGTTCAGCGGCAAGTTCTCCAAGTGTCTGGAGGATTTCGGGACGTGGCCTGTTTGCGCTCAGTCAAGAGACCGTAATGGGAAACCGGGGACGCCAGCGGAGAAGAGCGGGTCCGGCTCCACATTGACGGCCACGACCCATCTCGGAACCAGCCTGTTGGTAGTTGGGGCAGCTCTGGCTCTCCTTGTATGACGGCACACACGCCTCAGACTGGTAGTGGTGACTCACTGGACTGTCTTGTGGGACTTGAACGCTTGCTTTTTGTGCCTGGACTAGAGACGACCAGAGACGTTGACTACCGGTCTTGGGTCCTCGGTCATCGATGAGACAGGGGTGAAGCTTAAGCATATGGCCCACATGCTTCCGAAAGTGGACGCAACAGCACGCGGCTAGTGAAGGCTGCTCATCATCGACCTCCTTGTAGGGCCATGGCACATCCTCGCAATTCCATCAGCACCTTTGTTCCCTCATCTCACCATGTCCAGCTCCCTGTCCTCTCGCATACTGAAGCCGAGCGATGTTGCCCAAGACCCCGACATTATGCCTGTTCCCTACAACGAATCCGACCCACTGCGAGATCGGACAGACGAGTACTTCTGGAGCAAAGATCTGCCCGCCGACAACATTGTCTGCACTGTGGGAGACGGCACCGACAGCATCACCACCTCCCAATGCTGTCCCCAGGCAATTGGCATCTACTCCCCCAACGGTGGACGTCGAATGAGCAACACCGCGCAGAACTCGACATACGTCCACAAATGCACACTGCAGCTGTCGCTGGAGGAAAAGCCGAACACGACCGCAGCGCGAGTGAACGCCACCTGCGTGCCGTTCGAGACCTACCTAAATGTGACGAGGGAGCAGCGTAGAGACGAGATCGAAAGACGAACGTACGACACTCTGAAGGGGAAAGCGAGGACTTTCATGCAGTCAGTACCCGTCTGCTCGTCTGTTGGATGGCCCGAGCGATTCAACTACACGGGCAAATGCTGCGATAAACTGGGCGGTGATCACACAATGACCCAAGGCGGAGTCCTCAAGAGCGACAGGTCGGCGCACTCGCTCATGGATTGCTATTCGCCTAAGAACGATTCAGAGTTCCCCGCCAAGTTCACGCAGTGTCTGGACGACTTTGGCACTTGGGCTGTCTGCGCAGAGTCACGCTGGAAGACTGATAATGGAGAGACAGATAGCAGCTCGGCCCCAGACACCACCATGACCCGTATGGGAGCCGGCTTGCTCGTCGCCGGTGCGGCCTTGGCTTTACTCGTGTAGAGTACCGTAGTCCCGAAATAGCGCAGCGATGATCCTCGTAACCGCAGTCGTATGACGTTGGCACCATTCAGTACAACCCAAGTGTCTCATTAGCGCCTGAGCACCGAGGAATGCGGAGCAGAGCTCACCGCCGCCAAGACCACCTGCGGAGCTCCTCCGGTATCATTTGACAGCTGACGGCATCATGTGATGGCTGGTGCGGTCCCCCGACTCCGTCGTTGGAGCGTGCCTGGCTGCGGCCATGTCGGCATCTTGGTTTCGCCCGCGCCGAGAGGTAGTCATATCTGCTGGCAGTGCTGCAGCCTATTGTTAGCGTGCGGAGGCATGCTAGCGCAAAGGCGTGATCACTGGCAGAAAGCCTTCAGGACAGCACAGTCTCACATGCTCAAACACTCCCGGTATAAAGCTCTCGACGTCTCTCGGCGGCAGCGGTCCGTCGAAAGTTGATGTCAGCCACTTTATCTTATCAGCGCCTTCATGTCGATCTCCACCCAGGGCTCAACGGAGCCGACCAACTCCTCGCAGAATCCGCACATTCTGCCCATTCCGCCCAACGATGATGACCCACTCCACGGCAATCGGAGCACTCTCTACGTATGGGACTCAAGTCTGCCCGGCCTCGACAACGATACAATCTGTTCAACCGACTTGCAGAGCAAGAACATCACGCGCGTCTGCTGCTCTGAGATCGGGATGGAGTCCATGGGCTTGTGTCGGATGCACAACAGCACGGCAAACACGGAATACTTCTCCAACTGCACGAGACAGTACGCGATTGAAATGCATCCGAACATGACCGCCGACAGCGTCGATGTGAAGTGCCAGCCGTTCATTCAGGCTCTCGATGCCAAGCGCCAGGAGAAACTCGACGAGATTGAACAAAGGGGGAAGATATGGGAGGGCGAACTCGACATCCAGGTCAAGAATGGAACAACCGTTCCGATATGCGGCTCGGTCGGCGACCCAGACGAGCGCAATCTAACAGCCAAGTGCTGGGAGAAGACGACGAAGGGACGGACGCAAGGCGGCCAGAGCGACGTCGATCCGCAAGACCCCGACGCCGTCTCCTACATGTTCTGTCACGCCAGAGACGAGGACAAGGACCACACCTGGCGTGACGGCTTCCTCCAGTGCCTGAGATCGGAGTGGACGTGGGGTGTCTGCGGAGAGGTATCGCAGTTCATGAGTGGCGGCGAGGACCTTGACAAGTCCGGCGCCGCCGCCCTTCGCCTCGGCGAGAGCCTCCTGCTTGCAGGAACGGCCCTGGCTCTGCTAGCATAGGTGCCGTTTGAACGGATATCACGCTCCAACCCCGCACAGGTACACGGACAGAATTGGTTCGCAAACTGTACGCAGTTCCTGAGCAGTCCCTCCAGCTTCATCAGAGGCGGCGACGGGCTGAGCTGGACCTCGTTCTGCACCGACTTCAGCGATTGAGAAGAACGTCGGCTCGGCAGCAGACCTGCACTCCCCCGGAGCTAGCCAAGGTGTTTATCGCTGTAGCGCTCGCCGCTCTCGCTTGAGATGCCTCCCCCAAGTGTTTCATGGTACATCCCAGCTTGTCAGCCCGCAGTCATGTAACCGATTTGATCCATCTGACACTTCCTACTTATCTGTCGTCGTAAAAGCGGTGTACAGTCGTTGTGGTCATTGCTAGTCGTGAGGTCGGTCCGTGTCCTTCATTCTTCTCAGCTGCCACCGCCATCGCCTCCGCCTCCTCCCCCACTGCCTCCATCACCACCTCCTCCGCCGTCCCCTCCACCACCGCCACCGCCACCATCACCACTGCAACCACCCGTCCCATCACAATACCCGCCACTTCCGCCATACGTGTTTCCCCCAGAACCACCATAGCGGTCACTCTGTGCTGCCGCGCAGGTATGCTTCCTGCGTCCACACCGCCGGCAGGCGTCGACGTACAGCCAGCGTGTGAAGTCCGCCCTCCTGTTCCGCCTCAGCCTCCGGCGGACATGGCCCTTCTCGTACTCGCCCTCCTTGCCCCACCGGCTCTGCCCGTCGATCCAAGGAGTGACGCGCTCGTAGTCGACCTGCTCGTTCGCAGCGCGCTCCGTGGCGGCAATGATCGCCTGCCTCCTCTCCTCGCCGGCGGGGCCGAGTGCCTCGAGCTGTCGATGGCAAAAGGGACACAGCGGATGGAAGACGGTATGCTCCCAGTGTTTCAGGTAGGCGAAGGCCGTGTCGGGGTCGCGGAATCGGGTGAGCGCCAGCTCGGAAGGGACACGCCTGTACCCATGCAGTTCGCGGAAGTCGCGGATCCACACTTCACGTTCGAGGTGGGCGCGAAGGAAGGCTGATGCCTCTAGCAAGTTGCGGGTGCGTTGCAGAGCCTTGTGTGCCGACTCGCGTGTGTAGCCCTCGACGACTAGGGCGGCAATGTCCTTGCGGCGGGGCGTGACCCAGCGCTGCAGGAGGATGGAGCGGGCTGTCATCAGCATGCACTTGGGTGTATGCAACTCACTGGGGGAAAGGAGAGGGTCGGGACCGGGCGTCAGGTCATACTCGTGTGGTTGCATGTAGGCGGTGGGGAAAAGAGGGAGGAAGTTGCCCGCACCTGGTTGTTTATGTATTGTGCATGGGCTCGCACATTCCTGCGCAGCACCCGGCGAGAAACAGCGGAGCAGCCTGCCCGGCAGTCTTTGGCAGTCACGCGGAGCATTGTTCGCTCGCCGCCTTTGCAGCCGTAGTCGCATAGTTGCCGCTTCGGACGTGTCGGATTCGACCGGATGTCGGCTACTCCTTATCGCTGACCTCAGCATGGCGGTGCGGGCGGTGCGGATCAAGGTCGGATGGGCTGTGGCTTGGCGTGCAACTGTCACGGGACCCGATGCTCTTATCGAACGTGCGTTCGTGGGCGATTCGAACTGGTCGGCCGTCGATGTCCCTGCGCTCAACGCACAGTGATGCATGGTTTCGTGTCTTGAGCACAGACGTTATGAACAGAAACACCGGGCGGTGCAGAGCGGCCAGTGCGGCTTTCGGCTCCGACCTGGCGGACTCGGGGGCCGTTTCCGCGCCTGTGAGTCAGACATCTTGCTTGCTCAAGTTGGGCCATCGGTTGCTGTAGTCAGTGTTCAGATGAAAGGACAGGCAACGGGGGCCTTGAATAGTGGTGGCGGAAGCCGACCAGGTAGTTGCAAGAGTGCCCACTTCCTCCAGGGGGCACACGGAGGAGAAGAGGAGATGATCGCTATCGCAGACGGCTCCTGTCGTACGGGCGGCGAGAGCTAGGCTCGAGACCGAGAGTGGCGACGAATAGCTATCAAGAAGGGATCCTCGTAGAGAAGATGAGAGACTTAGAGTATACATTCGATAGAGAGCTACGGATGATAGAAGGAGCCTTATATACCTATCGAATGGATATGTTCGAGGCTCGAAGACTTCTCGTGAAGGAGCACGTGGCGTTGAAGCTTGTCTGTCGGAGCTGACCGAGTCTACTGAGGAGTAGGTCCGCACGACAGCTCCAGTTGCGTGCGACGGTCACCGAGGTGTTCAGCCTGGTCAAGGCGGCAACCGGAACAGAAACACATGGCATGACATGCATAAAGCGATAGTATTGTAGCACACAGTGCGGCGCGGGGAGGCTTGGGCAGTCACCGGTCGAAAGGATGCCTACGGGCCGGCAAAGTTGAGTGCTTTCAAGCGCTGAACGTCATCGAGCTCTTTGGTCTCCTTCATGAAGTGCTCAAAGCGAACACGGGGTGTACCCAGCACCTCACCCCACCCACCAGCCGAGAAGGGGACTTTCATGATGTTCCAGACCTCGGCAGCCGAAAGAGCCCAGAGGTAGTTGCTGGGAATGAGGACGAAGGAAGAGTATGGGAGGGAGATGGGCTCGTCTCCGAATCCGCGGATGCCGCGCGAGAGCCACTTGAACGCTTCGGGGTAGTACTCGAAGAGGTCGATGACGAGATCGTCACGCTCGAGGTGCATGGCGACGAGGAGACGGGAGAACGCGTCCTTGTATCGCCCGACCGGGTGTTTGCTGCAGCGAGTCTTGGTGTATTGGACGAATAGGGCGGTGATTGCCTTGCAATCGTACTTGTGCACGAACCCAATGAGACCGACAAGACGGTCGTGGTCCGAAGTGAGATCGGTATTGTTGCTGGGAGGGGGGAAGATGCCGTCGCACACCACAGACAGGAAATCGTAAACAACGTCGTAGTCCTCGTCGAGTTCGATGCGCTTTGCGCCGCTACCGGCCTCGATCATGTCGCGGAACACAGAGCTGGTTTGTCAGCGAAGAGATGCAATCGTACACACGATGCTCCTTGCAAGAGATATGAGGGGGCAGCTAGCACGCCGTCGCGGGTCTTGATTTCAAAGTCGGCGCCGCTCCGCCAGAAAGTGAACAAGGCAAGGTCGTTGACTTTGTCCCAACGCCCGGCAACATCCCAGCCGTCTGCTTCATTCCCGTTGCGCGCCCTCTCGGCCATATGGGCCCTCCATTGTGCGTAACCTCCGTCTGTCATTTTGCGTGTTCGACTTGCGGTCGATGTTATGGTAGCCGACGGAAAGCTAATGACCGCTCGTTGGATGAGTGATCGAGATGTGGGCAACGCGTAGGTCCGTTACTTCCACGTATCCCCTCCTGCTCAGCATGATCACAAGTCCGTCGATCGTGTGTGGAGTTGCGCCCTGTTGGTGGCGAGGTCAAATGACCAGTCACAGCAGCGTTAGGCACCGACGATGCGACATCTGTCAGATGAGGTTGCTCAGCTTCCTCCGATGCTTGTAATTACCTCGCAAGACTGAAGCGTAGTTGCGGCCATGTGACTGTGGTTTAGCTTTATGTGAGTAAGTCCTGCTTCGTGGACTCCGACTTCAGGAGGGCTCCGTGACGCGGCACGTCGCTGTGCACACTTCTGACTTTGTTACATCAAGCTGAGGAGAACAGCTCCAATCAGGCTGTGATCAGTGTCGGGATGTCAAAGGACGACTCACTCATCTATCTAGACACCGATCGACAGATCGACACCATACTCTTGCAGAGTCGGGAACCTGTCACCGATTCTTCAGATTGCGCCTGCTGCAAGGTCGTCTCGTTTCTCAGCGATGGCCATGTAGTGCAGGAAGCGGCTCCCAGGAGAACTAAGGCCGGCTTTGCGCTTTCCCATATACTCAATGGGAAGATCGTCGGGGTCTGTGACGTTCGCAGCCACCATCGCCCAAAAGTATCGGAAGGGAATCACAGCGAACAGGCCATATGGCGAGCCTCTGAAGACGGAGGAGGCATCACCCTGAAGCCACTCAAACCGCTGGGAGTACTTGTCGAAAAGCTCAGCACACAGGTACTTGTCGTCCATGAAGACTAGGATGAGGAGGCGGATCACGGCCTGGTCTCGGGTGTGGTCGGGCGCCGTCCGGGCGGCAAACAGCAGAAAGTTGCCTGCCGCTTCACAGTCGTACTTGCGAACAAAGTTGACAAGGTCCACGATCTCGCGGTACTTGCGTGTCGATGGCGGTTCATCGAACGAAAGAAAGCCCTTGCTTGTTATTCTTAGAAGTGCAGTGATCGTTGCAGCGCTCGCGTCAAGCTCGATGCGCTTCTCGCCGCTGCAAGACTCGATCATGGCGCGGAATACAGAGCTGGCCGTCAGAAAGGCAAGAAACGGAGGGAAGACTCACGACGCGGTCTGCAGAAGATGCGTCGGGATGCAGAACTTGACATTGTCGCTCGAGATCACCTCAAAGTCACCGTCTTTCCAGGTCTCGTCTTGCGTTGGGGTATCGTCAGCCTTGGTGGACATCGTCGGCGGATGGAGGAGTAGTTAGATGAAAGGATAGGAGGTGAGGTGGTCGATTGTTTCGGTGACTCGTGATTCACGAGGGAACGCAGATCCGTCACCGTCGATCCTCCACCGCCTTAGCATCAGTCTCTGTACTTAGGTCGATTGAAGTCTTCTGACCGTCTGCATTCGCATTGCATCTAGCTCCAACCATACCTGCTGTCAGCTCACCGCCCGCTTCTTAACTCACTGATCATTGAACTGCCAATCGACTTCTCCAAGCCCATAGTTCGCGAGACTGGGGCAGTCCTCATTCTGCTCAACCTTCACTCCACCTTCCTCCTTATCCCATCCGGTGTAGCCGCCCCACAGCTTCACCTTCTCCACGCCATGGTGCACGGCAGCAGCCCTAACCGCAGCCCACGGCACGGGCTGCTGAGCGTGCATGATCTCCAGCGTATGGGGTGCGTCCGGGTGCTTGCCGACCGCCGAGTAGATAAAGAACGGCCTGCGCCCATTCTCGTCCGGAGGCAGGATGCACCCGAACTTGGGCGACGGATGGTCCGGGAACATCTCCATGAAGCGGAAGATGTGGTAGTCGATTACGCTGGTGGGCAGAACGGCGACGCGAGTCTTCTTCGGATCGCCCTGGTTCGGCAGGTCCTGCCTAAAGCGCTCGCTGAGCTCGTGCTCGAGCTTGATACTGTCCTTGCGGCCGAGCCATTCCCAGAGCCCATTGTTCTCGATCGGCCCGCCGGGCTGCAGGTACCAAGTGCGCGTGTCCTGGCGCTGCTCGACCCAGCCCTCGGTGCTGTCGGGCCCATCGCCAACACGGCAGGAAGAGTAGAACTTGTTCCCGATCTCGGAATAGAGGACACTGAACCGAGCGTCGCCGAGGCGCTCAGCGGGCGGCTCGCCCCACGCCTTCGGGAACGGGGGGAGGCCCTTCGGGTCCCCGACGACGTAGTGCATCAAACGCAGCATGTGCCTTCCGTACCCCTTTCCACGGTTGATCTCAGGGCAGAACACGGCACCCATCGTGTACGTAGTCGCGTCCTGCGGCTTCTTCTCTCCAGGCGGGAGAATGAGCGCGGGGCGGCGGAACCTGGATGTCAGCCGGGAGTTGGAACGGCGAGCTGCTTTCTCCCTCCACGACCCGAAGAAGAAGCCCGGACTCACGTCTCGCAGTGAGAGAGGAGAACAGAAGGGTTCTTGCGGTCAACAAGACCCCATGTGACGTGCGCGTCGTCCTTGGAGAAAGACTGGTCGGCGCGCAGCCTCTCTCCGCGGGCGAGGTACGTGTCGATGGGGAACCCGCGAGGCTGGCCCCACTTGGGCCAATGGTTCCTCAGCGTCTGCTTGATCTGTTCGGCATCGCAGCGCACGATCGTCAGTTGGTCCAGGGGAACTCTGTCCGGTTCGTCGCTCATTTTAGGTGGATGTGGTGTATGCAGTTGCGACTTTGCAACAGAGAGACGAATATAGCCCAGCGAGGGAAGGTGAGAGCCGAAAGTAGGAAAGGTCGGTGATGCCGAAGTTCAGGTGGAGGCCAGATACGGTGACGTCGGTGCCAAGATGAGATGCGGCAATTCGCAACTTGCCGTTTGACCATCCACACCATCGCTTCTTATCATGTTCTCGCGCGACAAGCGACCAACAGTCCCGATTCCTCCTCGAGTACCGCCGCGCGGCCCGCCGCAATCCCAGGTGCAAATGCAGTTCAACCCGGCCCAGTCCCACCCAGCCTTCCTCCCCCTGCGTGTGCACGTTACAGCCGTGCCGCGACCTCCGAACCAGCCGCCTAGCCCGCCAGTACCCAGCCCGCAGCAACATCAGTGGACGGACCCGAGCCAGGTGTCGCCCGCATGGGAGGGATGGGGACGAGGACCAGCAGAAGCAAACGTCGGCAAGTCTAGGCTATGATACGTTTGCTGGTTTTGGCCTCCTTTGGCGAACACTCGAGGTGGGCAGCGCAACGCGGCGTTCCGTTGACGCCGTCCAGATCGACACGGCCCTAGAAACTCGTTCCGGGACGCCTCGTCGACGCCGCTCGACGCTCGGGCCGCACGACACGGCTCTTCGTGATATTGACGCCGCCCAATGGAAGCTACGCTTTGCAACTTGGCCGTCGCTGCCGAATTCTGACACGGCCCTCGGCTCCACCAACCCTCCCTTTCTTTCCGGCTATCGACTTCGCTCGCACTGTTGTATCAATGTTTAGAACCCGCCCATGCAAGCCGCTCTCGACCTCAACGTTTCATCAACATTGCACTAACCTCTACTTATGTGGCCCGCTTCTTATCTGCTGACCTCCAGTCCACCCTGGTGGCCAGACACTCGTCCTTCCTGGGCATCGGCTTCTCTGCTACCGAAGTTTGCCGGAACCCCTGTATTACATAAGCAGACCTTGGGCTCATCGCACGTGAGCTCGACGCCTCAAGCCCTATATAAAGTCGACTCGTGGCTGTCGCTCGCCGTGCATGGCTGGAACGAGGCTGAAAAGCGGAATGATGGCGCCGAGAGAGGAGATCTGTGCAAAGGACGGACAATGTGTCCCCCAGCGACGGTAGCTGTTGCCACCAGCATGATATCTCTCACTCAACTGCAACTCACGAAAACTCGTTGACATCTAGCATTCAACAGGTCGGGACTCGAGACACGTTCGAACCCCAAACCAGTACCAGCTGTCATGATTGGACAATCCGCGGAGGAGATCACCCAGCATCCACAATGGAAGGAAGGTGACTTTGAGATCGTCTCCAGCGATGGTGTCAGGTTCTGTGTGCCTTCACTTACCCTCCTGTTGATCTCGTGAGTGTCATGTTGTTCGGCAGCACTCTGATACCACAGAGAGGTCTTCCGCCACATGATCGAGACCGGCTCCGGCATAAAAAACATCCAGATTGACGAGACGGCAGCGACCATCGAGATGTTTCTGGAGTTCGTGTCGACTGGAAAGGTCACCTTCATCCCGAAGGCGGGACCGTTATGCTACGACCGGCCGCTGAACTTGGTGCACTTCGTGAACAAGCACGATTGCGAGGTTACGCTGCAGCACCTCAAGAACTACGCCCACGTGCCCGTCACCGGGAAGGACAACAACTATATGCGCATGCTGCTCGCGATGCACCTGAACCAACCCCGAGTGGTGGCCGAACTCATCCAGGACCGCCCCGGAATGTTCAGCTGGCTTCACCCCATTGAACACCGGAGACCGGTCGACAGGCTGTCGAGCCAGTTGTCCTTCGACATCTTCCAGCGCATCCCCCACCAATACCTGTGGGCGCTGACAGCTGCGGGCTTGCACCTGCACGACCAGCGAGATCCTGCCTACGCCAATGACCGTGCGCCCGCAGAGCGCTTCCTGTGGTTTATGCGGGAGTGTCTGTTTGTCGAGTGAACTTGCAAGTCTTGTTGCGATGCAGAAGATCCCGGGAAGACTATTGTTCTCATCGAGTGAATATGTCCGCCGGTGAAGAGGGCTAAGCTGCTGAACCCTGGAGTTTCGGAGGGGTCTTGAGCCTCGGCGCCGCCGGAAGTCAAGCGGAGGAGCGAGGGTCCACAGAATACGTCGTCTGCGGAGCGATCCAAGTTGCTCGTTGCGGCGATGACCGCCACACCTCTGTGGAACACAGACACAGAGCAGCTTTCATCTCGGACCTGATGCAATCACAGTTCCACTCAAAGCCGAGGCCCATCGCGTTCTTTCGAAGGCTGCTAACAGTGCCTTCATTTTCAGCAGCAGCCAGGCAGCCATAAGGAACACGGCATTACCCCAACAGCTCGCCCATTAATACGCCGCTGATGTAAAGGCGTGAGGCATAGGCATGTCGTCTGGAGTCGTCCTGTCCAGACACTATGGTGCCCGAGGCTTCGACTCGACGCTGTAGTCCGTACTGACTATGCTCTCCGCTGCGGAGCAGTATGGGACCTCTCCCACCCATCACCGCCGGCCGAGGCGGCCGTGCAGAGTTCTCCGAGGGTGTCGGGCAAGCTGATGGTGGGCAGACCGCTTCCTCAGCATCACCCTCGTCGTCTATCTGCCCATCTCCCCAAATCTGATCGCGATCGTGACGAGTTCATGCGGAGTTTGCGTCTGCTCGCGTGCATGATCCCTGTCATGTGCCTCAGGAGACAGTTATCAGAAGGTCTAAATATAATCGGACAACCCCGAATGCCGCTTGGCCTCGGCGAAGAGGAGCGCTACATGCCGCTGCTGCCGCCTCTGCTCTCGTGCAGAGTCCGAATCCAGCAACCTTCTTGCCCACCTTCTGTTACCAGTTCCAATTCCTGGCGGAAACGTGCCTGTGACGCCTCTTCCAATGCGTGCACCTCCCCATATTCCCCACCTGACAGCAAGCCGCCGCACTCGCGGCCCCAGCTGGGTCCAGCTGGGTCCCGAAGCGAAGGCACAACTCCCACACCTGCCTTAAGGGGGCCTAAATCGAGCATGCCAAGACACCCTAGCTGATTGTGGGCAGGGTTGTCTTGCGGACTCCAGTGTCACCTGCTGTCTTTGGAATGACTTCACTCGTCCAACTCGCCCGTTCCAGACATCTGCGGCCCTTACCACCACCGCGGTAAGCAGCGGGGGAGAGGTCCGCGGCGAGCGCGGCTGCTCCGGGTTTCGGGGTAGCTTTGCTTCGCTTTGTCGCAATCCTGTGGAATCATGCAGCCGTAGGAACTGCACTAGGAACTGAGGACCCTTCAGGCCCCCACCTCGCCTCGCGCCTCGTCGTCGTGTAAATCGCATCAAGCCCTGCGTTATCAATGCCGTCTCGTGCCGCCGCTAAGATGGGCTAGGCGGAGGACCCGGGATGGCGCGCCGCTCCACGGGGACGTTCCTGGGACCCCGCGCGCTGGCGCTTCGGCCCCGTACGTCTGGAAAGGTCGTCGCTTGTTGCTGTTGGGAATGAGGGAGGAGGGGGTTCCGCGGTTGCTGACGGGATTGGAAACACCGAGTTCAGCACGGCACGCACCGAAGCACCCGAACGTGTGACAGTATGGAACGGTTGCGTTTCTTTATAAGCTGGGTGGGCTGCGGGCAACCCCTCGCTCCCCCTTGTCCCACACGCCCACTACTAGACACACCATCGTCATGTCCGACTCTGAGAAGGGATATGCGGACTCGCACGTCGAGGACCGCACGCCGCACCCCGGCCACGGCTCCATCGGCGGCAATCTGACGCAGCAGCTCAAGACGTGGCACGCTAATCGCGAGGACCGCTCTATCCTCATGTCGATCCCGCCGTGGCCGACGAGGACGCGCGCCCACGACCTGCCCTCGAACCCCTTCATGATCCTTCGCAACATGTCTTTCCTGTCGTACTGCTCGTTCTTCACCGGCTTCCTGTGTTGGTTCTGTGACGGTCTCGACTACTTTTCGGTGAGTACCACCGTCGATACCAGAAGATTTCGGTATCACCCTGTCTCCACTGCCACTGTTCCTGCTCCATCGTCTTCGGTGTGATCTGTGCCCTGCATACCTCGCATCGGGCTGGACCTTGGGGCGACGATCTCGATTGCGGTCGAGGCGCGTTGACGTGCCACCTCCACCCCGCTCCACTGGACAAAGTTTGGCCGCTCTCGGCCGCCCACGCCGCCGCGTATCGCCGCCTCGCTAACGACCCCAGGTCCCTATCACGCTGTCGCAGCTGATCGAGGCGTTCGACAAGGAGGACAAGGACATCACCTGGGTTCTCACTGTGACGACCCTGGCGCGCCAGGTAGGCGCCATTGGGTTCGGTATTCTCGGCGACCGTTACGGACGACGGTGGACGCTAGGCGTGAACATGTCCCTTATCTGCGTCTTTGAGCTTGGGTCCGGTTTCGCGCAGACGTACGAGCAGTTCCTGGCCATTCGCTGTGTGTTCGGCATGATCATGGGTGGAACCTGGCCCCTCGCCGTTGCGACTGGTCTCGAGACGATCCCGATCGAGGCCCGTGGCTTTGCGTCCGGCATCATCCAACAGGGCTACACGATCGGCAACCTGATCGCCGCCGTGTTGGGCATGTCTGTCGCTCAGACGAGTCCCTACACTTGGCGCACGCTCTACTTCTTCGGCGCCGGCTTCTCGTGCCTCGCTGCCATCTGCAGGTTCGCCCTGCCCGAGAGTGAGCAGTTCAAGCTCGCAAACCAGCAGCGCAAGGAATCTGGTGTCAGCGGAAAGGAGGCTTCGAAGCACTTCTGGCACGAGCTCGTCGCCATGGTGCGCACAAACTGGCTGAGGTGCATCTGGTGCATCTTCTTCTGTGCCTCGTTCTGCTTCCTCGCCCACGGATCCCAGGACATGTACGCCCGATACCTTCAAAAGTCGAAGGGTCTCGGCCCCAAGCCCTCCAACACCATCGTCATCATCAGTAACTGTGGCGCCGTCGCCGGCGGCATCATCAGCGGTAACATGTCGCAGTATCTCGGCCGTCGCTTCGCCATCTGCGTTTCGATCCTGTACACGGCCTGCTGGATCCCGCTCTGGATTCTGCCCGACTCATTCGCCGGCCTCGCCGCGGGCGGTTTCTTCCTCCAGTCCGGCGTGCAGGCAGCCTGGGGCATTGTCCCCGTGTACCTCTCCGAGTGCTCGCCTCCCGCCTTCCGCTCGCTCTTCATGGGTCTCTTCTACCAGTTCGGAAACATGGCCTCGGGCTCCGCGGGCCAGATCGAGGCCGTCGCCGCACACGACAACCCGCTCACGAAGAACGGCAAGCCCGTCCTCGACTCCAAGGGCGCCGTGCTCCCCGACTACGCCAAGATCCAGGGCATGTTCGTTGGTATCATCCTTGCCATCGCGCTCGTGTGCACGATCCTCGGCCCAGAGGCGGACAACTCGCACTTCGAGCAGAGCAAGGTCGCGTACATGGAGGGAGCGGGTGAGATGGACGCGCGCGAGCTGGTTGAGCACGAGGAGAAGCACGGTGCGACGACGCATGTCGAGAATGTCGACCTCGAGAAGGTCCGCAGCAAGAGCAGCGTGTACTAGGTGTTGGTTGAGGTGCGCATAAGTTGTTAGAAACATAGGTAACGGAGGTCGAGGGGGCCTCCATCAGTAGTATGAACATTCGAATTAATCGCACTCCACGGGCGAGCGATCGTGAGCTGGTGGTGGTGGTGTCAGGTCGAACATCGTCGTTCTTCACGACACGTTCCGGGAGCGATGAGCTGGCATGGTTGAGTCTCGAAGCAGGTCGTATGAATGGCAGTCATTGTGATGTTCAGACAGTCGACAGGTCAGAAAAGTTAGCACCGAAAGACAACCACGCGAGGCTCGATCACGATCGGTCGAAGTGGTCGAGGTCCCAGCGTCGGCAGAATCGCCCCTTTCTCCACTCACGTCCCCCTGACCTCCTCCTGACCTCCTTTGTTCTCACCTCCCAGCCCTGACAGAAGTTCTACCTTCTGCGCAGTCTCTTCGGTTCCCGCAGTGCATGGTGACAGACGAGAGCAGACGACGGCGCGCGACGCGTGCGGCGTCTGGATCTGGTACGGACGCCGGTGTAACTGGTGTCAGGGAGATCGAAATCAACCGCGTCGCTGTTCGCGTCGTCGGCAGAAACACCGCGCTCTGCGCGTCGCCATTCGCACGTCGGCGGCGAGGTACTGCCGCTCGACATGCAGTACTGCCGTGCCGAGCACGGCGCGGTGGTTCTTTCCTGCAGAAGAGGAGGAGGTACAACCGAGCAGACCGTAGGGAGAGGAGGGAGCACATGGTGTCGCAGCCGCACGGCAGATCTCGCCCTTGCGGCACTGGCACTGGGCGGCACTGGCAACATCCGCATTGAGAAAATCTACCGGGGGTGCACACTTCCCTGCAGCGGTCTTCATCGGCTAATCCTCCGACCACCTCCCACCAATGCATGGACCCCTTTCGCTCCTCCCCTTCCTCCGCTGGGTCCGCTGGGAGATCTGGGACCTGCGCAAGACTGCCCAGCGGTGTCCGCCGCTGTGCGTATGTCCGCGTTCGCGATCAGAAAGGCAGTGCTCGCTGTCGTTTTACCAGTTCTGCACGAACTAAGCGCCCGCCAAGCTGCTTGTGATAGGCCCGCTTACTTCCCGCATTCAGTCTTACCCGGGAGCACTAGGGAGAGAGGAGGCTTGCGGAATCTTTTTTCGCTCTGAGCGTCCCGATGAATGGATGAGCAAACGACCACGACGCGCATGACCACCACCGGGGGAGAAACGCACTGACCTCGCACGACCACGACCGACGACTACGACGACAGTAACGGCCGCGCAGTGGCCACCGACGACTCTGCGCCGAGATTCAGAAGCGCGATAACACAGTGGCACACCCACCATGGCCGGCGCGGTGAGCCATCTGTCCAACAATGCGGCGGCGTGGTGGTTCCGCGACCCGGGATTGCGACGGTTGAGCCTGGGCATTCTTGTCGGATTCCTCTCGAGCGTGAACTATGGTGAGTAGCGAGCGCAGCGAGCTGGCAGTGCAGTGATAGTGCGCACGCGCGGGAGCGTGGCACTAAGCGTGTTATCTCGGATCGTGTACACATAGCACGTCGGCGATCTGCAGATCACCGCGCTACGATCCTCGACAGGAACGTGCAGTAGGGTAGTGCAGAGCATGCAGCGCAGTTCGCACATGCGCGCGCACGCGCATGCAACGCCTTGTTTGTACTTTTCTGACATCGCTCTCGCGTAACCAAACGCTTCGGCGATCAGAGTGGATCACCGCATGGCGATCATTTCGCACGATCAGTGTGTATGCACATTGGCTGACGTCAGGCTACGACTCGGCCCTCATCAACGGCCTTCTGGCGAACAAGGCCTTCCTCCACAGTCTGGGAATGACCTCAACCTCGCACATCGGCGTCGTCGTCGCTGGCCTAGCTCTGGGCAGCATCCCCGCCTTGTTTCCCGCCTCGTACATCTCCGACCTCTTCGGGCGTCGTATCTGCCTCGCGTGCGCCTTTGCCATCATGATCGCGGGCACGCTCGTGCAGACCTTCACATTGGGGGGATGGAAGATGTTTGCCGGCCGCTTCGTGCTTGGATTCGGGGCCGGGTTTGCGCAGGTCTCTGGCCCCGCCTACTGTGCCGAGATTGCGCACCCGAGGAATCGGTCCCAGGTCGCAGCACTCGTCAATACGTGCTACTACATTGGCGCGATCGTGGCCGCGTGGACGACTTTTGGAGCGACGTACATGACCCGCGCGGGGAATTGGAGCTGGAAGCTGTGCACGCTGTTGCAGCTCGGGATTCCCGTGCTCTGCTTGGCACTCCTGCCGTTCGTTCCCGAGAGCCCAAGGTGGCTCGTGTCGAAGGGGAGGGAGGAGGAGGCGCTGCGCATGTTGGCGCGATACCACGCCAACGGGGAGGAGGGGGATGAGCTCGTGCGGTTTGAGCTGGAGCAGATCCGCACCGCGATCAAGCAAGAAAGGAGGGCGCGCGAGACAAGCTGGAGCACATTCGTCAAGACGCGCGGCAACCGCCATCGACTCGTCATCGTCATCCTCACGGCCATTTTCAGCCAGTGGGTCGGTAACGGCCCCATTTCCTACTACCTCGTCCTGATCCTCAAGTCTGTCGGCGTTACGAGCCCTCCGGCGCAGACAGCTTTCAACGGCGGTCTGCAAGTGTGGAACTGGATCGCAGCGGTTTCTGGCGCATTGCTCTGCGAGCGACTCGGGCGGCGCACACTCTTCCTGACGAGTTGTGCGGGCATGTGCGCCTGCTACGCCATCATCACGGCGTGTTCTGCCGCATACACGGATCATGGCAACAAGGCAGCCGGCAAGGTCGTGCTCGCCTTCCTCTACGTGTACTTTGGCTTTTATGACCTCGCCTTCAACGGCCTCACACTCGCATATCCCCTCGAGATCCTACCCTACCAGATCAGGAGCAAGGGCATGGCGGTGCTGTTCTTCTTCATGATGGCGGCAGGATTCTTCAATGCCTACGTCAACCCTATTGCCATGGAGGCGATTGGGTGGCGGTACTACATTGTTTATATTGGCGTGCAGGTGTTTGCCTTTTGCGCTATCTACTTCCTCTTCCCCGAGACCAAGGGGCATACGCTTGAAGAGGTCGCGTATCTCTTTGACAGGAGGGATGGGGCGCCCCTACCCCTCGACACACCCGTTATTGAGAAGGAGGACGGGAGGAGTAGTTCCAGCAGAGAGTTGAGGAAGGAGGGTTTGTAATTTGTGCTTCTGAAGGGTTCATGGTAGTTATTAGTTCAAGTTTGGTATAGGTATGCAGTTAGGCTGCTTAATGCGCACATCTGACAGGCCGCACACACCCTCTTGTGACAGCTCATGTACGCAGTGTCTGGAGCAAAGCCCAGATGAGCGAGGTGCATCGATACGGAGCAGCATTGCTGGAATCGGCCCAGGCACACGGCACCACAGCACCAAAAATACCAACGAGACCCTTTCGTTCGCATAAATCTCGGAACCAGCTCAAGGGAATGGTCCCTCGCACCCAACCCAAGTTTTACCGTGCCTCGACCGAGCCTTTGCAATCCCCTGTGCTCGGCTGTTTCTCTTGCTGAGTACCATGCGGGCATCTGTGTGCACGTTGGACGTGCGCGAATACCGTGGTGCCGCGGGGGTGGGGTTGGGGCTCGCGGTGCGGAGAGGGATGGCCCCGTCCCGTCCACCAAAGCATGAGGCATGTGGGTTGGCCCCTTGTTGCCTGTGCTGTTCTCGGAGCGCGGGCCGACGGTAGATTATGCCTGATGTTCCCCGCCCCACGTCCCCTGTCCTCGGTCCACGTCCCAGAGACTCGTACCAGAGCCCAGATCCAAGAATACATAAGCACAGAACCGCCTCGCGCCCGGGCATAACACGTATCTCACATAGTGTCTAACTCTACAACACAAGAACACGCGGACCGTGTTTGTTGGAAAACTGATAGATATACCTAACCTTTACACTCTAATCTATTCCACCACGCCGACGCACGCTCGACTCACGCTCGCTCACGCTACGTTCCGGTCTGATACGCTGCCACGCTCCGCCTCGCTTCAGTAGGCTTCGCTCGCTCCGCTCGCACTGCCCTCCGCCCGCCTATCCCAGCGTCACTGGGAACATCCAGTTCCAGTCCTGGTTCGGGTCGGGCACCATGTCGTTGAAGAGGAGGGGCGCGTTCGAGTTGGCCGTCGCCGACCATCCGCCGGACAGCAGCTGGTTCAGCTGCATCATCTGATGTCAGCGGGGTAGGTCTCGAGTGCACTTACAATGTCGTTCTGGCTCTCCTGCGCGCCCTGGCAGAGACGCTCGAATGCGGATCCGAGACGGCTGTACAGCCGCTTGTTGTACGAGAGTGCGTGGTCCGCTATCAGGTGCTCGGGCAGCGTCTCAAAGGCGCTCGTAACGTCCTTGCACAGCCGCTCGATGCGTGCGAGGTCCTCGACGCGGAAGGCGTTTCGTGCCGCCCACATCAGCGTGCCCATGCCTGAGAGCATGGTGCAGGACATGTCGGACCAGTAGATCGGCTCGCCGCCAGCCACAATGTCGCGGATCACAACGCCGATCTCTTCAGCCAGGCCAAGCACGTCTTCGGTCGAGATCGCGCTGTACTTGAGCCCGCCGACTTGCATCTTGAGTACCATCGTCTTGCCCAGCACGCCGGACAGGAGGCGATAGACGCCCCGGAGGTTCGGGTTCCGCATCCAGTCGTCGATGGCGGAGCTGATCACGGTCAGACCGACGACGCCGTCATAGTCGGTGTGGATCCGTGGGTCATCGGCTGGCGGGGGATACGGGTAGAGGGCAACGAGACCTCGAAGGCTGTCACTGTCAGCTGGGGCGTGACCAATCAACTTACTCGTTCATGAACGCCTTGAAGTAGTCACCAGCGACGTCGAGGTGACTGTGTCGCTCAGCCCACGCCCTCAGGCCTGGGCCGTCGGGGATGATCGATCCGCTCATGAAAGGTAATCGGAACATGCCCGAATACGACCATTCCATTCCGAAGGCGTCTGACGTTAGCTCCAGAGTCACCTGATGAGCTCACTGTAGATGGTACGCTCGACATCGACCGCCGCCCGCTCCTGTTCCTCGGACGCAAACGATCGAGGCTCGTTCGGCCACTCGACACGCATCTGCTGGATGAGACGGACCGCCGTACCCAGCTTGACGTAGGCGGTTCGGTCCTTCGGCTTCTTCCAGTATACGAGGGCAAGCAGAGCTTGTACGAGCGGGATGGTGGCGGCACCGATGCGCAGCATACGGCCGATAACCGTCTCTGCGAGATCGAAGCACTGCTCCGACAGTTCCGGGCGCATGAATCGACATGTTGCGTACATGACCGCGTTGAACAGCACAGGCGATGCACGTACTCGCTCGTACGTGTGGTAGTAGGGGTCGAAGATGTGCGAACTTGGGCTTACTCGGTCCTCAAATCTGTTGATCAGTTAACCAACCAGGAGGCCTAACTCACTGCTTGAAGAGAGCGCGGGCTTCAAGTTCCGAGAAAAGACCAGTGTTGACGGGGTCGGGGTAATGGATGACGGGAGGGCCAGGACGGGGCGCAGCAGCCGAGTCGTTTGGTCGGTCGTTTTCCACAGACTGTCGCCTGCTGTCGGTGTCAAGCACCGGCTCCAGTACATTCTCTAGTGTCACGTTACGATCGGCACTCGGCGACGGGCCGAGAGCGAGAGTGAATGGACGGAACGGTGCGGCGGGGGAAGGTGCTTGACGATGACTGGCGACCGGGTCGTACGCCCTCGAGGAAGGCTGTGACGAAGCGGGTCCCGAGACAACAGTCTCGGCCGAGGGGTGGTCCCAGTAGGCCGGTGGCGGCGGTGCTGGTGGATGCTGGGGATGTTGAGGAGGGTGGCTAGGGTGAAGCGGGTGGCTCGGGGGGTTCTGGTGGTTCTCGTGACCCGAGTGAGTGGGGATGTTTAGGTGGGTGGGGTGTGGAAGATGATTCGGAGGGCTGATGTTGTTGTGACTCGGCTGGCTGTGCATCGGCTTCATGTCATCTGTTCCGTGATCAGTATGTGTTAGTTGCACTGTGTACTTACAGGGGGCATCGTGGTGGGACGGAAGATGCGGAGGTGGACCGTGGTTGTTGTCTACTCGCTGCCGGACAACGCGCTGGTCTGCTGAGCCCGTCGAGCTGTTTGACGGCGGACCGGCGTTCGGGTCGGCGTTGCGCTTGCGCCCTTTAGGCGGACTGGGCTCGATCAGCTTTGCCGTCATCGATCATTGACGCACCCTCTCTTGGCCCTGTAGTACTGGCAATCGAGATTCAGTCTCGCACATCTTGAACACCGTGATTCCGGCGGTGCAGTTGCGCTCTCGGGCAAACATCGCGTCTGGTGCGGTCAGCTGGTGGAGGACGATGTTAGCAGCACATACTTTGAGTGCTCTGCAGATGGTGCACCTGTCAAAGTTAGTTTAGTCATGAAGTAGGATACGCACGCTGTTCTTGGGCGAGGAATGCGTTGGCGGTGCTGGTTGTGTTGGCGTGAAGATTCGGCCGGCGACGAGTCGCTGTCCATGCTTCTTGGAGTGATGCTTGAGTGTTGATTCGTGTGAATGGTTGTAGATTCGTATGGTCGGGGCAAAGCGGTGATGGATAATCGAGTAATCGTGTGTGATATGAATGGGAGTTATAGTTGAGATGTGTAGCGAGATAGTTGTGGAAGGAGGAGATGTCGATGTCGGTGACTGAGGTATGGATTAATCAACGAAGGTCGGTCTGGTCGGTCGGCAGAAAAAGATCCGGGGGGTCAGTCTGAACTTGGGCGGGTGGTGCCTTGGGCGGAAGTCACGACATTCCGCTATGCGACAGTCGCCACCGGGCTGGCGCGGACCGCTGACACATGGACAGTCAGCGGGGCTTGGCGGTGTTCCGATGCATCTGAGATGGTGCATAGCAATGCAGTAACTCTGGGGGATGTTAGAGAGATTGAGTGCGGCTTGTTGCGGGGACTGGGTTGTGGGCGTTGGAATCGGATGGGCCGTGAGTAGTGGGGTCGGAATTCTCTCCCCTTGTGCGGACGCTGCGCCGTGTGCGTCATTCCTCATTCCTCGATCAGACGACACACTCGCTTAGAACGCCGAGAGCTCTTTCCTCTACACTCTCTTCGACCGACCACTGTCCTCTGTCCGCTCTTCCCTGTCCGTATGTCCGTAGAGATCTTTACCTCCGCTCCTCGAGACTTTCCTCCCTCAGCTCTACTGCACATCTCATCACATGCACGGCCTTTGCCGCACTGCTCAACTTTTTGCCAGTTTAACAGACTGCCAGGCACACTGAATACCCTCCTGCCAAGCAAATCTAATCCACTACTCACTCACTCACTTGCCCGCATACGCGTCTCATCGGCAACGACCATGCTTGCAGATCACAGTGCTGACACAGATCTCGCTCTGGACCTTGACTTGGGATTCCAATGATTGAGGTGAGGAGAAGGCCACGACGATCACAGACATAGAACGCACTGTCCATGCGCCCTACCGAGGGCAACAAGGGTGGTCGAAGTGTTCGTCACCATGTCGATCATGCACACCTCCTCGTGGTCCACGCCGCGACCGAAACGCAACTGCCATGCCGCAGCGTGTAGCGCCTCGTTCCCCGCAGAGCAATGCTGTACTGCAGTGTCGCTCGGCGCTCCTGGAAGTGTCTGGGATCTCGGGGTATCAATGGTCCTCGATCTTCTTCTCCGCATTCCCTGACCGATTCCGTTGGTGATCTGCAGGAACGCCCACCGACTGAACCGAAAGGTACACGGCGGCCGGTAGTTCTTCCATCATGCAATGCCTGCTCCGAGCGCCGACTTATCTGTTATCATCCAGATCGCTTAGCAGTGGGGAGTTAGATCGCTGTTACGGTCTTTCCTTGCATCTCCGAGCGCTGAGCAGTGGCATTCATTGTCGATCTGTGGCGGCCGAGTGAGCACCTCCGGCCTGTTCCGCCTCCCCGCGGACTTCCGAGCCAAGCCGCCCCGCGTGACCGTCGGTCTATGTTGACACCGTCGAGCGATGGCAGGGAGAACCATGTGCTCTACGCATGTCTACTCTTTCAGACCTTCAAGCTGACTGCGATGTATGCATTCAATCCCCTCTGGCCTTTCTTCTTTGGGAGGTGGAGGGCTGACGAACAGGCGCTTGGTGATGGCGGGATTATTTTCCTCTGACGCTAGCGGCTTTTAATCCCATGCCACCACGTGGCTTCCCATACCGTCACACCAAACAAGTCAGTCGCGGTCCAAAGACAACAACAACTGCCTTCCTCATCCACTCATCTCCTCACTCTACGCCCTCTACTCTACAACCCTACCCATCCTCTTACCATACTCAAGTTGCCTGATCCTTGAAAACAGCCATAACAAACCTTCCGGACGTAGCGCCACCATGGACGCTCCCCCCATCCTCCCTTCCTCGTTCGACCTCGAGCGACAGCGTCTCGAATCCACCCTCGACCATGACCTGTCTTCCCTCTCCCTCTCCATGACAGGCACCACGTCCACTTCTTTCGCATCCTCTTCTCTTTCCACCATCCCCGTCGGTCGTGCTGCCGTCGCCCCGATGCCTCAGCTCGACGAGTACCCCCGATTCCCCACCCACCACGACCACACGCCTCGTGCATTCAAAAAGCCGTCTTACAACAACCGCTCAGAAACGAGCGTGGGCATGTCTCCTGCGAGCACTGCCGGGCACCATATTAGCGCTGTGACCCTCGGAGCTGGTGTCTTCCGGCGACCAGGTGCCGAAGTGAGCGAGCGAACAGATGAGTTTGACCCCGACCGCTCCCTAGGACGGCTAACGAGGGAGCTCGCGAGAACGATGCAGAAGGAGGTGAGTTGGTCTGTTTGACGCTCTCAACTGACACACAGGCCATTGCTCCCAAGCCCGCGTCACCGTTCCGGTCCTCTCACCCCCACTCTCCCCGATCACCATCACCCGCACCCTCCGTTCTCCCTAACCTCTCCCTCTCCCTTGGACGTCAGGACCCCCTTCCCTCGCCACCGAATTCACGAACGGTGTCCTCGGCGTCATCCAACTCTCAGTCGTATGGATACCAGAACCAGAAGAGCTATGTCTCAGGAAAGCGCCCCGTGCTGGTGGAGACCACGAACAGGCAGATGCGTGTGCCTGAGCGGGTGACATCTCAGCCGAAAAGCATCCGCCAACAACAGATGAACGACTCGGCAGATGTGACAGGCATCACCGCACTGCTTGCGACTCCAGCTAAGGGAATGGGCATGTCGGATCTCGACAAGAATGGTGGTCCCGTGGACTCTGCCGGAGCAAGCATCCCGCAGTCACTCGCCAGCCTGCAGGCTCGACTTCGCGCCCTGGAAACCGAGAACAGCGTCTCACGTCGTCGCGTTCGTGAGCTGGAAAGCGAGATCGAGCGCGCCAATCAGGAGATTGCAGAGGCGAGGAAGTCGCGGGAGGCTGAAGCCCAGCTGCGTGAGGTCATTCAGGAGAAGACAGGTAAGCCGCAAACCAGCTAGTTGTAGCTGACCGACAGCCCTTGAGGATCTGGTCGAGTCTCTCCGCGCTCACCTCGCCCGGCTGACGCGGGAGCTGGAGCAGAACAAGGCGCTGGTCTCTGAGCTTCGTCTCGCCGCGGAAGCCGAATCTCGTGCGCCTCCGTCACCCGTCCGCCGCCATGACGACTCCAAGGAAGAGATTGCCAAGCTTTGGGACGAGGTTGACCGCCTGACTCGCGAGGTCAACCGACTCAACGACATCGCTGAGCGAGGTCTTGCTGAGCGCACCCGATCCCGAGAGGAGCGCTCCATGCGTATCGACGCTCTCGACTTAGCCGAGGACGCCGACACCCCCCGCCGCGAGACGACCAAGCGCGTCGAGTTCTCCCTCAAGCCCTCGCAGCTGCGCCAGGGACTGCACGCTGCGGCCGCAGCCGACACACACCTGATGCCCCCTAGTGCCAAGTCGAAGCGTGTCACCTCCCAAGCTCCCGACGTCGACAGCACTGACGGTTACGAGAGCCCTACCCCTAGCACCCCCGTGTCGCGTAACACGCGCTCCGCTTCCAACGCGTCCAACCACTCTGTCCGGTCCAACCGGTCCAACCGCTCCCACCGATCGCATCGTGAGCCTGAGGGTCCGTCTTCTCCCTTCCCTTCCATTCGCATGGAGGACGAGCCCGAGTTCTTCTCTCCTGTGTTGCAGCGAGTCGACCGCGCCGTGTCTCCTCTGGCCGCTCCTGAGCGGGCGCATCGCGCCTCGTCGCCGATCACGTCACCCCTTGCTGAACGTCGGGAACGCAATCACCGCGGCACGTCACCTCTTGCCTCCTCGCCTCCTCTGAACGCCGACGACTCGTTTGTCGCGGAGCCCTCAAGGCCGGCTAAGACCCAGCGCCGCAAGGTCTCCGCCTCCAAGAAGCTGCCTCGTGGTGCCCCCGCCTCTGTCCGCGCCTTATTCAAGGACGGCTCCATCCCGCCGCAGACGGTGCTGACTCGCGTCATCTCCGAGCTCGAGGCTGACTTCCACCACTTCCGGATGATCTACATCGAGCTCGCCGACCAGTACAAGGTTCTCGATGTCGCGTGCAGCACGGAGAAGCGCCAGGTCCTCGCGGAACACCTGAAGGAGGTCATTGACTCGATGGAGCGAAAGGCGGAGCAGGTCTCTGCCCTCTACTCGCTCATGACAGTCGAGGACCGAGAGGACGACGTTCTCCCTCAGCCACCCGCGCGGTCGGCTAACGACCTCTGGCGCTCAGTCCGCAACAGCCTCAGCGAGGAAGCCCGCCGGCGGCTTGAGGCCGACGGCCTCTTCCGCGCGTGAGCGAGCCTGAGCCAAGCATATGTGCTAGCGTGAGCGATGCACCGACATCTGCGATCCATCTGTCCGCGTGATCGAGACACATAGACACATTCAGAGTTATTCCCACAGGGTCAGAGAGTAGAGTACGAATCCTGCCTTGCCACATTGTCACCGTTGTTGTTTCCGTCTTCATTCACTCCTTCATTGCATATCTAGATCTTGCCCTTACGACCCATTAATGTAGACTCGCTTCGAAAATGAGCCGGCTGTCCCGCTCGAACAATGTATTTGTTGTCACGGCTGCCCGTTGCGCAGAAAATAGACAAGTGCGGCATAGACATTCCCATCTGGTCTCAGCGCATTCGCCCGCATGGGCTAAGCACCAGTGGAGGTGCCCGATTTGGGACGTGTGCCGACGGTCTTTAGCAATGTGGACTCGCCCTGGTGCCTATTCCGTTGTCCTTGTTTAATCTGGACTTTAACGCAATGTCGAACTCTTCGGCTCTTCCTCTGATGTCGCCCGAGTGACTGTTGCGCCCCGTTGTGGTCTCACCCCTCTCGGTCGAGATCGAGAAGGTACAGTGATGAAGCGGAGAGGATGGTTGAGCTTGAAAGTTCTTTCCATTGCCCATCCCATCCCATCGCACACCACACGCCACAGCCCAGCGACGATGCCCAAACACAGTCCATTGGTGGATTCTGATGGTTACAAATTGAACAAAATGTGGAGAGACGGAGACTTTGAAGTCATCTCGAACGAGGACGTCAAGTTTTGCGTGCCGTCGTACCATCTGCAGTCTGCCTCGTGAGTTGGGCCGTGTGAGTAGTTCCGCCGCCGAAACGCTTACAGGCTCAGGACGGTGTTCCGTGACATGATTGCGGCGGGGTCGGGGGAGAAGCGCATTGAGCTCGACGAGACGACGCGGACGATCGAGGACTTTCTCATGTTCGTGACGACGGGTTGCGCCAGATTTGCCTCCATGGACGGCAGGGTGCGTTTCGACGAGACAGTCAATCTCATCGCCTTCCTGCGCAAGTACGGGTGCGACGGCATCGAGTCGCATCTGCGCAACTACATCCGCGCCCCTTGGCACGGACACAGCGAAGACTACAAGTACCTCCGCATGCTTGCCGCTATGCACCTCGACATGCCCGATGTCGTGGCCGAACTCATCCGCGACAGCCCCGAGATGTTTGCGTGGTTGGATCCTGCCGCGCCCGCGCCCGCCACGCCCACAGCGGACGAGTGGCGCCCCCGTCGCCTCGCATATGCCATCTTCGAACACATCCCGAACAGGTACTTGTGGGCGCTCATGGCGGCGGGAGTGTTCGTCGATGAATGGGTAGGCCGGTTCGGTGGCAAAGACGAAAGGTTGTCGGAAAAGGATGCTGCTGAGCGGTTTCTCTGGTTCGCCGAGAATGCGTTCCTCAGCACCAGAGCTGATCCGTAGCCAAACACGAGAGTGCACGCCGGGGAGAGGTTGTGTTTGTGAGATTGTGTCCGTTCCCTGCGTCCAAGCTATGCACTAGTCCCGGCTTATCTTGCGGAGCAGTCACATAAATGGAAGACAGCACTGTTGGAGCCTGATCCCGTTGACTTCGACGCCCCTGGGGGACTTTGAGCACACACATGGACAGAGCTTGCTGGCATCTGTTCTGGGTATTCTGGGGTGTGTGGCAAAGCAATCGTTGCGTGCGACTTGTGCACGAGCTTTAGCGCGGGCAATCTGAACCTCTTTCAAGAAAGGACTCGTCACCAATGACCATGCCGCCCGTGCCAGAAAGCCCAAGGTCCAACTCGCGCGACTCGCCACACACCTTCCACGCCGGATGCGTCACTTACGTAAGGACAGAGCGCCATCCAGTCGCGTGAAACCACTGCCGACAGATCACGGGATGATAGCTCAGTTGGGAGAGCGCGAGAGTGAAGCTTCAGAAGTCAATTCTTGAGGTCGGGCGTTCGATCCGCCCTCGTCCCATCTTTTTGGGATACATCTGCCTGCTGCTATCATGCGTCCAGCTCCCCTCACGTCTAGCCTGTTTTCGACAGGACTGCAACAGACTCTCAGTGGAACTTTTGGGAGTGATCGCATTACCAGTATAACCCCAGGGAGGTTACCGGCCCGGCCGGCCCGGCACCTCCGTCGATCACCAGAGCCAGAAATAGCCTCCGATGTTCATCCATGATGGGGAAGCTGTGCATCAAGCTTCGGAAGGAGTGAATCTGTGTGCCTCGTGCCACCTTCAGAGGCAGAGGGCCGCAGCGTGCCTCCGCGCTCCACTCGGAGTCAGATCTCGAAGCTTTGGAAGAGGAGGACGTTGTGCGCCGCCGTAGGCCAAAGAAGCCGCCGATCAGGTTGGGAGAGACAGCCGCGGTTCTCGGATGTTGCGGGCCGTACACCGGGCCGTGGATCGAGGAGCCACACTGAGCGCTGAGCCAGGTATGCCGGTGGCGTCCGAGAGAATACAGTGTTCGACGTTCTGCTGCATGGTGTCCTCTCTGGCCACGGGCCAGGTGCTGGGCAGAGAGGACAATCTGTGCGGCAACCAGCAAGCATGTCACAACCTTGTCTCCCTCCTTTGAACTGTGATCTAGCCTCGATATTGTCCGTAGCTCCTCGGACCGTAGTGTCGCTTTTGCAGTCACTAGCGCATGCACTAGAACATGGCTCCGCACACACTACGCCGCAAAGAGTCCGAGATCCCCCATTCGGATCTCCTGAGCAACGCGAGAGCGGTGCAGCCTTCGCTTCGACCAGGCACTAGCTGATCAGCGAGGTATGCCGAGCTGGCATGGAAGCCTTGCAATCTGCGTGTAGGCGGAGGGAAGCGGACACTGTTGATGAGCAGCGGACACATTAGCCCCAAATGCACGGGGGATTTCACTGTGCACGTTTCAGAGTGCGTAAGGCCACCTTATCTGGAGCTGGCATCGGCGCCCGGATCTGGAGACTGGTGGGTCATCTTCGGATGCGTGCTCCTTGTGCGACACCTTCAGGAGGCCACAACTAGCTGCCTGTCTTGCCTGTCAGCATGCTGGACCTCTTCGCCGGCAGCGATTCGGCGACTGTGCCCGTACCTCCTGGGGCCTGACGGATCAGCGGGCGGTGCAGTTCCGAGAGAGCTGTATTCTTGGAGGGCCGAGGATAGGCATACCCGGCACTTTGGACCAAGGAGTACACTGGTGTGCACCGGCGCACTTGTTGGTCACCATAGTATGAGGGCTGTGCGGGAGATCGACATAGGTACGGTGCATCGAAGCTGCTGTCATCTCGGTGCAGAAAGGAGGCAGAGCGGTGGTCCTTCACGCGGAGTGACGTACACCCGCACAACTCTGTGAGGATGACAACGGCGACACTCGGGGATCGTCGAAGGTATGCCGTTCAGAAGGGGACGGAGACACGGTCCGGAGACCGCTCGAACAAGGTTTGAGTGCGGGGGGATTGGTTGTCAGCGACCGGTGCTGGAATTACTATGGGCGGTGCAAGCTGGACATGTGAAGTGATCTGCGTTGGTACCTGCAGCAGCACGTCGGAGCGGAGTTGTTCAAAAGGGTCTAGCAGTGCGTGCTTCGTGAACAGCAATCGCACCGGATTGAAGTTTATGCAGAGGTTGAGATAATGCAAGTGTGGGCGGAAGTATTACTATGGTGACCATTTGAGTGAGTGAGCGACTATATCCACTATGGGGCCACCCCACATACCACACAGTGTGACGCCTTGCGCGCCTTGGGCGTTGTGCCCTGGGCCCATGATCCATGTCATGTTCCTCGCTCTGGCGCTCTGGCCCCTTCGTCCCTCACCCTCACTCACTCTCTCTCTCCCTCCCCACCACACAATGCACTGACCCCTCTCCTATCTCTCCCTCTCCTCCATCCCATCCCTCGTCCTCATTCAAAAGTCTTACTCTCATCTCACTCTCTCTCTTGTCACCCATACACGACTATTCGACATTCTTAAGCACAATCCATCAGCTCCCTTCGCCCCTCTTCGCTCAATCTTGAAATTCTCCCCCACCCGCATATCCCTCTTCGGCTCTCTCCGCATTCCGACACACTCACCTTTACTTCCCACCTTCCTCCCTCTTATCCAACATTCAAACAAGGCTATCCCCCGGAAGTTGCCTCATCTCACCTGACTCCCGGCCCTCCTCTCTTCTCTTATCGCGACAGACATCCGCCCACACCCAACCCAACCCAACCCCTCCACTCGCAACGCGCGACCTGCCATGCAGGCAGTCATGAACCCCCCACCTCCACCTCCACACAGCGCTAACGGCGCTACCTCGAACGGCCATTCCAGCGCCCAGCCCGCATCCCAAGCCGGTCCAGAACGACGTCAGCCGCAGCGCCGCTCATCAAAGGCGTGCGAGACGTGCCGTGTGCGCCGGATTCGATGCGTCGGCCCTCCACCATGTGAGCCGTGTCGCTCCGCCGGACTCGGCACATCGTGCACCGTCCGCCAGAAGGCGAGGCCGAAGAGGTGAGTCTCCCCGGCACGCAGCGCACCCCTACGTACTCCTGGAGCACGTTTTGCGTGCTCGATCGCTCGAACTCTCTACTTGGAGTGCGCACTGCGAACCGGCACTTCGCCCGGTATTCCCGGGTGGGGCGAGTGCCGGCGTTAATTGGTCGCAGTCACTCGAGTTCATGAAGACCGAGGAACGAAGCTGACCATCCGCAGGGCGCCGTCGGCCAAGCTCTTCCTGCGCCGGCCCGTCGCAGCCGACCCGTCGACGAACCCCTTACTGAAAACGGATGTGACCGTGTCGCCGCCTGCGCCGATCGATAAGCGGAACCCGATGGAGGAGATCGAGGCAGCGCTCGCCGCGTGGTGCATCGAGAAGAATGTGCCGTTCTCGTCGCTCGTGTTTACGGTCGAGACGAGACTGGCGCAGTTTCCGCACACACCGCTGCCACCCACGAGCGTGCTGGGTGATTTCGAGGACCAGCTCATCGACGAGCTCTTCACGCAGCCCGAGGTGCAAGACCGGCGTGAGCAGGACCGCACCCTCCTCCGCTCGCTGTATGCGCGCTACCGCGCCGTGCCGCACAGCCTAACAGACGACCAGCTGGCGCTGATCTACGCCGCACTCTGCATCGCGCGGTTCAACCAGATCCGCAACTCCATGCCCGATGGGTCGCACATCATTGCTGAGGGCGTGCCGCGCGAGGACGTGACGTACTACAAGATGGCGTACTCTGCGCTCGCAAGTTGGCAGAAGCCGAGCTTGACGGCGCTATGGGCATACTTCTACTTGACACCCTACACGATCGGGAACGGCGGGCCAGGCGAGACGCGCGACCTGTTAACGCAGATGGCATGGCAGATTCGGCAACTCGGCATCAACCGGCAGCAAACGGCCAACCTGTACACGGAGCAGGACCAGGTCGGGGCGCTCTTCAGCGCATTCTTCTACACGGAAATGTTCCGTGCGAGCTTGACAGACATGTCGCTCGTCATGCCGCTGTCCGAGATTGATGTCGACCCGACCCCACCGCCGTTGATGTTCTCGCCGTGCCTTGCGCGAGGTTCCTACTTCACCGCCAAGCTCATGGCGGACTACAATGACCCGAGCGTCGACACGACGTCGTTGCAGTACATCACCGCGACCGAGGCCCAGTGGATGCCCTACCTCCGTGACATCCGGCACAACAACCCAGAATCGTCGAAAGCGAAGAGCGGTTGGGCGCAATTCCGGTACAACTGGCTGCGTGTGCTGCTTTACATTCCTCACATCGGGCATGCGCAGTACAGCACGCAGGCGTTCGGCGCGATTGTCCGCGCGGTCACACAGATCATGTATACGTACAACGACCTGATCGCGGCCAAGCAGCTGAACACGTCGTGGCCGCAGGTGAAGCGGCTGGTCGCTTGTGGCCACCTGCTGATTCTGAGCTACGAGGCCGGCGAAATTCACCGCCGTGAGGCGCAGAGTCTGTTCCAGATGCTCGTCGACCTCCTCGACAAGCACAAGGAGACGTGGCCCGTTTGCGCCGATTTGATCGCCGGATTCGTGCATGCCGCATCGTGCTTCGACATTGAGGTCGGGCCCGAGTTTGCGTTCCCGCCCCCGATGCCGTTCTTCGGCGACCACCTCAGCAATGGCAGCGAGGAGAACAACATCCATATTCAGCAGAATGGCCAGCCGCCGCTCCAGGCGCTGCTGCCGTTCGACCTCAGCTTTGCGTTTGACTACCCGACGTTCCCGATGGGTTAGCGGCCGAGCGCGGGGCATTGGGCCAGTTTGTGCATAGGAGCGCAGACCGTATGAGAGATAGTTGTAGTAGCATAAAACTGATTTGTATCATGGACACTAAGATTATGACATGTATGCCATCCCCTTCTTTCGCCACATGCATTATTGGTTGACGGGCTCGCGACTGACTGCGCAATGATGATCACCTGACCCCTCGAGGTGGTCTGTGCGCCCCGCCAGCCCCAGCGCCGGATGCAGATGACCGGCCGGCTAGTTTTGCGCAATAGTGTGCGGATGTCGGTGAATCCTCGGATAAACGACATCACGGAGCCAACACAGCTCCGCAGGTGTCGACGAGTGCATCGGTGTATTACTGCGGAGATGGGAATTGCCTTGCGCCGCGTCTCCTGGTCTCGTGGACACGACTGCCGCCGGGAACGATAAGATATGACTACCCCTCTGCTGAAGTCTGTACCCCAACTCTGGAATGGGGGATGTTGGCCTATGTTGGGAAAGGGGGGCCATGGGAGGGGATGGGTCAGACGACCCGCATTTGGGAACTGGACTAGTCCGCGGAAAATACGCCCGCTCCCTGGCCAGTCAGCATCGGCCGGCCTGGGGGATGCCGCCCACAGCCTGACTGGCCTGACTCTGCTGCCAGACGCGTTGCCGCCGAGTTCCAAGTTATCAATCCATATCCATCCTCCCCCACCCCATCCAACATACGACATTGACCACACAATGTCCCCGCCGTCGTCGCCAAAGGAGGACGGCAAACCGCCCCCACGGTCCAAGCTTGCGTGAGTACGCCCTTGCAGATGCTGCGATTGAGGAGCAGAGGGGGCGAGGGAGAATCGAGATAGGGACCAGAATCGGGCCGTTACTCAGGACGGACTGTTCGGTGTCCACCATGCGGAGTTGTTGGATATCATCGAGATATCATCGAGATCCAGTGTGGGGAAGGACAAGGACAAGCGGGGAGCAAGGGGAAAGAGGGCGGGGAAGGATGGGGGCCAACGGAGAGATAACAGAACAATGCTGACTGTGTCTACAGGTGCAAGACGTGCCGTGCCATCAAGGTGAGATTCCGTCCTGCTTATCAACATCGTCTCGGTCTTGGTCTCGGTGTGCCTCGCCGCTGCCGACATCCACCATCATTCAACCCATCCCCGTCACCACACTGCCTGTGCCTGCTGCATGCTGTCGACCTCGTCGTCTCAGCGACGCTCGACGCTGGCATCGCAGACTGCTGCGCACTGGAGGGTTTCTCGCCATCCACCCACATGTCGCCGCCATGTTGATCAACCAAACGCTGACCACAGGTCCGATGCATCCGCCCCCCAGAGCCTAATACGCCCTGCGCGCGGTGCGCCCGGTACGGACTCGTGTGCTCAGACCCGCCCGTTATCAAGCGGAAAGGACGGCCGCCGGGGAGTAAGCAGTGAGTATCGCGTATTGAGGGGCAAGCTTTTCCTGCTCCGTCCATTGCCGGTGGGCGGGTGAGAGCCTGCTGTTGCTCACCAGTGATGTCTACGACAGCTTTTTAAGCCAGCTTTGATAACGCCGACTCAGCTGACACTTGCAGACAGCGTGAAGCCGCCGCTGCAGCTGCTGCGGCCGCCGCTGAGCGGGGAGAGAACAAGCCACCCCGCATCGAGCCGTCACCTCCCAGCAGACCCGGATCGCACCACTCCAATCCGCAAGAGCACCACTCTCATTCACACCACTCGTCGCATCATCACTCGTCTAACCACCACTCGCACAAGGGACCCAGCCATGCGCACGCTCACGGCGGACCGGGTCAGCCGCATGCGTCGAGCAACGACCCCTCGACCTTCCCTTTCCTCCGCCCGTATGCGCCTCCGTCCAGCGCCAGTTCGCAGGTCTCTCCGCCAGGCTACGGTAACCCCGGCATCTCACCGCCGGTTGCTGTTGCAGGCGAAGCCCCACCAAGGCGTAACCACCATCTGTCTATGGCCGAGCACCTCGACCCGGGTAGTGACCGGGAAGTGATTGCTGCTGCGCCGTTCTTCAACAATGCGCCTACGGGAAGGAAGCGTTCTCCCGCCGCGGACGACGACAAGATCAACGAGGAGCACGATCCGGTGTCCCTCCGTGCGCTGTCAGAGGTGGAGGCGACGTCGCTGGTGTCGCTCTTCCACCAGCGGCTGAACCCCCTAGTCGCTGTGCTCGACGAAAACCTCCACACCATGGCATACCTCCGCCGAACGAGCAGTGTGCTCTTCTCGACGGTATTGGCCAGCGCTTCGCGCTTCTTCCGACACGACCTGCACCCCGCTCTCCTGTCGCACGCTCGAACACTACTGGATCGCGCGCTCCAGCTCGGCAGCACCGACATCGGCGTGATCCAGTCGCTCATGCTGCAAACGTACTGGAAAGATCCCGAGGACACGTCGGGCTGGATGAAGGTCGGCATCGCGATCCGCCTCGGCTACTCTCTGTTCTGGCACATACCCCGCGCAGACCCGTTGCCCGAAGACGAGCGCGCCGCTCGCGAGCTGCTGAACGCGGAGAGGACGTGGTTCACGCTCTTCTCCTTCGATCGGGGGCAGAGCTACATTCACGGCCTGCCAGCTCTGATTCGGCTGAACCACCACGGCGACCCCGAGGTCTGGGCGCGCGACCACCTGTACCTCGGCCGGAGCGTCGACATGCACATCGCAGCGAGCATTCAGCTGTGTAAGCTGAAGGATGAGTGGGGTGCGTTGTGTGAGCGGGCACCTGAGCCTGCGCTGCTGGAAGTCGCCATCGACACATTGACGACGCAAGCGGAGAACCTGGTCGCGAAGTGGTTCAACCGCGACAATCCCCCGCCGCAGTTCGAGCAGGACATTGAGGGCGTGCTGCTCTGGAGTATCCTCGACTTTGTCCTCGTCATGAAGCGGTATCGATACGAGATGGCGCGGGGACCCCGCGATCCACTCAGATTGGATCAATGCCTGCACGTCGTTTCAAGGATAACCGCCGAGATCGAGGCGCTGAGCGCTAACGGCCTGCTCATCATCATGCAGGACAGCGCAAGCTGCATGACCTCGTCTCTCATCGTTTTCATCCGCAACAGCTACCGGAGCGCAACAAGGGCTCAGAAGAGCTTCATGCTGACGACGCTCCACCGGATCTTCCTAGCGCACACGAGTCTGCTTCTGGAGGAAGATTCGAAGACGGCACCAGGCTATGTGGTACGGTTCATCCGGCGCGTCCTCAGTGCACTCTCTACGGAAAGTCGACAGGGCTCCCCAGGCCCAGTGCCAGCGCCTTACGTCTCCAGCGGCGACGTGGGCAGCGCAGAAGCCCAAGGCGGCCCAGCAACAGGCGGCAGCGGCAGCGGAGGTCCAGGGAATGGCGGCGTGTTCGACTTCTTCGCAGAACTGGGACTCGAGGAGTTCATCCACGTGCCCGAATTTGTGGCCCAGAACGAAGCCGATGATGGCCGGTATTGGGCTAATATGCTGCTGAGCGAGGTCGTGCCGCCTGCCCCGGAGGTGTAGCCGCACCGGCGTGTTGGTCGATTCTTCGCCGGTCTCTGCTCGTTTCGTGTCTGTTCGCTTCTTCGTCTGGTCGCCCCCGCCGATTTGTCCCGTGAGGACACTTGGTTTGTATGTACGGTTATGGTATTACTTTGTATGGTTTCTAGTGTCATGTACGGGTCTTGTTCTGATTACAACATGTTTTACAGCATCAGGCGTCAAGAGCGAATTGAAGGAAAGAGGAGAGAGTGGCGGAGAGTAGGATAAGACCGAGGCTGAGCCGTCTTCGAGAGGCGGAGGACACGCGCGGAGTGTCGGTGCAGATCGAGTAGGTCTGGTGGTTTGCGATGCAGGCGTCCCAGTCGCCTCGCTTGGATTTGGGGATCTTGCAGACTCGTGGTGGGGGTGGGGGCGGGCCGGACGGGGGCGGCTTCCCCCCTTCTCCATTCTTGCCACCATCCTTGGCGTCTTCTCCTGGGGCAGTCTCCCCCTCTCCAACTTGTTCCCTCTTATCGTGCTTCTTGTCCATCTCCCCGCCCACCTCTCCACAACAATCGTCAACAACAACCCCTCCAAAGTCCGTACACACCTCCTCATCCCCCTTGATTTTGCCCTTCCACCCAACCCTATCCCTCAACGTCCCCTCCCAATCCTCCCTAACCCGATTCAGAGCACTGCATTTCGCATATCCAACTCCAAGGCCACGGACACACCTTTCCCACCCCCGTATACCCTCAGCGGAACGGGGAAGACGACACTGTCCCCCCAATTGGGCGGAGGGAGCGTTGGAGGTGACGAAGAGGCCGGAGGAGGATTGACAGCAAGAGTGGGAGACGGAGAGACGGGACGAGTTGCAGGACATTGTCTCGTTGAGGGTCAGGGTTGCGTTCCAGTATAGCTGCTCTGAGGTGGAGGCGAAGGAGGGTGGCTGACCGGCCGACGACGACATGGACGACATGGCTGTTGAAGTGGACGCCGAAGGCTGTGAAGCAGCTTCGATTGATGCTGATGAAGATGGAGAAACTGAGGAGGATGGTGGGGCAGACGGCGGGGACGAAGAGGACGGGAAAGGTGAGGCAGGGGACGCAGAGGAGGTCGAGGAGAACGGAGACGGCGATGTGACGGCCGAGGCGAGGCGAGAAGTGTAGATTGGCGAGCCGTCGAGATACGGCGTAACAGTCCCGTATGGAGTGATGGGCGAGTAGTGTACTGGCGGAGGGCCCGTGGGCCAGGCTATCGGCGGTGCTAGCTCCATCCTCGCTAATCACCGTAGTCGTGAGCTCGGACAGACAGCAGGAAGTGACTCGCGCGAACAGAGAAAGTGGAAAGGGGGAGAAGAACAGCAGTCATCTTCCAGCTCATATATCACGTCGCCATGCATCCGGGAGACAGACGGCTGAACTCTTCGAGCCGCGTTTCGGACACTGTCCTGTGTTTCATGTCGAGGCACCATCACAGAGGTACAGAGGGACGGGATTGGGTTTTCGCTTTCTCTTCCCCTGGCACGGAGGGATCACTCCCGCCCACTTTGCTGCGTCGTTCAGACCCATGGCCATTACTGCCACGGGGCATGCCCTCGCTGCGTCGAGACGAAGGAAGAGATCTCACGTGCATGGAAGATGGCCCTCTGGAGCATGATATCATAGCCATGCGGCAGGGGCGTCGGTGACTGATCCTCAGGGGCGGGGTTGATTGCCGAGATAAACGAGTCCCAGTCCGATGAGTTTCGCGAATTGGGGCCCGAAAGGATTCTGCATTTGCATTTGACGTCGAGGCTCCTTGCGTAGACAAGGGCGTCCGGGGTATGAAGCAGAGACGGAAGCGAGGTAGAGAAGCATCAATCAGTCCTTTCATGCATTCACTCACATTGTCACTTCCGTCGCTAGTAGCGGCATGGAATACCTCTCGATCTTCCACAGAGCATCCAGTGCAGAATCAGTTGACACGCCAACTCCGCATCCCTCCCCACCCCTTATCGGCATGTCAAAGACCCTACCGGCACAGCATCCCAAGTGGACCAAGGGTGACTTTGAGCTCGTCTCGAGTGACGGAGTCACTTTCCGCACCCACACGTACCACCTCCAGTCCGCGTCGTGAGTAACGACGGCGACCGCAGTCTGACGAGCAGCCGCGTGTTCTGTGACATGATCGAGACGGGTTCAGGCGAGAAGCGTATCGAGCTCGACGAGACGGCGACCACGATCGAGCAGTTCCTCGATCTCGTGACGACAGGCTCGACAATATTTGTCGTCACGAAAGGCGCTTCCCCGAACTACGCCCAAGCTGTGCGTCTCGTCAGCTTCCTCCGCAAGTTTGAATGCCAGCCTGCCATCGGGTATCTGAACCAGTTCGTGAAGGCGCCCTCCAAGTCACAAGACGTCAATTTTCTGCGCCTGCTGACTGCAATGCACATGGGCGTGCCCGAGACGTGTGCGGAGCTAATCGACAACGAACCCGCGCTCTTTCAGTGGCTCGATCCAGCGACTCGCAAATACACACTCCCTAAGCAACTCCCGTACGATGTTTTCCAGCACATCCCCCAGAGGTACCTCTGGGCGCTGATGGTGGCTGGCATTCACGACGAAAGCCTTGTGCAGGTCTACGTCAAGTCTGTGCGTAAGATTGTTCGTATGGGCCCTTCGCAGCGATTCTTGCACTTCCTGAGGGATGGGGCGTAGGGTGCCGCACGCATGTACTGTATAGCGTCGTACAGTACGATGTTAGTGTGATCGTTCGGTGGTGAGGCGCAAATCGCCCACATGACTTCATGACGCAATGAGCTCATTCATGCGATCTAACTGGTACCTGCAGATCCGATGACAGTGACTCAGAGGTCTGACTCGCACTCAGCAACGTCGAGAAAGCTACATAATGGAAGAGAAGCATCTCCTGTTGCCCTCGTGCCAACCACATCCAGAATTACCATTCCGCCTCTCTCTGCAGGGAGCATCATGTCCGAGACTACCGAGCCCACCGCGCACGAGAAGTGGACGGAAGGCGACTTCGAGCTCATATCCTCTGACAACGTCCTGTTCAAGGTGCCGACGTACCAACTTCAAGCTGCCTCGTGAGTCTGGCCAATGCAGCTCCGCTGACACGGCAGCGGGGTGTTCCGCGACATGATTAGCTCCGGCTCCGGGGAGCAGCGCATCGTACTGGATGAGAAGAGCGGAACGATCAATTTGTTCTTGCAACTCGTGATTGACGGCGCGACATCGTTCCTATCTTACACTCTTGGCAAACCCAACTACCAGCCCGCCGTCGACATCGTCTACTTTCTGCGAAAATACGAATGTCAAGCGGTCCTCGAGCAGATCAAGGTTCTAACAATGCTGCCGCCTGTCTTTTTCAAGCCTGAAAACATTGCCCGCCTGCTCATCGCCATGCACCTCGATCTGCCTGAAGTAGTAGCTATGATGATCGAGAGGAACCCGACAGTTTTCAAGTGGCTCCTCCCTTCCAACAGCGCCTCTGAACGTTCTGAGTTTGTCGATTACGCAGCCTTCAAGTACGTGCCGCGCCAATACGTGTGGGCGTTGATATCTGCAGACATCTCCAAACCCGGTATTATGACTATCGTTCGGTCTGGCAATGTGAAGGATGTGCCTCGCAGGGAGCGCTTCTTGCGCTTCTTGACCGAAGCGAAGGAAGCAGGATAAGGCCCAGGAGAAGGGTGCTGCAGAGCTAAATTTGTACTGTGCGCTGATGCATGTCAGGCGGAGAGCACACGATAAGCGTCCGATCTAGCAGCAATCCGCTTACATGGAGGGGAGATCTAAGTGCCGCGGCTTCCGCTCAGTACAGAGATCGCGGGCGATCGACATTGCGTTAGGCTGGCTTGGGGTCTCAGGCACGCCGCCTGCCCACGTGCGGATATGGCCCAGATGAGGTCCGGGGGCGGGTCGGTCCCGAGACGTATGCCGAAATGTGAGCCTCTGTCACCGAATCTCGGGGAACCGCAGCGGATAGACTCCAGGCTGTGCAGTGGTCTCGGTCATGTGCTAATGGAAAGTTCGGACTGCGCAGCGGAGCAGCGCTATATCAGCACCGCTCCGCCGCTACCAATCCCCAACCTACGACACACTGTCATCATGCTCACGTATCTTACTCTCATCGGCATCGCCAGCACCGTCGCCGCCAAGGGCGCGTACATCGAATGGGCCGGCGGCGGTGATGCGCGTTTCCTCTCTGCCACCTCTGACTACCTCTTCGACGGCACATCGGTTGGCCTGTGAGCTGCCCTGCTTTCCATTACTGACCTCAGCATTCCCAAGCAGTACGAGTACATCGGTGCGGGCACGTGGACCTGGAATACAACCGGGGAGCCTGCTCCGCTCCGCTTCAAGTTCCTGGACACGGGGCTCTGCCTCTCCGTGAACGGCGCGAGGCTCGAGCTCAGCAAGTGCGACACGGCTACTCAATGGCGCTTCGTACAGGTCGACGATCACGGGAGCCGCATCAAGCTTGAAGGCACTGGTGAGTGCAGGGAATGATGTGAGCTGACAGGTACAGACCTCTGCATCGAAAACACGGAGAAGGACGGACTCCAAGTTCGGACCTGCTATCCCGCCGATCACGCGGATGTTATTCGGCAGGACTTCATTACGCAGTGTCCTGCCCCTGCGAATGCGTAGGCAGATTTTGTGTACCTGGCCTGGACTCGACAAGGTGTATGTACCCGTTCCCTGGCTCTTCGAAAGGGCCTTAATGTATGTTGATTATACTCGATAATGCTGTGAAGAACACAGGCTGTGTCAGTGCCATGGCACTGTAGATGATCCTTGGGTCCCCAAGACGCTTCGGACAACGCCGTCTGCAAGCCGCTGCGGATGCAGACATATGGGCGCGGCTTGGGCGCCGAAGTACAGTCAATGCATCGAAATGAGCTTCCAATGGACTGAAAGCAGTGCTGTGAATTATGTTCGGCGTAGGTCATGTGCCGTCATCGCCCTTCGTTGTGCTGAAACACACAGCAGCGGGCATCCATACTTGCCCGTCCGCCGTCCCGCTTCGGGGTCGCCCGATCCATCCCTTATAACAGTCCATTCGGAGCAGCATCTCATGTCGTGACCCCACAACACTGCTCACTCTCACTCGCACAAAGATGCTCACCGACTTCATCCTCGCCCTCGGCGTGTTCGCTGGCTCGGCCGCCGCGAAGGGCGCGTTCCTCGTGTGGTCTGGTGGCGGCGAAGCTCCCTACTTCACCTCACCAGGCGACTACATCAAGTCTGGAAACACCGTCATGATGTGAGCCGCCCGGGTGAAGGATGCTGACATCAGGTCTCCTAAGCAGTTTGAGTATTTCGGTGCTAAGACTTGGACGTGGGACCAGACTGGCGTACCCTCCCGCTTTGAACTGAGTGGGGACACGGGCTTGTGCCTCGCGGCTCGTGGTGAGGCGAAGGTGGACGCGGGCTTCGAGATCATCAAGTGCGATCAGGCCCCGAAGTGGAGTCTCGTCAAGGTCGACGAGCACGGATCCCGCATCAAACTGGACGGTACTGGTACGTGTTTGGTTCCGCATAGCATGGAGCCCCGAGCTGACGGACAGATCTCTGCGTAGAGAGGACAGGGCTGCACGACGTCGTGCTCAGGACGTGCTATCCTGCCGATCATGCCGATGTCATCAACCAGGACTTCCAGGTCCAGTGCTCGGCCTGAGCAGCGGTGAGGGGATTACAAGTAGAGGTTTACGCGCATGATGCAATGTGAAAACGGACCACCGCCAAAGCCAGCGCCGCCGACATTCCACGATAAACCCTGCAAACCGTATTTGTCTCCATCAACCAGGGATCAGGGTGGTGTTCGATCGCTCTTTCATGCTCGTTCGGAATGGTGTCGCCGAGTCATCTCCGCTTCCATTCTCTCAGAAAGACCGGTCAGCTGTTGACCAGCTAACGCTACGACCGAGCTCTTCCCCACATGCACGTGTCGGTGGAAAATCCAGTTTAACCTTGCTATTGCTATTGACCTTCTGACTCCGCGTGGGGTCATGACTGTTCGGGCACATGATTCTCCAATGGGCGGCGTGGTCCCCTCCTTCTGGAGTTCTAACAGCGACCCTTCTCTCGTTGGCGCGCGCTCCATGCTGTCACATAAGACATAAAAGGACGTGATGAGAGACCCCTCCAACTCTTTCCCGCGTTTGACTAACTATCCATCCACTGAACATGCGCACATCTCTCATGGCCCTTCTTGTCGGCCTTGCCGGTGTCCATGCAGAGCTGATCGGCGCCTATATCCAGTGGAACCGCGGTGGCGATATCCGTTTCCTCTCTCCCGACGGAGAGCCCAAGGAGGGCACACCCGTCACTCTGTGAGCTCCATTCTCCTCTCACCGCTAACGGGAAGAACGGACAAGGACTCAGCCGTCACCTGGCGGTGGGACGACGATCATCCCGAGTTGATGCACCCGCGCGTGGACGGAACCGACCTTTGTCTCTCGGCGACGGACGAGACCGTCGGCGACGGCGCACAGATCATTCTCGCCAAGTGTCCCTCTCTTCCATGGGAGTTCTCGTACGTCGTCGCTGAGGCATTCCGCATCAAGATTGAGAAACTCTGTGAGTATCGCCAGATCGTTGAGAGGTGGATGAGGCTGAACGGACCAGTTTACTGCCTCGATGTCAGCGGCCCCAATCGGACTGTCGTCCTGAACTATTGCGTTGGGAAGTACAATGACAAGGCCAAGTACCAGGACTTCATCTGGCAGTGCCCTGATGATGTTCCTGATTGGTAGTGGAGAAGTTGAACGTGCACATGGTGAATTCCCGCAGAATGGTTCCATGAGAACCTTGCACGAGGAGGTTATTGAGTGTAGGTATAGGAAGCAGCCTCCGTTCCGTACCATCGTGTCGAAGCACATGCAGATGGCCGTGTGAGGCGACGTGAGTTACGGAAAGCCACAGCTGGTCCTTACACGAGAGACGTTGTGAATGATCGAGAGTGACATCGCTCGGAATGCATAATATGCATCCGCTGCATTCCTCGGGGCTGTACCCCTCAAACTCTAAATGTTCAAGACCGACCAACCCTGGACGGCATCATCGTGGGGACGCCATGCCGAACGCCCTTGCCCTGAGCACCGAGTTACAGTAGCTCCGCAGAACTGACAGTGCGGAGCGCCCCTCGGTGCGCATTGACAGCGGAGGCACATGCAGACGCTGTTTAGGCCAGGGTAAATGGAACCCTCGTATTCACTCCCGAACTCCGTGAAGTCATGTCCGCCGAAGCCGTTCTTGGAGGTTCCATAGCGGCGCTCCACTGTAGCACAGCGACGGAGCTGGCGGAGTATATAGTTACAGCCACCTTTGCACAGGGACGGCCATAACGGTAGCTTGAACAAAGACCGCATTGCGGACTTACCTCCTCGCTCTCCTCTCTGTTCTCGCCACTGTCCGCTCCGAGCTCACTGGGGCGTATGTAAAGTTCGACAACGGAGGCTCCGACATGTGGTATCTGTCACCCAACGAGACCGTCGATGGTGCACCTGTCACCTTGTGAGTTCGGTCCTCGGCACCGCTAACGAACAGGACAAACGGCACCACCGCCGTGACGTGGCCCTGAAAGGAGGCCAGAAACAAGCCCAACATGCGCGTGGACGGCACGGAGCTGTGTCTCGGCGCGGACGGCACGCCGCGCGTCGGCGCTGACCTCGTGCTGCAGAAGTGCTCCACTCTGCGCTTCCAATGGGAGCTTCTAACCCAGTGGAACGGTGACATGAGCATCGCGATCGCCCGCACTCGTAAGCCTCCCCTGAGACGACATCGCGGGACAGTCAACACTCTGCGCCGACGTCAGGGACTTCTTCAAGGAGGACAACCCGGCCACTCCGGTCCGGCTCCATGTCTGCATTCCGAGCGACGACAGCCAGAAGTGGACGCAGACTTTCCAGAAGCAGTGCGGGCTGGACCCGTGAGATGATGTTCGTTGCGGCGAAGCAGATGATTTGTTCAAAGGCAGCTGGTATCATGTAAGAAGATTAGGAGCGCACCCATCGTAACTGTGACTGCGGTTCAGGGGTCGTTTGATGGCACGTGCGAAAGACTTGTGTTGATCAAACAGGCGCCCCTCCCAGAATATGATATGGCCGCTCTCGGGCAGGCGCCGGCAGGCCAGGATTCTGAGTATGACGCGCGGCGCCGTCATGTCAGTAGGACGGCTTGGTTGCTGCTGATTCTGTCGCTTTATCGTTATATGAGGGGACAGACTGAAGGAGGACGAATCACGGCTGGGCCGATACCTTGGCTCGACAAGACCAAGCTACTAGCTACCAAGCTACTAGCTACACGTGCCAGCCGATTTCGAACATGGGGTTGTTCCAAGTGGCTCTGGCGCCGTGAGAGGGTGACAGGAAATCGGACGCCGACACAAACATCAATCTCCGGGCTCTTGAGGCCTACGCCTGTCGTTACACACGCCAATCGTTACGCGACAAGGTGGCTACGCAGGTCTGAAGACTTCTCACGTTCCTCCGCTACCTGAGGCAGCTGCAGCGCTGGTCTCTGTGCGACCTGTTCAGCCTCGGCTGGAATGCAGGGCGTGGGCTTGGCAGGGTCGACTCGAGCTCGGTCCGGAATCACTTTTCTGTTGTGCGATCGGGTGGGTCGCTTGGAGCGAGCGAGAAACGGGTGGAGTGGGGCTTCCTTCCTTGCATGCCTCGCGACGCACAGGTCTAGTTGGCCAGGAACGAGTGCTGCGGATCCGAAGTGATCAGATAAGCGGTGTAACGATACTCCATCAGGTGGGCGTTCGTGGTCAGGTGACGGCGTCCAGAGCGGATGGAATGGAGCAAAATGGAACATCCTTACGAGAGAACCGTGCCCTCGCTCATGCATAAGAAGGCCCAGCCTGACACCCGTTATCTCCCTCTCCCTCGAAGAACTCGCACTCACCATGCTGACACTCGCTCTCCTTGCTGTACTCGTACCGCTCGCCGCTGCGCGTCCAGCCAACCTCGAATGGGGCGCCGGCCAGGGCTTCGTCGCGCCCTTCCTCACCAACTCCATGACTCACGCCCCTCCCTACCCCAAGAACGGGAATGATGTGTATCTTACGGACGGACCCTATAACAATTGGACCTATGGCCAGAACCAGGTTGTCAAGTGGGTTAGCCCCTACAACCAGGGCGACTTCTGCATCGACGCAGGACTTGGTGAGTCCACCTCTCCCCTCATTCCCCTTGGCCGCCTCGAGAATCCATCATGGTTGTGTCTCTGACGCGCAGAACCCAAGGACGGCACCCGGCTCAAGATCTGGCAGTGCTATCCCGGTGCTCCGCAACAGACCTGGGACGTCGCCGACGGCCACATCAAGCTCGCCGGCAAGAACCTCTGCGTGGACGTGCCCAACGGCAACAAGACGGCGGGCTTCCTCCAGCTCTGGACTTGCGACAAACGAAACCCCAACCAGATCTTTGGCGAGTTCTGCGGGTCGAGGGGCTCAGGACCTTACCCCTCGGGCGGTTAGGTGGCGCACGAACAATCGTTACTATGCTTGAAACAGGACAATGCAGCGTTTCTGAAGTCGATGGCGAAGCAGACCGACCGCATGTTGGAACTCCTCTGTCTCCGGTCACTGATCAGAGTATGCCCGGTATATGCTCAAGAATACCTGAGATCCCAGCTCGCCTCCAAACACCGCACACAGTGCAAGGGCCTTGACCTTGTGAGCTTAGCCGGGCGCGAGACCTAAACAGAATTCTGAGGAACTGAAGCTGTTTACCAGCTTGCGCCTGCCTACATGTAAGCCGGACTGATAGTGTCACTTCCTGATAGCCTGCGGTGAGCTAATATAAGCTCGTACTGATAGTTTCACTTCCTGATAGCCTGAGGTGAGTTGCAGCCCACCAACACCCAGCTCACAAACTTGGTCAGCTGGGAAGTCCGCCCCAGAAGCTAACCCTCACTCTAAACCGCAAATCTGTGGATGAGGCCAGGCGGAGCATCAGAACTCACAAGTCTGGATGAAGATGATATCAAGTGGTGCACCCTACATCAGGAGATGCACAATCCTGTTCGTCAGCTAAGTGAGGCGCATAAATTAGCTGCCGACCCCACATTATAAGTCAGGTGTTGCAAGCGTGGTAGGAGAAGATCTCCGGAGTCTGCTCGTCAGCTACCTAACCTCAATGAGCAGCTAGCCACTACTTTGGCCCACGGAGCCCTTAGCGGCCTTCTGAGTGTACGCAAGTCTGCTCATCAGCTTTAGAGGCAGCCTTAACAGCTTACCAGCGCCATAACCTGGGGTGAGCTCAGTGCGCACGGGCTAGCTCACTACTCTGCTGGGCAGCTGTTGTTTGGACTCGAAACAGCTGTACATTCCGCGGAGTCGAGCGCCCTGTAATCAGCTGAGGCGCGAGAAAATACAAGCTGTACAGTACCTCACTTTGACAATGATGAAAAGAGCCGGGACAAGTTCGAGTCTTCGACACCACTGATGAGCCTGATTGTCAGCTATTCAGTCCCTAGGAAGCGTTACTCCATGACTTGGGAGCTTCCATTGTGATCGGTTGACCTATCTCCGACTCTGGTCGTCAGCTCAGATCAACACATGCCAGCTGACCCATGTATGGAGGATGAGACCCTGGGATGAGCTACAGTTCGGGTTGAGCAGAACAGCTCACAGATCGGCTTGTCAGCTATTGGTACGAGACAACAACAGCACAGCTGTGTACGTTAAGTATGAGGGCGCTGCGTTCAGCTTCATCATGGGGTCGAGAGAGCTACCGAGACCTGATGGTCGGCTTCCCCGCAGAGATGTTTCAGTGGCCGTGGCCGGGATTGAGCAACGTGCAAGCAAGACGGTTCACGTTGCCAATGGCCTGGGCTCAGCTGCTGCGGTTTTGACAGCTTACGGTCCTCTTTATTTGATGACCTGGGTTCAGCTCGTCTAACCATGCCGGCAGCTCACGCTCTTCCCTGCTCGTTGATAGCGGTCTCACTCGGAACATCCCCTTCCGCCTTTGTTAACAGACTTCTTCCAGTTCACCGAGGCGTGCGCAGTCCATACCGGAGAACATGCTGTTGGGATTCAGCTTGCCCGAGACTGTTGGGAAGCTTACAGGGTGGTCGCCTGTCGATGGCGAAGCGGGAATGGTGGAGAGTAAAGTGGCAATGTCAAGGACGGAAACTCAACCGGCTTCGTGTAGAAGGTGAACGGGAGCAGATGTAGTGCGTGACTGTGTGGTGGTGCGGAGGCGCAGAAGCATGAGGGCGAAGGGCGCAGCGTTGCGTGAGGTTGAGTCAGCTGCATGCTGCAGATCGATCTGGGCGTGCCTTGGAAATCGCTGCGTGTAGGGGCGTCGTTGGGGATTGCATTCACCATGTGAGCTGAGCTGACTGAGTCTCTCTGCTAAGCGATGAATTCCTCATGCAAAGATGCGGAAATCGGACGCATGCAAGGGCAGAAGTTTAGCAACGGCTGTGAAGGCTGCGCACATTGCCCGATCGCCAAGCTTGGAACGATAAGCCGCTTTCGGTGTTCAACAATTGGCCGACTGCCGACATGGAATAATGACTTGCGCGGCTGACGCTTGTCAGTTTACAGGCTTCTCTTCCCTGCGGGTTTCGTTTCGCAGATCTTAGCGGAGCAAGGCTGCGCACTAGTTTCGGACGCCGAGGACGGGGTTCTTGCGATGTCCTAGCTCTGGAATGTTGACTCCGCACGTGGTCATCATTGCTCCGCTTCTCCGCAAGGATGCTCCGCTGCATTCCTGAGGCGCTGCTCTGGAGTCTGGAGATAGACCTGTCCTGGCATGCCCGTCGCCAGGATACCACACGTTCAGACGATGAATGCGTTGACTCCGCAACACCGCCCGCACATGGCGGTTCGGCAGAGTCGGCGGCGCCTCGAGCGCCTCTGCGCCTATTCCCTGTGATCGATATGGAGCAGTGCTTGTCCGCAGTCGCTCGGTGCCGAGTTACCCCGCACTGTCTTACGCCGAGCGGGCCACCGTCGTGCAGATAGGGCTTGGCACTGCTCCGACAGGGGAAAAATGCTGCAGTGGTACTGCTAAAGCGGGGCTCATGCACCGAGTACCGGAGTCGAAGCGGATGAGTCTGCGGGCTCAGGTTGATATCACTAGGCAGAGCCACGAGTAGAGGCCATGCTGCCGACCGCACCGTATATAACGAGGTCCCTTGACCTTGACAAGAGCCATCGGTAGCGTCAACGTCGTTAGCTCTCGCTCCCCCTTCGGATCCCTCAGCTTCGCTCCAAGCCTCTTACAGCACACCAACAGCATGCGCCTCACAACCGTCTTTGCTTCCGCTATCGCTCTCATTGGCATCTCCGCCTTCGCCGCATCAGTCGCCCCTCCCGCCTCAGTGGATCAGCGTGACGACTCTCTCTCCCGCCGTACGGTCGCTGACACCGACATGGGCACCCTAATCACTCGTGCCGAGAGCCCCACCCTGAAAGACGCGATCAACGCCATTCACTACCCCGAGTCGGACTACTTCCACCGTGACCAGTGGCTGAAGCGCATCGTCGACGGGCTGCGCGACAAGTGGCCCAACCACAACGTGTTCGCCTTCCACCGCTTCGGGGGCGACTTCAAATGGGGCGTAACGGACAAGAACAGCATGGAAGCCGAGGCTGCGTTCTTCGACTTCAACAGTAAGACAGAGTACTTCCAGGTCGTCGTTTTCAAGTCGGCCGGCATCCTCGAGAGGGTCGGTGGGGATGGTGGGTGGGCCAACTGGGGATACTCGGGGTGGTATGACGAGGAGGGCGACAAGGTCACATTTAGAAACCCGCCGAAGTGAACTCGACCCTAGTAAGGCCGTCCATGGCTAGTATCAGCGATCTAGAACTGATCCGGCATAGCCAAGAGCCATGAAGTTGGAGATAGTTGAAAAATCACGATGCATGATTAATCGCTTTACAAAATGGTACGGCGGTCAGCACGGCGGCAGACCCATAACGCGGGCCGGGTCATTCTTTATCCATGGGTGCCAAGAGCGATTCGAGATCCAGCACCCAAACTCGGAGAAGTACCAGACATCGTTCGAGTTGCCATTGTACCAGTTGTAGCAGTTGAGTCTGACCCAGGAATTTGCCTTGAAATCGGCCACGATGTCGCCGTACGGAACCTTGCGGCATCCGGCTCCCCAGAGGAATTGGGTCGCGACCCCGCGCGTTTCGATATCGACGGGGGCAGCCGCAACGAGGGAGCCGAGCAACAGGGCGGAAGGTAGGGTGATCTTCATCTGGGGTTTAGTGCTGTCTGGCCACTTTGAACGGACTGTGAGATGTTCGAGTTCGATGGCAGCGCAACTAACGAGATTCGCACGTTCTATATAGCTGAGCACCGCACCTTGAGCCCCACAACCGCCATGACCAGTCTGGTGCACCCTTCTGTTGCCGGTCGCCTAAATTGCGATAAGATTTGCCAAGGCCTGAGCGAACAAGAACTCTGCACTCGCGGAGTCACATTCGGCACCTCCGCGGATCAGCTGACGGGAAGAGTACATAACATTAACGAGATATTACTCTGCAGGGCGGGACCTTGGGTTGGTTTCGTCGTTCTCAGGCCCTCAAAACTACAAGCAATGGCACAGGGTCATAGTCAACTTGGCACATCCGGCGCAGAATGAGTGTACCTGACTCCACAATTGCAGCAGAGAGACGGCCCCCGTAAGGATCGGCAGCACTCACCACGACCCAGCCCGAAGAATGATACATGCATTACAGAGCGCCAACCTTGTCCTCCTTCCTATCCTCAGCAACCCTGATACGTGCCTCTACGCGGGGTTCGACGCTGCCGCCGCCAACATACGAGTGCTGCGACAGTGCGCGATGCAGCATGTTCTCCTCGAACGGCCTCGATCGCGAGGCACGGCTCATGGCGCGCTGCAGCGGCCCCGAGTCCTGCAAGGGCCCCGCATCGTCGGTCATCTCCGCCTTGGTCTCGTCATCCGCACTCGTTTTGCGGGACACATTCGACATGGCGCGGTGCAGCATCGCCTCCTCTACGCCAACGGGCACTTCGTTCTCGAGTGTCGCGATGCCGCGCTGTGCGGCCAGTTTCGCCTCGCGCTCTGCCCAGAGGTCGTCGGCTTCACGGCCGTGCTTCGTCAGGCGGCGGATTCGCCGCCCATAAAGAACGAGCAGGAAGGGGACCGGCACGAAGACGAGCGTCAGGCCAGCGACGAGCGTGCCGCCCCAGTTTATGCCGAGGGCGTCGTACATGTCGAGTGTGAAGAGGGGGAGCACGCAGCCTGCAATGGAGCGGGTGACGGTGCCTCCGGCGAGCACACTGGCCGCATTCGGGAGGTATGCGTCGACGAGGTAGTTGTTCATTCCGAGGAAAGTGAGCACCATGGCGGCTCCGTACGGGATCGTGGCGAGGATGCTGATGATGAAGGGAATGCGGACGGGGACGCACGTCCATGCAAAGATGATGAGGCCGATGGGCATGAGCACTGCGCCGATGATGGCCGGCTTGAGGCGGGCTTCGGGGGGCAGCATGCCATGGCGTTCCAGGAGACGGGCGTAGCCGGGATTTCCCCAGAAGATGAGGTAGATGATAGCGGCGTTGGATCCGACCGCGAGGCCGAGGAAGCTCAGCGCACCGACACCCGGTGACCACCCTCGCGCACCCTGGAACACGAGCGGGAACGAGGTGAAGGCCATGTAGAGCGTGGCACTGACGATGGCGAGGTATGTGCACAGTGTGGCGACGATTGGTTCCGTGAACAGGAGGATCCACGGGACCTTCATCTGGCTGACGACCAGTTCCTTCCGATTGAACTCGTGCAGCAGGTCATGCTCGGAAACGTAGGTCTGCCCCGTCGTTTTGCTGAGTGCGGTGGCCCTCTTGCGCAGAATAACGGGTGCGTAGGTCTCCGGCAGCCAGAGAATATGCGGAATTGTGACCGCCAGGGCGAAGAAGGCCGCCGTCGCTGCTACCCACCTCCATCCGGCCGCTGCAGACACAAAACCACCGATAACAGGTCCGATAACCGGTCCGAGCCATGGACACGCACCGAAGACTCCCATAGCTAGCCCACGATCAGCTGCGGAGAACATGTCGGCGATGATTCCGCCGGCGTTTGTCATGGTAGAACAACCGAACATTCCGGCAAAAAACCGTAGCACCAACACTGCTGTGAGGCTCGGGGCACCGCATACAGCGGCCTGGAAGGCAGTGAAGGGGATCAGCGTGATGATGTACGCAGGTCGGCGTCCCCAAATCTCAGATATCGGCGCCCAGAGGAAGGGACCGATGACGAACCCCGCGACCTGTTGTTAGTGCCGATCGTTGATGGTTGACGTTACGCACGTAGATTCCCGTCACTGCTGTTAGCTGTTGTATAGGTCGGGGAGCTTACCGAGGATGTATAGTCTGTTATCGTAGCCTGGGAACTCCTCCTTGATGCTGGAGACCGCGGCCGAGAGTGTCGAACTTCCCATCGTCATCGCTAGTGTTCCAACCGCCGCTGTCGGTCAGCTCCGCTTCGTCTGCAACTCACACATCATGGTGATCGCCCACTTATACCCGAACTTGTAGTTGTGCGGGTTCTCGGCGTCGCCCTCCAGCCAGGTGACGACGTACGGATCGCTCTCGGTGCCCGAGCCGGCGTAGGGATGGCTGCGGATGGCATCCCAGCTCGTCGCCTTCTTGCGCCACGGTCGTTCTGGGAATGGATTTCGATCTGACGCCTTTGTCTTCTTCTCAGTTGTTGTGCCAGCCTCAGAGCCGACGATCGTATTGCTCGTGTTACTCGTGTTGCTCGCCATACTGTCGAAGCGCTGGGCGGAGAGACGCTCGTCGCTCTTCTCGTCGTCCCGTATTCCTCCCATGACGTGTATGGGGCAACAGCAAGATGCATCAGTCGCGCATGCAATGCAGCCTGGCGAAGGTTCGCAAAAGTTGGAGCCAGAGTTCAGGCAAGCCGTGTCGGACGAAGCCGAGGAACCCCATGCGTCCGGTTACATCGGGGTTGGCCGAAGGTGGGCCCTTCTCTTAAAAGTCAGCGAATAGCTGAGCCTTACTCAGCAGAGAACGCGGGCCCCAGCGTCCCAGCTGCTCCAGCTGGGCCGTGTGATCGCACCAGGCCGACTCCCAGGACACATGACGGTCCCCAAGCGCCGCCGGCGCGAGGCGTCAGCCGCCAGGCCCGCCAACTCGTGTGACTCGGGGCCCAAGTATGTCGATCCTGGTTGTTGACTCGAACCACTGGAACTGTCGTCATTGGCTGTAAGGGCAGGCTTTTTCGGCACCAGCGCCAAGCATTTTTCGGCACGAGAAGAGGCACAGCGAGGGTTGCGGCAGGGGCCGCTGGCCGCGGCCAGCTCCCCGGCCAAAGCAAACCCGGCCACCGGACTTTCGTCAAAGCATGTGCCGTATCGGCAAGTGTGTATTCTGTAATAAGCATGTGGTCAGTTCCCGTAGAAGCATCCATGGAAGCATCGCGGTCGAAGCGTCGAATGTTGGCCTCTGCACGAACGTTGTCCCTGGTGGGCGTTACCCTGACGCCATGGTCCGGACGCGGAGGAACGTTGGGATAGCACTAGTCTGTGGTGATATGTTCGACCCGTGGAACGCGCTGGACTTAAAAGCTTAACATTTCGCTCTTATAGCCTTGCACTTCGGCGTGCTGACGTTCTCAACGACGAAGAAGAGTGTGCAAGTCGTCGGCGCCGAGTCGCCGCCGAGCGCCGAGGCCGATGCGGTCCCGCTCAATTCCGCATTCCGCACTGACCCGCTTGACTGACCTGACGTAAGCGCTAACTTTGCGTGACCGAGCGGATCCACGAAGTTCCACAACGCCGAACGTCGACGACAAACACTTAAAGCAGACCGCACACTCACTCCTCTATCCGTATCCTAAACCCACCATGGCGCTCACGAACCCGAACACGAACGCGAACGACATCGATTACACCACCGGCGGCTGGGCGAAGACGGTCATCGACCGCCCGCCGCAGGTCGTCTTCGACACGCTCACCGACGTCCCCAACTGGCCCAACATAACAAGGGTGTCACCATCAGTGTCACGCCCAAGGACGCCAAGGTCGAGGTCGGCGCGCAATTCTGCGAGACGATCCAGGCGCCTGTCGAGGGCATGGGCCGATGGAGCAACACGTGGACGGTGCAGGAGCTCGTCCAGGGCAAGAAGTTCGTCATGACGGCCATGGACAACTTCTCGAGCATCCCCATCCCCTCCCGACTCACCTACACTTTCACGGCCGTTGAGGGAAGCAACGGTAGCAAGACGACGTTCTTCCGCTCCATCGATACCGCCCCGACGCAGGAGTTCTGGGACAAGGCCAAGCCCGAGGAGAAGGAGGCCCTGTACCGCTTCCAGGGCAGCCAGAGCGAGATGGCCGCACACCTCAAGCAATACGTCGAGCAGAACACGCCGGCATCTTAGACATAATATCTGCATAACTTAGAGGCTCTTATCTGATTTGCCTTCGGACGCGCTGCCCGACATCTTGCCCGATACTACTAACGCCTGCCGCGGTTTCGGAGGCCATGAGATCCCCGCCGTCCGATGCGGCGTCTAACAGCAGACCTTCCATTGGACACCTCTACCGCGGCGATCACACATTCTTGGCAATGGCTTACATCAACAACATTTCGGGTCGGTATTCAGCATTGTCTACGAAGAAGCTACGGCCTCTTCTCGAAGTGCAACTTCAGGTCGCGAGGCGCCATAAGACCGCCGGGTGTGAGCTGTGTCCCCTCTTCGGAAGCCAGGGTTACTTCATACGCAGCGAGGATGGCACGGATGACGCAGTGCAGCGACGCGAGAGCGAAGGACTGCCCAGGACATGTCCTCAGTCCGCCGTGGAACGTGGCGAACTCACCCTCACTGCGCCAGCGGCGGAGGTTAGCGTCCACTCTCCTCAATGCTCTCTCCCCACCGCTGCGGCCTCCACTCGGGGTCGATGCTGCGGTGCAGGCCATAAGCCGACCAGCCGACGTACGTGCCCTCCTTCAGCGGCACGTCGAGTCCGGGAAGGGAGAGGAGCGTATCGTGCGCGATGCGGCGGTTGATCAGCTGCGGAATGGGCGGGTACAGCCGCAAAGCTTCCAGGACGGTCGCGTGGAGGATCGGGCTCGGCGAGGCGTCCGAACGAATGCGAGCTTGCAGCTCGGGGTCGCGGGACAAGATCCAGAGCAGGGTTAGCAGCGCCTGCTGTGCGTTCTCATGGCCGGCGATGAAGAGGACTGCTGTCAGTTTCGGCCGAGGACCGGTCTCACTCTTGACATTGTCAATGTACTCCCTCTCGCTGAGGAGCCCCGAGAGGAAGGCCCCATCGAGCTTGCTCTGCACATTGCCCGACTCATCCTTCTCATTGGCAGGGAGACCTAGCTTGAGTCTCGCCTCCGCTCCGGGAAGAGCCTTCAGTAGCTCAACCTCGAGGTTGCCGATGAGGTTGCGGGCAATCGCACGGCTCGGGAAGAGACGCGGGAAGCGGTCCAGAGCCGGTACGGACAGGAAGAGGGGGTGGAAGATGTGGCGTTTGACCAGCGCGTGGATCCTGTGAATTGCCGGTGGGGAGGGGAGGAACTGCCGTCAGTCCTGCCACAACTGCTCATACCTTGAGATCACGGCCCAGGACGCAGAGACAAACCGCTTCCATGGAGTAGCGCTGCACGAGTCCCGTCACGCTGCCAGCATGTCCCTCAAGCTGGGCTACGAGGCGTCCAGCGGCGATATCCACCTTGCTCGGATCGGTGTCGTCTCTTAGTGATGGGCGGATGATCTGCGCATACTTCCGCCAGAGCGCGCCCGTCTCGCTGATGATGTTCCCTCCAGTAAGGGCGCTGATAGCGGCATTCGGTAGTTTGCGATGGTTGCCCTGTTTCTGAAACGTCGTGCGCTCGAGCGAGAAGAGCTGCTTCATGCCCTGCGGACAGGCAACAAGCACGTTCCATTGCGAGCCAAAGTAGATCACAACCGCACCGTGCTGCGCCATGAGAGGTTCGACGTAGCGCGCATAAGTCTCATCTTGGCCAGGGAAGGGGAAACCGAGCCAACTTCGCAGCAGAGGGAGGAAGGCTATCCAGAGTGGCACAACGGGCAAGCCCGGGGCAAAGTTGCGCGGCGGCTGGAGCCACCAGTAGAGTAGGGGCAAAGAGAGCGGGAAGGCTGCCGCACAGGCTAGGAATAGAAACATGGTGCGGTGAGTGGAAGGGTAAGTTATGCATGAGCGCGGCCGAATGATGGCTTGAAGAACAATGGCAGAATCTCAATCGGAGCGATAGCGCAGACTTTTGCAAAAGTCTCCGAGACCATCCCTCCGAGATTCGAAGGCGCGGAGAGATGGTGCCGTGCCTTGGTCTGAGATAAGCTCCGGCCATCGCCAGCTTGCTGCATCGCGCTGCACAGTGCATGCTGCATTCGGCCGATGCACGTTCTGTCCGAAACGCCTGGAACAGCTCCGATTCGCGCCAAGCAGCCCGTGGCCAGGAATAGCCTCTCATTCCCCGGCCCGCGGCACAGGAACCGCTCTGGTTGTTCCGAAACCCATGCATTGCGCTATGAAATCTACTGAATAGTTGTCCGCTTCTCTTCCGCCTCGACTTCGGTCCTAGCCTGCGCCTCGGCTGCTTCGACCTTTTCACGGAGGATCTCGCTGTCCGTCTCGCTCTTGGTGCGCATGCGCACCTCCTTGTGGCGCTCGACGTCGTTGTGCGCGCGGCCCAGGTTCATGTCCTTGATGAACAGGGAGAGGATGAGGGCGACGCCCGTCGTGCAGATCGCAATGATCATCATGGGCCGGTAGGCCTCGGTGTAGGCGCGGACGACCATGTCGTGCGGCTCCTGGCGGCGCGCAAGGCGGACCGAGCCGAACACCTTTGCTCGCGCACTGTCGCTCAGCTCCGGAAGATACTTCTCCAGGTTCTTCGGGACATTCGAGTTCCAGATGCTCGCGCTGATACTGCCAGCGATGGAACCGGCCAGCTGAGCAACCATGTGCAGGATTGACATGGCGCCGGCCATGTCCTTGTGCGGCACAGAGGCAGGCGCGGCAACAGCAGTGGTGGTAATAATGAATCCGGCGCCGCACGAGATCATGAGCTTGGCCATGACGAGAACAACGTCACTCTGGTTGGAGAGCGAGTAGTAGTTGAGTCCCTCACCGACGAGGCGGATGATCAGACCGGACATCTGGATGTAGCGGTAACGGTGGGTGAAGCGCATGAGAACACCGGCGCAGACAGCGAAGAAGCACATGCCCATGTTGTGGATGTTGGAGAAGGTCGAGTAGTTGTACTCGCTCCACGTCGGCTTGATGATGTACACCCACGAGTTGTAGTAGGCCTCGTGCAGGCCGGTCGAGAAGAAGTGGAACGCATCGACCGCAGTGCAAAGCAGGAAGGTACGGTTCATGAGGCGGGCGGCCCAAATCGGCGACTTGGCGAAGATCGTGTCCCAGATGATGAAGGCGATGAAGAGGACTCCACCGACAACGTACATGGCGATAAGCGAGGGGTTGGCGTAACCGCCCTTGGCAAAGGTGGTGAGAGTGGGTGGGCAGAGAAGCAGGGCGAGGGCAAACCCGAAGAGAAGGAGACCAAAGCCGTCGAGATCGCTCCAGAGATCGAGGATGCGGCGCCACCATGCCTTCTTGGGAGGCGGCTCGATGCCCTCGAGGGCCTGTCGTCGAGCATACGACGAGGAGGCAAGAGAGAGAGCGCCGAGTTTCTTGGCGCGGCGGTGACCCCAAAACATCACCAGAATCGACGGCGCGATGGCGACCGGGATGATGATTGTGAACATGCCGTAGCCCCATCGCCAGGTCTCTCCGTCGATCGAGGAGGTGACACGGATAGCACTCGTAATCTTCGCTCCGAGGAAACCGTTCATAATCCACGGAAGCGAGTAGCATCCCAAGACGATGCCACGCCACTGGAGCTGGGTCATGTCGCAGATCAGGATGTGCATGATCTGGTAGATGCCCGTTCGACCGGCGGTAAAAATGGCCTCCCCGGCGGCGACGGCGACGACCGTAGGAGCAGCGGCGACAACGACGTATCCAAGCGTGAACAGTAGCGTTGCGACCGAGAGCGCGAGTGGGCGCGATGCAAAGTCACAGATCTTAGACAGGAAAGGGAGCGCAACAGCACTCATAATGTTGTTGATGACAGCCATGAGTCCGACGACGGTGTGCTTGCCGAAAGATGATGTCGCGAATGCACTGTAGAATGACGTCGTGATCGTAGCAAGCGACCAGACGTACGCGATAAGCGCGATCGATGTCCAAAGCAGAACCAGCTTCCATCCTCGCGGAAACACAAGGTCTACAAGTCAGTCTGGTGGTCAGCTGACGTGAGACTTACACAACGCCTCAATTTTGGTCACACCGATGTACTGCTGGAAAGATACTCTTGAGCTGTTCGACTCTGTCCGCTCAAGCTTTGCGTCCGACTCTGTAGAGGGACTTTCCGGGGCGATCTCGATGTCGTCCACCTTTTCCGGGAGGACAGCTGCCCCCGACCCGACTTCTCTTCCGACTGGCGTAACGGCGGACATGGTGTGTGATGGGTGTCCGACTTCTGCACTCTTGCGAAAAGGTCTTTTATGGAATCGGGCTGGGCAGGTGTGACCGTAGTCACAAGCCTTTGCATGGGTCGGCGCTATGGCATGACAAACGGTAAAACGGCACGGCGTTCCTTGTTCTTGGTCCTGGCGCAAGACCCCGCTGGTGCCAAGCGCATGAGGGCAGCGCTGTACCCGGGCCTGAGACACAGCAGAGAGAGAAAACAGCCCAGCATGCCTCAGGTCCGCCCATGCATGGGAGTGAGGCTCAGGCCGAGAGGGGGGTCAGAACCGCGGCTGCTGATTGGACAGAAAGGGTTATCTGATAGACGGTGAGTTCCGTGTCGGCCGATATCTGATAATCCCAGGCACCGCTCCCGGAGGCAGTCCACACTCTGTGTGTGCTCATCGCCATGCATGAGCCGCTCTGTTTGAGTCTCGGTGACCAGATGCACAGGGTGCGCGGCGCCCGGCTCGGGGAATGCATTTCTTATGCATGTGCACAGCCACGCCAGGTATGGGAGGTGATGAACATCAGCGAGTACCGTGTCGAAAACAGTGCCAAGAACTATCGGCCGGGGCGGGCTTGGCGCTTTCGAGGTGACCTAAAAAGGCGTTGTCACAGGACCGTCAACAGCCAGGTTCCCGCCAGAGTTTCCGTCAGCAACCACCATACAGGGGTACAGCCCAGCAGGCATGCAGCTATGCCCGGTCAAGACCGGCCACAGGCGCCACGCCTTGGCGTAAGAGACCGCGAGCCAGGGCATCCTCTGGAAAGTCCTTGGGAATAGCCTTGGGAACGTCCTTGGGACGTCTGCTGCTCTCTGAAGGGGGAACTTTTGAGCCAACCGACGTGCAGACAAATCAGCGCTCAGACCGTGCCGGAACGCCGGGACGGTACGCGCCGGCGCTAGGCCGTTCGCATTTATCAGATAACTCGTCGCGCTCAGACTTTTTCTCTTTCCATCCTCATCTCATCTCACCTCATCACATCGCAATGCGTACTTCCGCCGTCCTCTTCACCGCTGCCTTCGGTAAGTCCTCTACTGTTTCCTCACGGGACTTCGAAAAAGTAAGAAGCAGCTGGCGCTGACTCTTAGCTGCCTCGGCGTCCGCCTCGAGCATCCTGATCCCGCGCCAGGACTGGCTCAAGAACTGCGAGGACGAGTGCAACCCCATCGCTGACTGGGCTCTCGGCTGCCGCACCGACACCGTCGGCTGCATGGAGCAGTGCACTTCCGAGCTCCTCCAGCAGGCCGACAAGTGCGGTGTCTGTGTCCAGGAGAAGAACCCCGACTTCGGCAACACCGTCCAGCAGTACGTCGGCATGAGCAAGCAGATGTGCGGCAAGGAGGGTGTCACCACCGAAGGTGACTCTTCCGAGGGCTCTGCTTCTGCCCAGCCTTCGGCCTCTGCTTCGCCCGCCGGCGAGGCTTCTCCCTCGGCCACCCCTGAGGCGTCTGCCTCTCCCTCCGCTTCCGCTGAGGCTGGAGCGGCCTCTGCTGAGTCTGCCTCTGCCTCTGACGTTGTCGCCTCTGCCTCGACCCAGGCCGCTGAGGCTTCCAAGTCCGCCGAGGGCGCCTCCAAGTCTGCTGAGGGTGCCTCCAAGTCTGCCGCTCCCTCTGGCTCTGCCACCCCCTCGGCCTCCAAGGTCTCCGCCGCTCCCTCCGGCGCTTCTTCTTCGGCCGCTGCCGCCCCCTCGGCTTCCGCCACCAGCGGCGCCGGCGCCCTCGGCGTCTCGGCCGCTGCCGTCGTTGCCGCCGTCTTCGCTGCTGTCTTCTAAACTTCTGGGTCTCTGTAGCTCTTAATGAATAACGAATAATGCGCACGAATCGGGTTGCTTGCATATGGCAAAACGACATCCCGTACCTTCAACTCAAGGCTGAAAGGTCGGCTGAAGGTACGGCTGAAAGCCACCCCCACTCGCTCAAGGCAACGGAAAGTCTGCGAGATGCTCTCGGGCGGTCTCGAACCAGAGTCCAGGGCCGCGGTCAATTCCTCGGCGTCCCTCGGCGTCAGGGTCTTCGGCCCAGGCACTTCCCTCACTCTCTTGGCGGCGTTTACCGAGCGACGAGTCAATCGACGCGACAAGGTCCGATGTGCCGGCTCTCCGACGCACGGGACAGGACAGACGTTAGCTTCGGGGAGAGCCTCTTTGCATAACTCGGACCTTAGTCACAACTTATCTGATACTCGTTATCTGATACGCTACTACTTGAACGCGGCCTCGACCCACTTGTCCCAATTGGCCTGGCTCTGGGCTTGAGCCTGCGTGACTGTCTCGGCCAGAACCGCCGCGTTCGCCGTCTCCTTCGCCCACCCGCCACAGGCCCAGTGCTTGATCGACTCCGGACAGCCCTTCCGCCCTGTGCCATACTTCTCCTCCACAACACGAGCGTTCAGCCACTGCTCTGCGTGAGCAGGCTTCATGAGTATGGGCACGCCGCCAGCGACGGCCTCGAGGACGCTGTTCCACCCGCCGTGGCCGTAAAAGAGGCCGATGGAGGGGTGCTGCAGGACGGCTGCTTGGGGTAGCCAGCGCTGGACGATGCCGTTGGGCAGTGGGTCGAGCTCGGCATTCGTGATCCAAATGAATGGCACACCGATCTCTTCCAGCACATTGTGGATCTGCTCAAGGAGAGCATCATCGCGCACGCTTAGAGTGCCGAAGGCGATGTACACTACCGACCTGGGCTGCTGCTTATCGAGAAATGAAGCAATGTCGGCTGGTAGATCGGAGGGAGAGTGCAGGAACAAGGGGCCGATACGAGAACCGAGCTCGGCCTCGCTGAGATCGTCGAGACCGGGGATGGCGTTGGCGAGCATAGCGTCGCTCTCCTGAACGAGTTGGGCGAAGCCGCTCGCCAGCCACACCGTCGGTCCGGAAGGGGTGAGACCCTTCTCGCCAAAGACGGCGATGACGTCTTCAGTCCCGACACGCATGTACCCCGGCACGTCGAGGCCGTCGGCGCACAGCTGCTCGTCTGGTTCCTTACCCACCGCGGCGGCAGCGACACGAAGCGTTACCGCCGCTCCGATGGGTGACACATCGACGAGGGTCGTCCAGTGCATACCCAGCCTTTTGGCGACGGGTGAACCGAAGAAGATAAAAGGCGATGCGACGACGGCCGTCGCTCCCTCGGCCGCCAGGCGCTCAAGCTCGGCGGAAGCCGGCCCGATCATCTGCTGGTACAGCGGCATGACGGCGTGGGGGCCCTGGGCGTAGTCCTCATAAGTGACGCCGGTTGAGGGAAGAGCAACCAGGGTGAGGTTTGGATGCATGAGTGAAGGAGCTCGCTTGAGGGGAACGTCGGACGCAAGGAAGGTGGCCTTGATGCCGGACTGGGCGGCCCAGTGCGCCAGGTGTAGGAGGGGAATGACGTGCCCCATGCCCGGGGCCGCGATAAAGACTGATGTTATCAGCAGAGTTGCAGAGATAGCTCACCTGCATGCTTGAGCTTGTCCTGTGTCATGGCGGTCGTTGGTGGCATGGTGAGTGGTATCGTTCGGTGTCTTAAAACAGGTTCGGTAGCTCGGAGACTCGGAGACTTCGACTTCGGAGACTTTATACATCGTGACTTCATTGACCAGCTACTAATGTCCGGACCGTTTTGACACCGCCCCCAAGGACTCGTAGAACGCAGCTGTGGGGAATGCACACCGGAGAGATATCTACAACGCTGTGTGGTGAGAGGGGCTTACAACACGAGACGAAAGTATGCGCCCTCTCCCTTCGCAGTGGGGCGGACGAGGCGTACCTGGTGCTCAGTCGTCTCGAGGTTGCGCAGCATATACCGCTTCAGCATGACGTACCCGCCGTTGGGCAGCTGGAGTACGACATTGTGCCACGGCGTCGGGATATGGAACAACTGCGCCTCGACGGGGGCACCGAGTCCAGAGTGGAACGAGGGGTGCACGAGCGAAATTGGGAACTTGGGCCCGGAGTTGTTGTGCCTGGTGTCAGTGCGAAAGATGGCGTGGTAGTAACTTACGGATGGATGCTGAGGCGTACCGCGGTCGGAAAACAGACTTCGACGAGACGAGAGTACGCCTCATTGCGAAGAATCATCAGCTTGGCAGTCGACCAGGCGACGCGCTTACGCTTGCTCTGGCTCATCGTCTTCATGGAGGGGTGCTGAAGCGTATCCTCGAACACGAAGCGGCTGAAACCGCGACAGAGCCCGAGCAATGCCTTGTCGTTGGCGAGGCGCTCATCTATGGTGGATGGGGGCTGGCCGTAAAAATGAAGCAGGGTAGCACGAGCGGCATCGGCTTCAGAGGTGTGCTTCGTTGCCATGGGGCCGGTGGCTGGAATCTCGCCCGGTGGTGCGTCGGAGATGTGGGCTATGAGCTCGTCGAGACCAGCGAACAGGACACGAGCGTCGATACCGGCAGCCATTTCCTTCAGTGCTGCATTGTACTCGTCGACAGCTGCATCATCTGTGCCGACGAGATCGGAGAAGACGTGGCCATCCGAAACGACGCGCACGAGAACCCCGGGGGAGTAGAACGAGGTGACATCCTCCGAAAACAGTTTGAGAGTGCGTAGCGCGAGCTCCTCGCCTTTGTCGGGGAGTGCACCGGACACCTTGTTGAGGTTGCTAGACTTGCAGGGGAAGGCGGGAAGAACAAACTCGACTGCCTTGCCTGCCGCCACAAAGAAAGCAACTGTCTTGGTGAATGCGGCACGGCCCTCGACAACCCAGCGACAGCCCTCGGGGGTGAACTTCAGGTGGCGCTCGTAGGCATCAACAATGGAGGCGGTGAGACGTTCGGTGAGTGCTTCGGTGACCTTGTTGGCGGCGGCGGGAGAGATGAGGTTGTCGGTGGATACACTGGCAGGAGCCGTGAGGGAGGCAAGGGAGGGATGCCGAAGCTCAGGAAGCGAATCCAGGGATCGACGGACGTCGGGGTCGACGTCCAAGGCGGCCGGGGTTCTCAACATTGTGGTCTTAAAAAGCAGGCGGAAGCTGGACAGTGGCGACGTCCGAGGTGATTTCGTTCCGTTCTTTTAGTATCCTGCGTTGGCAGTGGACATCTATGAGACTGACCCCCAAACCATGGCTGATGGAAAGCCGGCAGTGCGGAGCGACATTGGACCTCGGGCTAAAACTCGCCGCAAATCACAAAGTCACCGAGCTTGCACTGCCTGCGATGAGCGGTCTCGTCAGCCCGCCAGATTGCGGCGCCATCTTCTCGGAGCATCGCCTTAGTACACGGATCCAAGGCATGCATAGCGGGCACAACATCATGACTGTTCGAACATGCAGTGTTAATGCGTCTGTAACTTCAGATAATGCAGCGTGTCGTACGCAGGCACTAGAGGACAGTTGCGGCAGTCGCTGGCCCATGCCCGAGGAAACTAACAGTGGTCATAGTTCAGCGATACATTGGATGTCGTCATTCTACTGAGGCTTCTGTCCAACGGCAGTATGGAAGTTGTGGAACCCCTCAACACTGTTGCAATCCGCCATGACCTTGCGGCCCCACTCAACGACTTCAGCGGGGGTCATATCCCAGCTCTGGGCGAGCACAGGCGCCAGAGTAGTGATAAGCGCCTGATAGTCGGCATTCATGTGAGCGCCAACAGGCCCAACCTTGGAGTTCATGGGCGCCGACTTGGCCTTGTTATCGATGTTGGTGAGACCCGCGGCAGCCATGAACTCGTGCAGCTTGGGACCGGCGTTGGGCTCGCCGCCGCGCTTCTCGAGCGAGCCGCGCATGCCGCGCTTGTTCCAGTCGGCAATTGCGTCCGTGATGCCGCGCTCGGAACGGAGCGTGCCATCTGGCTCCACCATCTGGACCCAGCCCCCCGGGCGCGTGATGCGCGCGAGCTCCTTGGCGGCCACAGGCCACTCAGACACCTTGAGCGCGCCAGTAAAGAAGCGCATGTGTACCAGGTCGAACGTGTCGTCCTCGAACGGCAGACCCTTGAGGATGTCGCCGTGGACAAACTTGACCTGCGCGTCGGAGGGCTTGAACGTGTCCGCAAAGTCAGTAGCGTAGGCTTCAATCTCAGGGTGCTCGGTCTTGACTTGCTTAATCCACGAGCCGGGACCGCAGCCGACGTCGAGAACCTTAGAGCCCGTCTTGAGCTCAATGGGAGCAGACACAGTGCCACCGAAGAGGAGGCCGATGAGACGGTGCTGGGCCTCTAAACGGTCGAACTCCTGACCATCGGCGGGCAGGGCATAGATGCTCTGGATGTCAGGATGGTTGCAGGTAACGGCAGGGGCTTACCTCAATCTTGGAGTGGTACTGGCGCGACTCGGTACCTGGAACGAGACTGAGGCCGGTTGCAATGTTTCCGTCGGGGGCAGGGTGAACCATGATGGGTGATTTGTTGGGGCGAGGTGCTTTCGATGACCTTTCAGATGATTGCAGCTCTTGCTGTCTGCGGCCGGCCATGCTTTAAACGGCTCAGCGACATTCAGGGTCTCGGCAACTTGATTGCACTCGGACTTCGGAGACTTCAGCCGGAGCCTTTTGATTAGTCTCCGAAACTGTTCCTGCAATGCACCGGAGCGTTTGCAAGTATCCGAGAGATGCATACAGCACAGCTACGGCACAGTGGAGATATGGAGTTATGGAAGCTCAGTCGCGAGCCTCTGGGTGGCGCTCGGCCTCGGCAACCTCCTCACGGCGGATAATCGCGACACCCTCCTTGTCGTTCACTAGCCAGACGAGCACGAACGAGATGATGAAGAAAATAAGAGAGATGACAGCCGGAAGTCGCACGTTGTTGGTCGCTGAGACAATGGGAGCATTGGCAATCTGTGGAATCCAGGTCGTACCGCAAGACAGCACGAGTTGGAAGCCGAAGTACTGGATCTCGTTGCCGCGCGGGAACATTTCAGAGAACAGCACACGGAACAGAGGCGAAATGATTGAGCCAGCCAGGTTCATGATGACCTGGAACACATAGAACTCGGCGCGGTGCTTGTACCCGACCTTGGAGGAGGGGCTCATGCCCAGACAGCACAAGAATGTGGTGAGAATCGTCAGACTGTAAGCGATCATCGCCCAGTGCCGGAGGGACAGGCGCGAGTAGGGGAAGATGTACATGAAGATGAGCGAGCCGACAATCGAGGTCGCGGTGCCGGTGATCGAATATGCGGTGAACTCTGCCATACTCGGTCGCGCGTTGAGGTTGAACAGCGTGCCGATGACGGAGCCGTAGGCGAAGTGAGAGTCGTTGTAGATGACATAGCTGATCAGGAAGAGCATGGCGTTTCGGTATTTGCTGAGACCGTGCCAGAGCTCGACGAACGTTCGGATCGGAAGCATCCAGAAGTTGCCGTTGTAGGGCTTGCTGCCTGGTGAAGGGAGGAACCGCCAGCCCAGGAGCGCACAGATGATGCAGATACCGCCAGCAACGGTTGACATGTACATGCCGGCGTTGCGCGCGGCGGTTGCGCCAGCGTATGAGATACCGATGGTAATGCAGTAGAAGATGACGGTCGCCACGTTCATGGACACGCCGCCCCAGACGGACATCTTGAGACCCTCCCTCTCGCGCTTGGCCCGGAGAGTTTCGCCCTCAACGTCGTCGGTCTTGGCTAGAGCGTCGACCTTGGCTTGGGTGCTGAGTTCGTCAATGGGAGCGGCGGCGTACATGGTATATGGGATGAAGATGTTCATCCACGCCATGGCGAGATATCCGGTGATGCTGAAGATGGTGTACAGGGCGATGAGGGCGGTGTAGTTGGCATAGTTGTAGGCGGTGAGGCCAGCGGCAGGGAGACAGAGAGCTCCGTATAGCAGAAGCATGAAGATGTACTGCTCGCGCTTATAGGCTGATGTCAGCGAGGTCGGGCATGATCACTCACAGAAGTGGTCGCCCCAGCCCGAGATGAGGAGGGTGAGCACGCCGCTAACACCATAGGCGATGGCGTTCAGGTACAGCAACAGACTGGTGAGGTTCACGTCGCCCTTGCCGAATGGGACACGGCAGGGAGCACCTGTGTCGGGACAACCAGTGCCCTTCGGCTGACCGGGGTGGTGGCCGACAGCCATGAAGGCAATAGTCTGGATCTGGAACGAGACATAAACAATGTGAGCCCCAAAGGCGGGGCCAATCTATGGTCAGCGGCGCTGAGCATGGGTAACTCACTCCAAAGGTCGTCACGGCGTAGGCAATATTGTAGCGCTTGAGGAGCTTCTGGGACACTGGCTGGTGTTGCGGCTCGGTGGACTCGATGAGTCGGACATCCTTAGTGTCCGAGTCGGGCGGAACAGCCTTGGCGAGGGACGAGGTGCTCTCGTAGGACGGGTGCTCGACCAGGACGGGGGCGTCTTCGACCGGGCCCATGGTTGCTTGCTGTATGGGTTGCTTCGGAGAGAACAGCCTGCATCCGGACTCTTATGTGCTCCGGAATGGGTCTCGGAGACATTGTCAAAAGTGTCCGAAGGTGGTTTCGTTAAAACAACTGGCGCATGTCGGGTGCCGCCCGCGCTAACACTACCGAATAATGGCTCGCTCCCAGGTCCGCCTCCTCTCGCGACAGACGACAGTGAGTGAGCGGTTGCTGCTCATCGTCGGACTTGTTGCGTGCATGGGTGCGGGTGCTGTGCAACCGTTGATGAACCTGCCGTTCGGCGCCGTTGTCAGCGATGTTGTTGATTTCGCGACGGGAGCAAACGAGGCTCAACGCCGAACCAACGACAACGTCGTCATCTTCTGCTACCTCGCCGTCGGATCATTCGTCACCACCTTCGTCTATACCGCCATCTTCAACTGGGCCGGCGAGAGCATCACCAACCGCCTCCGTGGCAAAGCTATCCGCAGCCTTCTATCTCAGGAACTCGCCTACTACCAAGATGGTACGGCAACCACTCGCGCGACCGAGCTCCAGAAGGACCTCGACACGATCCAGTCGGGTATCAGCGAGAAGCTCTCGAACAACATCATGTACCTGTCACTCGCGTTGACCGGCTTCATTATTGCGCTCGTGAAGGCGTGGAGTCTCGGCCTTGCACTCCTGTCAATGTTGCCGTGTCTCCTTATCATCGGCTTTTTCGTGAGTGTCACTCAGCGTCCATCCCTGACCTTCAGTTGACCAAGTACGGCTTCGCGTACATTGGCATGTTCATGATAGCACTCGGCCCGATCAGCAGCCTGACCCAGGAGTCGCTCGCCGGCATAACAACAATCCGCAGCCTCGGCGCCGAGGCGAGCCTTGTCGAGAAGGTGCGCGCCATCCAGCACATGGCCTTGCACACGGCACGCAAGAAGGCGGTCATCTGGGGCCTGTGCATGGCCGGTATCACGTTCGTCATCTACGCCGGCTACGCGCTCTGCTTTGCGTTCGGCGGCCAGCTCTTGCGATCCGGAGACCTGGCGCCCGGCACGCTCATCACGGTGTTCCTCTGCATCATGATGGGCAGCTTTTCGTTCGGTCAAGTTCCGCCGAACCTGCACGCCTTCATGTCCGCCCTCTCGGCGACGACGAAGCTTCAGGAGATCATCGAGCGCAAGCCTGAGATTATGTCTCCCTCGAACGCTGTCACTTTTTCCGCCTTGCAGGATGGCATTGAGATTCGCAACATCTCTTTCGCCTACCCCGCTCGACCCGAAGTATCAGTCCTCCGCGACGTCAGCATCAAGGTCAGGGCCGGTGAAACTCTCGCCATCGTCGGCCATAGTGGCTCCGGCAAGTCGACCCTTGTCGCGCTCCTGCTCTCGCTGTATCGTGTGAACGATATTTTCTATGACGGCGTCAATGTGAAAGACATGGATCTGCACAACTTGCGCGGTGACCTCATCGCGTCCGTGCTACAGGAGCCGCAGCTGTTCGACGTCTCGATCTTTGATAACGTCGTACTCGGCCTCCCGGCTAGCGCACGAGCTCTGAGCAAGACGGAGCAGCTCGCACTCGTAACTGAGGCGTGCCGCGTCGCCCAAGCTCACGACTTCATCACAGCCCTGCCCAATGGCTACAACACGATGGCGGGTGACGGTGGTGCCAAGTTGAGTGGCGGGCAGAAAGCGCGCATCGCCATTGCTCGTGCGTTGGTGCGACGCGCGCCGGTTCTGTTGCTCGACGAGGCGACGGCGAACCTGGATACTGTCTGCGAACGCGCTCTTCACGCGGCTCTGGAAACCATGTCTGTGGGTCGCACGACCGTCGTAATCGCCCACCGGCTGAGCACTGTGCGTAAGGCCGACCGCATCGTCGTGATGCATGACGGCGTAGTCGTGGCCGAGGGAACACATCAGTCGCTACTGGAGAATGACCACTACCGCGCTCTATTCCACGCCGAAGAGACCTGTTCCGATGGATCGACCTTTGTAAAGGGGTCGACCAGCTCTCTGAACTCGCCAACGAAGGAGCTGGAGATTGTTGAGACTGCCTCGGTATCAGAGCCTACAGATGGCCCCAAGACATGGAAGAGTATCAGGATGATGGCGCCTTACGGCAACGGGGGCCTCATTCTCGTCGGTGTTGCGGGTAGCATCGTTGCTGGTGCGCTCTACCCGGTCTTCGCTATCATCTACGCTCTTGCTTACAGCACGTTCAGCACGCACCCAAAGGATGCGCACCTGCAGAACATGAACGCGCTCTACTTTTTCATCTGCGCCATTGGAGGCGCCATCAGCATCTTCCTGCAGTGGTTTTGTCTGGGCTACGCGTCCGACCGGCTGGCGTGCGCACTCCAGGGAGCCATGCTCCGCCGCGTCCTCCGCGCACCCATGGCGTTTTTCGACGAACCCCGCAACTCGTCATCTCAGCTCGCTGACGTTGTCAACAACTCGCCGAACCGAGTCGCGACCTTCTGCGGAACGGCCATGGGCACGTTCATTGCGTCGCTCAGTACCCTGATTGGTGGCTGCATTGTCGGCTTGGTGTACAGCTGGAAGCTCGGTCTCGTTAACATGTCCGTGCTGCCTCTGACGCTCGGAACGGGCATCGTGCGCCTCAAGGTCCTCGATTCGCGTGAGGCCAAGTTCAAGAAAGCCCATGAGCCAGCGAACCGCGTGGCCGTCGCCGCTGTCGCCAACCTCGAGACTGTCGCATCACTCGCCGCCGAGGACATCGTCTACGAAGACTACATGAGCAAGCTGAACCCGAAGGGAAACAGTATCCTCGGCTGCGCGCTGTTCGGACTCGCCCAGAGCAACATGTACTTCGTCATCGCGCTCGGGTTCTGGTACGGCAGCAAGCTGGTGTATTCGGGCGAGATCAGCTCGCGTGCGTTCTTTGCGACCTTCACTGCCATTGTCGCTGGAAGCTTCCAGGCAGTGAACGTTCTGACTCAGGCGCCAGAGCTCGGACAAGCACGCGGCGCCAGTGTCGACATCGGTCGCCTGCTCAGCCTGCCCGAGGAGCATCTCGGCGGCGACCACCCCGTCCCAGCCGGTGACATCCGTCTCGACGGCGTGTCGTTCACCTATCCCTCTCGCGACGACCCGAGCCTGCGTGACCTCTCCCTCCTCGCCCAGCACAACGGTTTCACCGCCCTCGCTGGTCCGAGCGGTAGCGGAAAGTCTACAGTGATCCGACTTCTGGAGCGCTTTTACGAGCCCTCAGCGGGCAACATCACGGTCGGTGGCGTACCCCTCGCTGCGATCGACGAGACAAAGTACCGCCGTTCCGTCGCGCTCGTGACGCAAGAGCCTGTGCTCTTTAACATGACGATACGCGAGAACCTCCTCCTCGGGTCTACTGACAAGACGGAAGCAGATTTAACACGCGTGCTGGACGTCGTGAATCTGTCCGATTTCGTCGGCACGCTGTCCGATGGGCTCGACACCGATCTCGGCGCGAAGGGCATAGCTCTCAGCGGCGGACAGCGACAACGCCTCGTCATCGCCCGCGCACTCCTGCGCAACCCCTCAGTGCTGCTGCTTGACGAGGCGACGTCGTCTCTGGACAACGTGAACCAGCGGGCCGTGCAGGGCGCACTCGACGCGATGGCGAAGGATGCTCATCTTACTGTTATCGCAGTCGCACACCGCTTGAGCACTATCAGAGATGCCGGTACGATCTACGTGCTTCGCTCCGGTCGAGTAGAGGAGCAGGGTACGTACGAAGAGCTTATTGCGAACCGCGGGCTGTTTGCCAGCCTCGCTGCGAATGTGGAGTAGCCTCTAAGCATCAATCGATATCCATCTGGGATAGTGACCACCAAGTAGGCCTTCATGCACGAGTGTCACAAGCCCGCATCAGCAATCCTACTTGACTTGAGCTCAGGTATTTCTTGCCACAAAGCTGTCGGTGTTGCACAACCAGGTCAGGACTATTGCATCCCGGGAGCTGACGCGGAGACATTTGTCAAAAGTCTGCGAGATTCGAATCAAGAGGGCAGGAAGGAGCCGACGCAACTATACTGTGCGACGTCCAATAGGTGCGCTTGCAATGAGTGCCTGAGGCATTTGAACAGAGAGGGCGTCTGAGCCATTTGCTTGAAACTTGAGCTGCTTTAGAGGAACCACGGCCCTGCGGTGCACATGCGGAACTGGATCATTGCACCCATGGGATGCTAGTTGACATAAGTCACATTGTCCGAAAGGCAATCTAAGATCGTGCGTCTCAAGAGTTGGGACGCGAAGCAGCTCTACTCCTCGTCTCCGCCATCGGTCTCAGGGGCGTCGGTGGCGCGGGTCGTGGGGGTGGCTGCAGTCAAGCACGGCCCCGACTCGGGACACCATTCCTCCTTCTCCCTGCTCAGCTCGAAGGTGAGCTCGATGTCCTGCTGATACGCAATCTTGACAAACTTGCTCGGATCGTCAGCGACGGTGAGCTTGTCGCCAGCCTTGACGTCGCTGGTGCCGTTCACCGAGACGCAGCCGACTCTCTCCGTGCACAGCTCGCCGGTAGTCGCGACAAACCAGATATCGCTGTCGTCGGCATCGCACACGCCGAGTTTCAGATTGTCGGGCTGCGGGTAGTTCTGGGACAGACACGTACCCTCGCTGCCTGCGAGGAAGAACTGGTTCTGCGCGTCGGTCAGGCCCCACAACTGCATGATGTTCTCGCGCGGCTTGGAGCACTCGGCGAGCTCAATTTGGGAGCCGTACGTCTGGTTCGTGGACGTGAAGCAGAGGCTCGTGCCTGCTACTTTGAGCTGGGAGGGGACGAAACGGAACGAAGAGCCGGCGTAGTCTCCTGTGGGCTTTTGGGCGGGGATGATGCCGGCTGTCGGCGCCGGCGCGGCTGAGGCACTGGCGGAGGCGGAGGCAGTGGGTGATGGAGAGGGTACAGCGTTGGCGGTGCCGAGCATGAGGACGGCAGAGACCAGGGAGCTTATCATCGTGACGGTGAATCGGAGCGGGTGGAGCTGCCGGAGATGAGTCAAACGTGAGGGGGTTGGTGGCCGTTGGTAGTGGGTTGACGTGGTTGCGACTGGTCTTGAGAGCTTGAACTGGGAGATTGCTCAAGCTGTCTTATATGTCGGTTGTCGCCATTAGAGTGCGGGAAACGACTAGAGCATGCGTAGGTGGAGAAAGCTGACGAGCGGTGCGAACTGACGATGCCCGCAGCACTGACGACGGACTACTGGAAATCGAGTGACATGACGTGAGCCAGAACCGAGGATCTGGATCGGTGCCCTGGTCCGTGGGATCGGCGCTATCCAACCTCCACACCGTCCGCACAGCATGCACCGCACGACCCGAGTTTGCAATCTCCTGACCTTCCGATATCCATGGGATATCCACCTGAGTCCTCCAGATTCCTCGCCAAACCTCGGCCCGGCGTGCTGAAGTGGAATGGTCGTGCATCTGGACAAACACCGGAAGGCCTTTGGTACTAAGGTCATGAAGGCCGCCTGTCCCCGTTAGCAACGAGGCACCGGTGGACACCGAAGGCTCGGTGTGGACTGCATCGCCGTTGCGCGTGCGAAGGGCGGGCACATCGGCAAAGTTTATCATGATCACTCTCGGTTGCCTCTTTGCAGAGCCGGCCACACCATTGGGCCGCTGCCCTCCATGACGAGCTATCAGGCATAACCCTCACGGTGCCTTCGAAACGCAAGGGCGGTGAAGGCGGAGCATAACCAGGTCCTTGGCTACTTCCAGCACCGCAGATGGTCATGGTCGGCATCGGCTCATGCTAGGTGTAGGCTCAGGAACGTACTTGAGCGGGGATCATGTGGAGCGCAGTCGTTGCCTGGACTCATTTCGAGACCGACCTGGGATTTTGCTGTTGCGTAAGCCACGATCCAGCGCACGCTTCACTGGGCGGGTGCCCTTGAGCTCTGCCGTGTGGGGATTGAGGTTCTTTCGAAAGTATGGTTCGGAGAAAGGGAGTACGTTCCGCTTTGGAACTGGTTTGCCCATAGGTTTGGATGTGCGTTCGTCAGGTGGACGCGCACTGTGATCAGCTCAAAGGGCCAATGTACAAAGCTTACTGAGGGCCACTTCGCTCTCATGGGGCAGGTTTGGCTGTTTGAGCACTCTTCTGATTCGGTAGGTATGTATGCGTACCTGGGTTCAGTCCGTGCTCGGCTGTCCAACAACTGAGAGCGGTACAGTATATCGTATTGAAGACCGACTCACAGCAAGCCTACCGCCATTTCTGACATAGACCAGCTCAAAGCGGTGGCTAAGTTTTGCGCTCTAAACGTCAGCTTCAGAACGTCGTGGATGCAGTTCACCATACGTTGGTCTAGACTGGAGGTCCCGGTCGAGACATCGGCAAGTGCGATGAACATTCGCCATGAAGTCAGCTCAGGTGGACGTATTACTCGAGCTTTCGGATCATAATCACAACCCCATGTCTCCTTCCCCGGGAGTTAAGGTGCGCTACACACGCTAGGGCACGCCTCGCTGTTTGTCAGCTGAGACGCTTCAAGAGGCAGCTTACACAGTACCCCCGATACCCTTGAGCCACGATCCGCGTGTGGTCAGCGCCGCACTTTGTAGTCAGCCCAGCCAGACGACGGTCCCACAATGACACAGTAATGAGTCGAGACTTGTGTCTTGAGCAGCGGGAAGGAAGCTGCATCCAGGCGGGCGCACCGCCTGGCTGTCAGCTACCACAGCGAGGGCCAACTCACTTCATAGGATGCTGAAGTGGAAGAGCATGCCACTCGGCTCTCCGACAAAGTCGAACTCAATCTGAGGTCAGCTACAGACTCCTGGGGCGCTAGGTTACTGGAGCTCTCCCCCTGGCTGGGGAGGTTAGCTCGAGGCAAACGCGACAAGAGCTCACCCTTTCCGACAATCTCTCTGAACCAGGATGTCCGCTGTGTGCACTGCAAATGCCTACTTCAACTGCTCTCAGCTCCGGCTCGGGAGGTATCCAGCTACGAACCGACCTTCGCGAGCGACGCCCTCGTGACATCGATCGTCCTCTGGGCGTCAGCTCCAACCTGCTTACAGTCAGCCCACCTCCCACACCCCAGAAGATAAAGCTGTTCTACCTATTCTACACACCTTCACGACCGCCGTTGCACTGTGGATGTTATTCGTTCAACCCGAGACTGTGATCAGCTGCGGCAAACAGGAGCTTAGCTCACCTCCACAGCAATGCTGATATATCAGTTTCCGTGGAGCGGTAGTCGAACTGACTTTGCGTAGCCTGCCATAATGTCTACATGGCGTCCGATTCCGTGGGCTGAAACCATCCTGCCATAAGCTTCCTACTCACCCGTTCAGCTCCTTAACCAATACGCTCGGCAAAGCATGGGCCGTGGCACTGATTGAAGCGGCAGATGACGGTAAAGGGCCAACGCTGGGTGTCAGTTTCAACCGAAGAGAATCAACTCGCCGCGTGCAGGAGGATGGATGTTGGCGACTGAGATGGTCAAAGAGAACAAGACAACTCGACTGGTGACGTGGACGACGCACAGCATCCGCTTCCGCTGGGGCGCACCTGATCGACTCTGATCGGCACTCAAGAGTTCGACAGGCTCTGGCACGCTCAGGCTGCACACAACTCTTCGTTCTCTCCAACCCCGATGCATGAATTGTCCGTGGAAATGTCCTCACGACAACTGGTCCGCAGCACCTGGCGGCGGGATGACGATGGACTGGGGGAGCGCGGCGTCGCGCGGCCAGCCACCGGACCCTGAGATGCTCATCTCGCTCACAAAAGGCAGCATCCACCTCAACTCCCACTCGTTCCCCTCACCTTGCTCGGAAACACTTGGCACAAGTAACTATTCAATGCATAAGCATCCTCCTACAAAGTTCTACGGATTATGTACTGGGGGCCCACCATGTAGGCCAGGGGTGAAGCAGCAGGGCGAGTCGCCTAGCAGCACCAGGGGAGCTCATCCTCACCGTTGAGACCAAAGTCGGGGTCGAGCTGGCGCTTGGAGGCAGCCATGGAGGCAGCCTTGTCGGTCTTGGTGGTGGCGTTGCCGTTGGAGCCAGCGTTGACGGTGGCGTTGCCGCTGGTGCCGTCACCCTGGGTGTCCTTGGCAGCAGCAAGACCGATGCCCGAGAGCAGGCCTGAGAGGATCCCGCCGGACTGGGCGCCAGGGGGAGCCCCACCAGCGGCGGGCGGAAGGGGACCGGCGGCAGGGCCAACACGGGGAGGAGGAACGCGCATGCCGTACTCGTCGTCAGTGGTTGTGTAGTAGGGACCGTCGGAGTCGTACGCCAGGTGGGGGACGCGCTGGCGGCGACGAGGGGGACGGCGGCCACCAGCGGCCGGGGCGAAACGCGACTCGTCCTCCGAAGAGTTGTAACGGAGGTTGCCGTCAGAGTCGTACGAGTTGGGAGCATGGAAGACGGGGTTGCTGCCGTTGCCCTGCTGGGTGGTGGGGGCGACGCGCTGCTGGCGGCGAGCGCGAGGAGGGCGACGACCGCCAGAGGAAGCAGGGGCAAAGCGAGACTCGTCCTCAGAGGAGTTGTAACGAAGGTTGCCATCCGAGTCATACGAGTTGGGCTGGCGGAAGGCAGAGCCGTTGGTCACACCAGGCTGCTGAACGAGAGAGCCGTTGCCAGCACCAGCCTGCTGAGTGGAAGGAGCGGCACGCTGGCGGCGGTGGGGAGGGCGGCGGCCACCACCCGGGACCGAAGGCGCAACGCGGGCCTCGTCGGCAGACGAGTTGTAGCGAGGGTTGCCGTCAGAGTCGTAGTCGTTGGGGTGGGGGCGACCGGTGCCGCCGCTCTGCTGGGGCATGCGCTGGCGGCGGTGAGGGGGGCGACGGCCAGCCGAAGCAGTGGGAGGGAAGCGCGACTCATCCTCAGACGAGTTGTAGCGGGGACGACCGTCGGAGTCGTACGAGTTGGGAGCGTGGAAGCCAGTGCCAGTGCCCTGCTGGGTGCTGGGAGAGGCACGCTGGCGGCGGCGAAGGGGACGGCCGCCAGCTCCAGCAGCCGAAGGCGCAAAGCGCGACTCATCCTCGGACGAGTTGTAGCGCAGGTGGCCATCAGAGTCGTACGAGTTGGGGGCGGGAGGGCCAGTGGGAGCACTCTGCTGGGAGTTGGGAGGGATGCGCTGGCGGCGGCCAGGGTTGCGAGCGCCCGTCATGGGAATGGGGGCAGGGGTGGGCAGGCCAGGAGGCACAGGGGCGCCAGCGGGGTGGTCGTGGTCAGGGAAACCGGCGTTGTTGCCAGCAACGTGACCGGGGACACCGCCGTTGGGGGACTCGGCGGGAACGACCGCGCGGCGGCCATTGGCAACGGCGCCAGGCGCGGCAGCAGGAACGGTGCCAGGACGACCAACGGGGTAGAGGAGCTCGTTCTCAGAGTCGGTCCAGAAGTCCGAGTCCGAGTCGTAGCCGTTGAAGTAGCCACCGCGGTAGGGACCGGCTTGGGGCGCGCGGCGGCGGGGAGGACGAGGAGGAATGCCGTTGGAGACACCAGTGGCAGGGGCACCAGCGTTGGGAGGCATGGGCTGAGTGCGGTAGAACTCGTCCTCAGTGTCGGTGCTCCAGTCGGTGTCGTAGGTGGGGTAGCGGTGGTGGTGCGAGCGGCGGAACTTGGACTTGCGCTGCTCAACGCCACCCGCAGCGGCCTGGGCGGGAGCGAGCTGGTCGCGCTTGAGGGACTTGACAGGGACAGTGGGGACAACGCGCTTGCCGTGGGGCCACTCGGGACCAGCATTGGCCTGGCCAGGGGCGTCGTGGCCAACGTTGGCACCAAGGGAAGACCAGTCGAGGTCCTCAAAGCCGACATCGCGGCGAGCCTTGTTGTCGCCAGCAGCGTGGGTCTTGAGGTTGAAGTCACGCTTGGCAGGGCGAGCAAGAGCTCGAGGCGGGGCTTGAACGGGCGCGCCGACGGCGGCAAGCGCGAAGAGAACAGAGAAGAGAACCTGGAGCTTCATGGTGGAAGTACTTTTGGGGTTTTGAGTAAAGTAAGGGGAACGTTGCAGTGGAGGAAGCTGCAAGATGGGGAAGTGGAAGGGGGAACAGGACTGGGGGAAAGAGTCGATGCCGGCGACAGACGTCGGCTTAAGACTCTTTCAGAAGTCAGCCGCGCTGCGATGGTCCATGTGGTGACGCCGCACAAGACCCACATGCTTCAGCGCTTCGGAGTCGCGGACTGGGCGGCGCAGCAGGGACAAGCGGAGGAGCTGGCCGGAGTTCTCGGTGTGACGGTGCGGAAGTAGCACTAGCGTGCGCCACGGATGCCGTCAGCTGCGTGAGCGGGGCGAAGATGCACCGCGCATACCGCGATAGCGCGGGCGCGAGGGCTGCTGACTGCGGGCAATGTCCTATGCATGAGACTCACTACAATGGCGGCGTGCTGCACATGTGCTCCCTCATCGCGTAAATTCCGAGCTGCGCTCCTTATCTCGACACCACAGCGGCAGAGCTCAGCCCATGCGGGCGAGGTCGAAGGCGTCAAACTCAGCCAGGCTGCGCTTGAAGTGACCAGCGGCGTTTGAGTCGGCGTCCTCGTACGCCTTGAGCTTGGCTTTGAGTGCGTTGAGGTACTTGAGCTTGCGCTTGGCGGCCGCGTGCTCACCCATGCTGCGGAGGGTATCGTAGTCCTTCTGCGCCTTGCGGATCTTGGCCTTGAGCTCGTCGATGTTGACCTTGACAGAGCCGCGGGTGCCGAGGTCGCCGTGATCGGGGTCGTCGTCACGTTCTTCCAACTCCAGGCTGCGACCACCGAAACGGTTCGCATTGTTGCGCTCGGCGTCTGCATACGTCTCGCGCTGGTGCTTCAACTGCGCGAGCTGACGCTGCCTGCGCTCGACCGACTCGCGCTCGCCGAGTCGCTGCAGGATCTCGATCTCTTGCTCGAGCTTGCGGATCTGCGCATCGAGCTCCGAAAAGCTGACCGAGAAGCTCGCCCGCTTGCGATTGTGGTCGCGGGACCAGATGGCGCCGTTGTTGTTCTCGGCGTTGCGGTATGCCTCGAGCGCAGTGCGGAGCTGCGCGATGTACTCTACTTTGCGCTGCGCTGCCTCCACCTCGCCGAGACTGAGGAGGACTTGACGGTCGTGCTCAGCCTGCTGGAGCTGTGCCTCGAGATCGGCAAAACTGACGATAACGTTGTCACGAGTGCCGTGGTTCTCACGAGGTGGGTGGTTCTCGGGTGGCGCAACGGGCGAGTGGTTGTCACGGACTGCAAGGTCGTCGGAGGCTGGGATGGCGGCGGCGGACGCCGAGGCGGCGAAGAGGGAAAGGTAGATGAGGCTGAGCTTCATGGTGTAGTTGAGTTCAGTTGCGACTTCTAGGTGTTGACATTGAGGGGGGTCGCTCTTTTGTAGTGAGTGATGGACACTGCTGCGGAACAAGTTGTTGAGGCTGGCAGTGCATCGGACCCGGCTGGCAGGCGGCGTAAGACTTGTCGTGCTCTTTTCAGTTCAGATTTCATTGCACGGATCGGTGTAGTGGGCGCACGGTGCACAAACGGCGTGCATTACGCCCACGGCGATGCAAGTCAGAAGCAGGGCCGTAGATGGTGAGACCCAATGGCGCATCGATGCGCTTTTCCGGAAAGCAGTGCATAAGTGATCGAGCACGCTGACAACGAGGCGACGACTCAGATCGCCGCAGTCTTTGGCGGTGCTCCCCATCGCCCCGTCGGTGTGCATGGCCGGAGCCGATTAACGTCATCGGCGTGTCAGCGAGATGTCACCGACAGACGGAGCACGGTGCGCTCGGACGAGGATGTCTCCGAGCTGATTCTGAATGTCAGCGAGATCTCCGAAGCTTATCGACCAACCACGATGTGTGAATGCCTCGGTCGTTTGCCACCTTATCTAAGCCATCAAATCAAGTCACCGAGCTGACCTTCATGCTGGCATGAGCACCTGCCGGGCGGTTGTGCAAGCCCCGTTCGTCCATGAGCAACGCTGTGTGCACGCCAGTGCACGTTACGCAAGCACCCCACCGGCCTCGACGCACCCATAGGCTCATTGTCTTAGACATCTTCACCGCCGCACGCCGCGCAACTCGGCGTTCCATCTCATGCTGAATAAAGTCCAATGCATAAGGCAAATGGCAAGCGTACTCTATGATCATGAACGTCCTTCCCCCAACGTGCGTCGCACAACACAGCCTCCGCGCCGTGGCTTAAACGCCGTCACGCTCACTTGCGGCCAGGATAGTTCAGGCGCTCAGCATCAGCGTACGAGTCGCCCATGGCGCGCAACTGGTCCAGCTCGCGGTGCAGCTCGGCCGCCTCCTCGGTGTCACCGCTAGCCTGGAGGGCCACAATCTGCTCGATGAGCTCGGCAATCTCGTCTTGCACCTCCTGGAAGGTGGTCGCGGTGCTTTGACGCTTGGCGTTGCGCTTGCCGATACCCGCCCAGATGTCCGCGTTCCCGTCCTCGGTGGACTGGTACGAGGCCAGCTGGACCTTGAGCTGGTCGATCTCGGCACCCTTGCGGTTCGCGGCCTCGGTCTCGCCAACGCTGAAGAGAATGTTGCGCTCGTGCTCCAGCTGGCGGATACGCTCCTGAAGCTCCGCAATGTTGACGACAAAGCTCGCGCGAGGCTCGTGGGTGTCGCGGCTGTGAATCCCGCCCCAGATATGGACGTTGTTCGCCTCGCTGGCCTGGTATCCGGCAAGCTGGGACTTGAGGAGCTCGATCTCGGCGTTGCGCTGCTGCGCTGAGCCGATCTCGCCGACGCTGACGAGCATGGCGACCTCGTGCTCGAGCTGCTGGATGCGGACTTGGAGCTCGGCGATGTCGAGCGCGTACGATGCGCGGGCAGCGTGGTTGGGAACGGCGGCCGCCAGAACCGAGGTGGCGAATAGGAAGACGGCGGCGAGGCTGAGCTTCATGATGTCGGTCGAAAGGAAGGAGCGTGGAGCGTGGGTGTTGACGATGGGACGAAGGGATCTTTATACTGTCTGAGCGTGGTCAGTGCAGCGGGGCAGAATCCCCAACAGTCAGCGATGGTATGCCTTGGCACCGAGGTCCACACCGCGTCAGTGTCGCATCGGCGCGGGGTGAGACACAACAACGCGTCTCGCGCGCTGCTTCAGATCTGAAAGCAAGGGCCTCCCTTTGTGGTGCATCCTTCAGCCCGATGCACGCGGCGAAGGCAGTGTCGAGCCGTAGATCACCAGTTGCGAGCGCCATGGGACTGCTTTATCGGCGGTGCGAGCGGTGCAAAGTGCGGATCAACGTGGTGACAGCTGTGCAGATCGACGCGCCCTCACCACCATCCAGCCTTGATGAGCTCGGGCGCCGGATCTGCAAGGCGAAGCGTGGAAGCGGCTCTAGCGTCAATGCGCCGACACCATGGTCTTTCGGGCCGGTTTATAGCCAGCAGCGCGAGCAGCATCTCTCAATGCACGCAGCTCGCTGTGCCCCGGGATCATGTCAAGATGGCCAGATCAAGCCACCGAACAGCATCGCATGCGGGTTGCCCTAGGGCGAGCACCTTTCGCTCCATCTGCGGTCAGCTCGGGCATGTTGCCCGTGCTTAAGAAGTGGAAGCACCGGCACATGTCAAGCACTCACCTGTCTACCTGTCTGGACTACCTCTCTGCTACGATCATCGCTGAGCTCACCAACTCACCACGTCGAGCATCATCTTGAGGCTTTATAAAGTGCCACAGCCAGCCAGCATGCACTCACCCCCGCTGGTCCGTCCACGGACGCCAAGCCATGGAGCAGTCACCTGAGATTGGGTTTCCAGGTAACGGTGCTCACCACTTGCATTCCGCAACGCTCTCGCTTAATCCACGGCCCGCAATACGGCTGATCTTCGCTACCCGCGTTCCCAAAGAGGATGGAGTGAGAGGCAGGTACGCAGGATCGTCGCGATAACGTCAACGAAGAGTGGGCCGCCTGCAACATTGCAGGCGCCGTCTCGTCGAGTGCCGCCCACTATGGATGAGAGAGTGAAGCGAAGGAGAACGAGGATACGTCACACGACGATCTACGTTCCACCTGTCCCAGCTCGTTTCCAGCATTCCGGGTATACTCGCTTAGTGCGACAGACGTTCGGCCGTCTCTTGCCGTTGTGGGAGCAATCCACGTCGTAACAAACAGGTGTATGCGACCTGACATTCCGAGATCTTCCCCAGCCTGTTCGGCGGCAACTCGGCGGCATGCCGAGATCGCGGCGTGTCGCCGACCCACAAGTCAGGGCACCCCCATCCCCTATTCGCGAAACACGAACGCGACCACGGACACGAACGCGGAGCAGAGATGCGGTCGGCCGTGCTTCATGCTTCATTCTGCTTCGTCACGTCCACATGAGCATGGGAAGTGCGCGATAGGGAGTAGGATGCGATCTCGGCGTTCCGTTCGATGGGCCACGGCGCGATTCCGGTTGGCCATCTCCACATTCGTGACCTTCATGAGATTCGTGAGATGCACAGGGTAGCCCGGAGCCTCCCGATTGCCCGCGAGATGAATGGCTCGTCTCATGTTCACAACACGGCCGCGACACGGGCAAGCCATATACGTCATGGAGTGTCATGTTTGCGGATGAGACGAATGGGGCATCACTTGCTGGGACGCTGTTGGCTCGTGGTGGTTTGATGGATCGATGGAGTGCTCGGCCTTGCTCATCAGGCCCGAGGGGCTCGCTGGGGTCCCGAGGAGCCAGGCCTCGGACGCTGACCGTGGACCCGTTGGTCGTTGGCGTTGGGGCGCTCCCTGTGCTCCGCCCTTCCAACTCCGCGTCGCCGAGATCCTATTCTGGGCATCGCTGGGCATCTTTTGGGCCATGAGAGCGGAGCTCGGCGGCAACTCAGACGGCGAGGACCCGGTGGGCAGGCGGGCATTGAATGGACACTGCACGGCTGGGGGAGTGCTGGGCAGGGATCGACCCTGTGGGGCATGGGACGGTGAGGGTTCCAGCTTTCTGGGCCAATCGCGCGGTCGCCGTGTCCTGAGATCATCCCTGCCGGTGCTGGACCGTTGTTTACCGGCCCCTTCACGGATCCCCTCAAGTACTGACCGCGCTACAGCTCGGCGTATGCTCGGAGGCAGCCCGAGTTGAAGTCGGTGCGTCGCCGAGAGTCAGAGCCTGTGCCCGTCCGAGCTGTGCGCCACGGAAGTCACCGGCCCCATGTGATGGGTCATGATGGACTCATTTGTCCGGCCTGGCCTCAGCTGACTGGGCACTTATTCGACGCTACATGGGTGGCGCTGCTCAGAGGGACGGCCGGGTTGCGCAGCACATCGCGGGGCCTGCTTCGATGCGCTTGTACGCAATGTATGCAACCACAGCTGTATGACGCGCACCAACAAAGTGTTGCATGCCTTGGGGCTGAAGAGGTAGAGACAGATAGAGTCGCACGCTAAGTGGGGCTAAGCGTAAAGTGTAACGATGGAGAGGAGGTCGCGTGAAGGATCTACAGGCATGCAACGCTGAGGACCCACTTCCCGAGTGGGTGCTGGGCAGATGGGCAAAGGGACAGGGCATCGCTCAGGAGCAGAAGAGCGAGGCACGGCCGTGTAAGCATGAAAGTCGGCGTGACCCCGAGTCATTCGGGCTTGGCCCGTAGAGGTCTCGTGCCGTCAGCTGCTGGGCCACTGTCCAGCATCCTCAAACAGCACAAGGGCAGGCGGCTGCATGCTGTTTGGGTCCTGACCTGGGATGCAGCATGTGCACCTGGACACGCCAGACATAGGGCGGAAGACGGAAGGCGGCAGTTTCCCCAGGGATCCGGCTAAGCATCGAATCCAAGCAGCCTCAGCCACTCAGGTGCCCCACCCCGCCCGTCTGCTTTTCTCCTCTCCCCTCTCCTCATCCCTCGTCGGACTAACGATCCAAGCCCAGACCTCCTCCCTCCTGCCCGTCATGCTCCTTCCCTCCTGCATCGGGCGGTTCCCCACACTCTCCTCCTCCGGGTCCACTGCCGACCTGAGGTGATGTGCAGTGGGGGCCACCGGGGGTCCTCCTTCCTCCTCCGGACCATCTCCTTGCCAACGCTCATATATCAGGCCAGCTCGCGGGATCTCTGGAGACCCACCAACCCGCCCTCTCCTCTCCTCCAGCCTCTAGCTCCAACTTGCTCCTCGACTAGGACTCGACTGCTCGACTGGCCCTTCGACACAACACTCCAAGAGCTGGAGCACCACTTCACTCTCTTTCCTCGCTCCCTCGATCACCATCTCCGCCATGGTCGACGTTGAGAAGACGAACGCCCCCGTCATCGCGTACGGCACCGACGACAAGCTCGGCATGGACGACAAGGACATGGTCGCCCACGTCGAGGTCATCGACGGCAAGGGCGTCACCGAGTGGGACGCGATCCGCGCCGACGCCATCAAGGCAGAGGATGCTGAGCGCTCCCTTGGTCTCATCGGCTCGCTCAAGGCGTACCCGACTGCCGCCTTCTGGTCGTTCGCCATTTCGCTCCTTATTAGTGAGTCAACCAGCCTCATCAAAGCTAATGTCCAGTCATGGAGGGCTACGACACGGCCGTTCTCGGCAACGTGCTGGGTCTGAACCAGTTCCGCAAGAAGTTCGGTCACTTCAACGAGATGATCGACGGCCAGCCCGACTACCAGCTCACGCCGGCATGGCAGCTCGCTGTTAACCAGGCCCCCAACTTTGGTTGTCTCATGTAAGTCACTGCAGCCCTCCCGCATGGACGGTCGTTTGGTCACGCGGACCTGTCCCGTGTCCCAATCCGGACCGCGTTCCGCGCACCCGGCTATTCTTCGACGCTAACGGTTCAGTGGTATCTTCTTCGCGGGCATCATGCAGGACCGCTGGGGCTACAAGCGCACGCTTCAGATCGGCCTCATCATGCTGACTGGCTTCATCTTCATCGTCTTCTTCGCCCCGACTGTCGAGGTCCTCTTCATCGGAGAGTTCCTCTGTGGTCTCCCTTGGGGTGCCTTCTCGTCTTCGGCTGTCTCTTACGCGTCCGACGTCGCCCCCATCGGTCTTCGCGGCTACCTCACGACCTACGTCAACCTCTGCTGGGTCATTGGCCAGATCATCGCCGCCGGTATTCTCCGCGCCGCCAACAACATCCAGGGCGACCGCGCGTACCAGGTCGCCTTCGCGGTGCAGTGGGCGTGGCCGATCCCTCTCTTCATTCTCGTCACCTGCGCCCCCGAGTCTCCATGGTACCTCGTCCGCAAGGGCCGTCTCGAAGATGCCAAGAAGAGCGTTAGCCGCCTTGCTGCCAAGGGTTCCAAGGTCGACATTGATGCGACTGTCGCCATGATGGTCCGCACGAACCAGATTGAGATCGACCACAGCTCTGGCACCTCCTACCTCGACTGCTTCAAGGGTACCGACCTCCGCCGCACGATCATTGGCTGCATGACCTGGATGTGCCAGCAGCTCTGCGGAATGTCGCTCTGTGGCCAGGCCGTCTACTTCTTCCAGCGTGCCGGTATGGACAGCAACAACTCGTTCAACATGAACCTCGGTGTCACCTTCATGGCCTTTGCCGGCACGATCCTCTCTTGGATTACGCTGACCTACTTTGGCCGTCGTATCCCCTTCGTCTCGGGCATGTTCGTCATGCTCGTCTGTCTCCTCATCATCGGCGGTCTCGCGTTCACCCACGACTCCAACGCCAAGTGGGGCCAGTCCGCTCTCGTCATGATCTTCGTCTTCACCTACGACTTCACCATCGGCCCCCTCACGTACTGTATCGTCGGAGAGGTGTCGTCGTCGCGTCTCCGCTCCAAGTCGGTCGGTCTCGCGCGCAACGCCTACAACATCGTCTCTATCGTCGGCGGCGTCCTCAACACGTACTTCATGAACCCCACCGCGTGGAATCTTGGTCCTAAGAGTGCTTTCTTCTGGGCCGTCTCGTGTGCTCTGGCCCTCGTTTGGTGTTATTTCTGTCTTCCGGAGATGCGTGGGCGTTCAATGAGAGAGATAGACGTCCTTTTTGAACGTAAGGTTCCTGCGCGCAAGTTCTCGAAGACGGAAGTCGACGATCTTGAAGAATGAGCGAGATATCGAGTTCCAAAGTCGTAAGAAGAAGTTGCGGCGTTGTGCCACATCCGCAGCCGCTAGCGCACGACCGGCTGTCCTCAGTCGTTTTTTCGGTTTTAGTCTCTCTTTAGTGTGTCTCTCAACAGCCGTGTGGGCCCTGAATCTGCGCCCCTCGAGCGCTCTGGGCCCGGTCATCAGTGGGTTAAGTAATCATCTTGTATATGCACATTCAGTCAACAGTTAGCGGAACGTAGGGGCAGTTGGGACCAAGAAGTGGAGGTGGAGGTGGGACGCAAATGAACTGACACCTGAGCCATGAGCAGCGGCGTTTCGGGACGCTGGGAGGGCTATCTTATCTATTAGCCAGCTATCACCGAGCTCGCGCTCGGTCAGCGTGCCTTCATGAGCGCGATCGTGTCGCGAACGGCGGCGCGCAGAGGTCGGTGTGGAGGAAGAGGTAACCGAGCCTATCCGGAGTTAGCCGATGCTCGGCGGCGTCCACTCTCATCACGCCACCAGCGGCCAATGTCCATCCTCACCTCTTCCTCATTGTCCACCCACTCACCATGACACTACCCGCCCTCCCAGCCAAAGCAGCCTACATCACGATCAACAATGCAGCGAAGCGTAACGCGCTCTCGCTCGCAGTCCTGCGCGACCTGAAATCGCAACTCACGACCGCCCTGACCGCTTCCTCCGGCCGACTTCTCATCCTGCCCACTTTCGACCCGGGACTTCTCGAGAAGCTCGAAGCCAACGACCCCGAGTTCGACTGGCTCCTCTCAGC